AATGAGAATTTCGATAAGGACAAAATTACTATTAAAGATATTAATATACTATGTAGTCGTCCAGTTACTCAGTATTCTTCTAAATTGAAGACACCTCCCCCTTTTATCAAATGTATACCAACTTATTCTGGATTAAGTAGTCCATTTTCAAAGCTGGAAGAACCGACAATTTTGACAGGTTTACCAGCTGAAGCGCTGAATTGGTTTTATTTCAAGTCATTACCAGTCAATTTATATATTGTATTTTATTTACCACACGTTAGTGTCTGTGAATGGTCTGCAGTAAAAGAGATATTCAACAGTCTATTACCAGTTGGTATTAAAATTATGCAAAAGCAGTTTTCATCCAACAATCAGTGGGACAATAATTTATTAAGTGAAAAACTCAAGGAAATGTGTATTACTGCAGTTTGCAATAGTGAACGTGCAAAGACAGACCAAATGTATACTTGAGCTGCAATCAAACTAACTTTTTTGTTTTTTTAAAACATGATATTTTATATTGTATTAAGTACTTTATATTAATTGGCAATAAAAAGAGAAGCAACTGAACACAGTATGGTTTTAATTTCCTGGTCGTTACCTAAAATTATTTATTTCACTCAAAATTGTCATTATAAATGAGGACGTGTAGGAATGCCTATCCTAGTGTGAGACATCGATTTTGTGAATTTACAAGGAAAGCGTGAAATGTAGACAAAAATGCTAGTACTGCTATGTTTAACTTGACGAAGAATGCAACCAATATAGAGTTACTTCTTCTCAAAAATTTATTTCACTCTTTATGAACAGCATAACAACATTACAGTAGGATCTCTATTCGTTTTTATTCCAACCTTATGTGAAAATTCGAACGATAGTCCTGGCTGTCTGTAAACACTTTAGGTGGGTTATTAGATTTCTAGGAATATAACTCAAGATAGTCGTGAACCTCACTCTTGTTTAACAAGAGCCTTATTAATTTCGGGATATATAAGGTTGTTGATGTACGAAACATGTTACGATGTTCAAGCACCTAGCTAATGGTAAAAGTGTGATAGATGCATGATCTGAACGAAGCTTAACTTGCTCCTTCTATGCGCTCCACCTAATATGTATAGTTTGGCAACAGCCAAAACTTGTAACCTAATTGTTCTGACGTTTCTCGAAGATATGAATGGTAAAAAATTTATACTGAAGTTCCAAAGCACTTAGTTTTCCATTCATGTATGAGGAATTCACAGAATTTCTTGACCAATATGTTCCATCTCTGAAATGATTGTTGCTTCAGGTCGAGTGTCTCTAAGTATTTGAGATTCACTCGTTAGTTGAAATGCGGAGTGCAAAACGGTTTCTATAAAGTTGTTGGGACAGTAAACTTAGCTCCTTTTCGGAATATTCCACCCAGATACTTAGATACCTTACAGAGTTGGATAAGCTGAAATGGATTCTTGTAATTCCTATATGCAGTTAGTGCCTCCAATCTACAGTACATTGATCATCTCATGTGAAGTATTCACCGGTTTTCTGTTAAACGGAATTACACGTATTGTACTCCATAGTCTCTTGTAACAAGTTGGATCATTGCTAATAACTAAGAAGCTTCCAGAGATCCGTTGATAATCAAACGTAAGTCTTGCTAAACGTGAAACAATTTTACGTTCATTTTCATTGCGCGTTGTTAGTGGAATTAATGTTCATCTGTCCTCATTGGGGTTAAATCTAGTCTTGAATTTAACTTTATCTGTAGTGCTAGGTGTAATCAGCATCTTTACATCGATTTCTCCTTTGGTCACCATAATTCTGGATACGTTTGCCATGTGCTTCAAAATATCCATTAGTCCTGTGTGGATGAGTTATTGGTTGCTGGTTTTGACAAGACCTATTCGAGTCCAGGCTTGAGTTGTAAAGAAAGTGCACCAGGTCACAAATAGGTCGCGATCTATGTTGTGTCAACCCCTCAACTCTTAGTGCAGTATTAGTACTGATGCTACAGTTTATCTTCATTAGTTTCAGCACTATTTTCCTTTTCAGAAAGGTATTACTATATCAAATCGGCTGAGAGCTTTTGGAAGTAACCAGCGATATCGGACTTTATAGGCAGGTCTGTATTTGTAACAAACACGAGTTTCTGAGTGAGGTCTAAATTAAACTCACGCCTTTCACTTATAATGTATAGGTTTATATTCTTGTCTTTAAGCCACATATTTTTTATGAAGGTCATTGCTGCTAAATAGTTGCCGGAATCGAAGATGGGGTAGTGTTCGTCCTTTTATTCCGGTAGTTATAAGACATACTGTAGCTAGCAAAGCGCTTATGTGTGCAAAGCAGGGCACAAACAGGATTATACAGAGTGAGCTTGTTTATAACATGGTAGTAGAAGGATGTAAATGAGAGTGATTAATCAGATTCTCGGCTCCGTATTTTCATGGTCTGTGTAAAAGCTGTGATATTCGTAGCCCCAGTTGTTGCTAAATGAACAATTGAGTGTCTAATATACAAGATAATGAAGCGAAGTCAGACGTATTACTAGTCAGCAGTTAGTAATGGCCTTTCTATTCACCTCCTAGAGTCTATACGAACTACTAATTTGAAGAAAAACTCATTGATTGGCGGATTTCTTTATGAGGTGAGATTCCGATTTCCCACAAAAGACCATGATAGCACATCTGCTTTACCAGCTGCGGAAAAGCACGTAGCACAATTATGAATTATTTGCAAATAATACAAAATATCAGTAGCACTGAGTTGACACTATGCTGCATATGTAGGCTGTATTGGTTTAGCTGTAAACCTAGGTAGTCTGAATTGAGTTGGACAGAAATACAGTGATATCTAGTTTAACTTGGACTAGAAGAGCTTCAGTAATTCTCCGTCATATAGTACTAACCCATGAATTTTTTGGTCTGAGTTTCCTAGCGAGCCTTATAGATGAGGTTTAAAGAATGTTAATAATTGACGATGTCAAGTAATGACTGAAAATCGAATAATCCAAATGTTAAACGTTTTATCACATTACTTGGGTGTGACTTGTACTGGCTCAATGATCGCGATACTGAAGTCTGAATTTGAGTCCCGCGTGCAGGATAGTAGATGCGACTCCAGTACCGGGACGAAACGGCCGGTCAGTGCTTCAGATTTTCGATGTTGGCTTAACATTGATTAGCTCATGATCTTAATGAAACTCAACAGTCTCCACTACCCAATAGGGACATACAATTGTTAATGAACCAGTCCCCAAGACTTGGATCACATCTTATTTATAACCTCATATTTCAGATGAAACTTGGATTTACTTGTTGAATCGATCAATGGGATCTAAAGTTATCAAAAAACTGGGAAGATTCGCGTCCGAATATACTGATACGTTTTTCAATACCGATGCAATAAACTCTATTGTTATATTCACGAAATCACACCAAAAAAGTTGTGTATAGCGGGAGCTTCTCTTCCCACTGCTTCACTTTAAGCCTAGTCTTCAGATTCAGAAGAGTTTAATCCCTTATTTTATTCCGATCCTGATACCCACCTTATTTTGCAAATTGTTTCCGATCTTGTCCATCTATTCTATATTAGATTTACATCCTTACATCATCCGTTGGATATTACGTAAAGATGTTTAACATTTTAAAAAAACGTTCATTATCTTTTTTCATGTTACAACTATTTTTCTATTTTTATTCTAGAATTTAATATGTGGAAAATACTTATAAAACAATAATTTGTACGAATTTGATAATAAATAACATCGTTCAAAGGAGAGTTTTTTTCTCTCTGAACTGTATTTTATTTAATGACGTAATAATCAGTCACTTCCGTAAAGAGATTAGAAAGAAAAGCGAATCTAGTGAAACATCACACTACTACTTACTTCTATGAGAGTAGTAACACAAAGAAGTAAAGAAAAAACCTAAATCACATGTATATTTACTAGATTATTAATCATTATCATCATATGTGAAATATTGAATAAAAACTGTACAATAAAATTCACTGAAATTCGATGCATCTGAATAGTAATTGAATAATAATAATAACGATCATTATTATACTCAGAAATCCAGGTTTATCAACGGAGACAAAATAGGGGAAAACTTGTTGTTAACAATAAGCATGAATTGGTCATGGTGAGTAGTAATCGATCAAGTTTATTATTGAAGAAGAAGAGGAAGAAAAGAACACATTTTACAATGATGAATAAACATTAACAACAAATATCACATCAACACAATACGGTACACATGAACAATGAGTGTTTGCAAGACAAATACATGATAATTAATTACATAAGATTATGAATAATGATGACAATGTTAATGCTGTACTACTCATGAGTAGAACAGTAGATAGAACAAAGTGATATATATATATATATATATATATATATATATATATTGATTGCATATATTATACAAAGATTTATATGAGCAAAAAGAAAATCTTCATTCTTTGCTTCGAATTGAATAGAAAATTTAAATGATAAATAAGCCACAACAACAACAAAAATGCATGAGTTATTGTAAAATTATATGAGAACAAAATTAAATGGTTTGTATAGAAGAAGAATGAGAAGTGGTAATAGCAGGAAATGTGTGTGTGTGTGGTAGTAGTAGTAGTTTGATTAAATTTCTGTAAAAGGTATCGGGCGCATCATTTTCACTTTTATTTTGTAAAACATTAAATAGAATAGAAGCCTAAATAGTTGGACATGTCTGGGGGTAGAAGATGATTAAGAATGTATAGTATATCAGTGTATAAATATGGTTGAATATAAAGTATACAAATCTTGTTCATTGTGTACTTCTTTTTGTTTGATCACAGTATAAGAAGCAAGGATTCAAGTCAAATTGTAGAACATGAATAATGATTATAGGATCTGTACAGTTTCGTCAAGAAACAAATAACAACCGAAAAACATTTAAGATAAGAGAATTTTTTCCCATAACAGTAGCAATATTACTGATGATAATTATACGATTATATATATATATATATATATATATATATATATATATATATATATATATATATATATATATATATATCCATTGATAAGTATGTTTCGCTTGTATGAAACAATTTGCATTACCTACAATTTAAATCATAATTAGAAAAGTTTTCTTTTATTGAATAGTTTTTTGTATACGTTCAATCCATTGCATAGCACTTTCTTGATTGATAGCACCGAGTTTGTATGTTCGATTATTGGTCTCAAGCTATGGAAAAAGAATGCATAGATTGAATGTATTATTATTATTATTCTTTGTATTTATGCTGTATCATTAGTGAGCAAATACATTACTATTTATGTATAAATTCCATTTATCATAAGCTTTCGGTTAACCTATTAACTAAGGTTATTTGATTTACTATTTCTAATTTATTGCTATTCGATTACTCACAGTCACTGTGATCGTTATTTTCTATTTTGTGGTGTAATAAGGTTTAGTATGCGTAAATGTGAAGCACTCTAGCTCAAATATAAATACAGTATAGGTCCGTTGGCGACTCTTTTGTACATAAAGAGAAGATTGTGAATATTGGACTAGTAAAAATTTAGTTCTCGGCTTAGGATCAATAGTACTAATCGGAAACAATAAGTTACAGAGTGAATAGTACACATAAAATAGACCAAATTAGAATCAAGCCTCTCATTGGTGGCGGCACGTGATTTTGGTCAGAGGGTTTCAAGATATAACAACTATTCAGTAAGCATACAACTATTATTAATATACGTAAATTGTGGAGGTTATCGAGTTTCACAAATTGCTCACCTATTGTTACCCAACAATAGCATTAGAAGATTGTTGTACAGTAGCCTGAACTGATAAACATTGGACATGTAAACCATTGGATACCAACTTAGTAGTTAAATTCTCTCTATGAGATCTGAATATTTTAGGTTTGATCCCTAGTGTGAGTCCCATTCTAAGAAAAAACAGCTGTCCACCAGTGTTTTGTGATTTTCAATGGTTATCTAATTACATTTAGTTGTTGATGTGAATCTCCACATTAAACAATCTCCATAAAACCCCTATACAATATTATTGATTGACAAAATTGAAAGTTGTAAACACACTTAGGACCTACTACAATACCGAAAATCAATATTAATCAAACAGACAATAACTCACTTCAAATACAACAAATGCAGGTGATTTTCGTTGAATTGCAAAATTTTTAATAATTCTCACTGTTCTAACATCTTGTAAATCAATACAACCACGAGGTGAAGCATTAGCATAACTTTCATAATATTTCAATTGATGCCGATTTGTATCTAAAGCGAATAAACGTTGTTTCCATTGTTGTAAAAATTTACGATGACCTAATTTATATAAATAACCATAATATGATGCTGAAGCTAAATGTTCCGGTAGATGATGTTCAACAGTAGTAGTAGTACCACCACCGGGTAGACTATGACCACTTTGTGATTGACCATCAGATGTGTTAGTATGTGCTAAAGATGAAGAACTTTCACTTACTTTACGTTTTCCACGTTTGTCATGTCTAAAATTAAAATTGTTTTATTAAGGAAAAAAAAAGAAAATGGGTTATGACAGACAGATGTGAATAGGTTATTGTAAATTTTTCAAGAAAAAAAGGGAAATCAGGAATATTCCAGAAGGTTAGAGGTAACTGGTATGAAATTCTAGGATTTTAGTTTTAAGTTAATTGGCACTCAATAACAGTAAGGTGTATATGGGATATTGAGGAAATTGGAACTCGCTATGAAATTCGAGTTCCCATAACTATGATGCTTCACAATCTAATATGTTACCACTGATTTACACATACTAGGACTGACCTTCTGTAGGACTGGAATATTTACAACTTACTTCGTAATCTAACAATCATCAACTGTAAAGTTTTATAATTATCGAAATATATACAACTTATAGTTATAAGCACCATTGGAATAATGACATTTTTAACTGCATGAACTTATAAATTTATCTGTTGAATGGTTTTATCTTTATCCATAGTCTCAACATATGTGTAGGAGCATTCTTAAATATTCTTGTGTAAAAGTACTTGTTTAAGTACCCAAATGCTGGAAGGAAATATTTTGTTAGAACGATTCGAGATTAGCAAGAAGTTTGGCAATAAAATGTTTAAACTTTGTAATTTGTTTCTGTTTTTGTAAACGCACTAAGGACATCTAATGCCGGAAAGTAAGGTATTGACGTGTTATATGCGAGATCAAAATGAGTATAAAATAATAATTGGTGTAAAGATGACACTTTACATAATATCTAAATAAATGTTAAGGATAGAAACGACATGTTGTGACCTCGTTCTATCATGTTACCGGTAAGTGATCTGATATATTACAGCTTATTGGTCCAAGTAGAACTTATCAGTCTTTAATCCCACATGTCAGTCAGTCAGTAACAACGCAGAGCTCCGTACGTACGTACATCGGTTCGAGTTGCCACACCACATTAGCACAGCGATGCAGTGGTCGATTCAAATCCCGTAGTGCTGGATGTAGTAAAATTATAAACTGTAATCAGAAAAATTAGGGTTTGAAGATGTTAATCAAGGAGTATAATACAGTGAAATAAATTCGGAAAGAGAAAAAAGAAAGGGACATGAAGAATTCAGAAGATTAGAATTTGGGAGAACACAAAGAGTGGATGCACCTGCACTCACCACTGCAAACGATTTTGAGCCATGTCATTCAGGGTCTCTAACCATCGGTTGCTATCATCTCGCGGTTCCCAACCAGGTAGTCTACACCTACCAATATGATTCAGTCTACTTGTCAGTGACTTCATGGACTTGTGCCATGTTTTGGTCTGGCCGCCCCTAGCTTTCTTCCAATCTACTCCTATACAACAATTAATCCCACATGAGAATAGGAGGAAACAAAGTCTATAAATAATCTCTATACTCAGAAAACTCATATGAATATACAAATAAATTACAGGACCATTATGGCGAATGAAGACTTGTTTAATGCAAAATCATACAGTGCCTTGGTAAAATATGAAAATTATAAATTAAATACATTATTAGCACATCTTATTTGTGTTGTCCTTAACATACTTCACTATTCCTTTGAGTCTATTGTCATTTTGACGGCTATCCGATTTCCTTTCTGTTCTTTTCAAATCAATCTTCTGTTGCCAGGCGTGCCACTTCCCATTGTGGCTACATACTACTTATATTCGTCAGCATAAGTAGTACACACTACACCAAATCATACCATACATAACAAATCACAACATATACTTAACTAGGAAATTTCTCATCTGAATAAAATAGGCTTAGAATGAATTCATCATGACAATTTCGGAACAAAATAAGAATAAAATAACGGTGGGAAAGAAAAGAAAATTACAATTAGTTCAACCGAACTAATAACTAATATGAAAATATAGAATAAACAATGCTTAAAATTCATTTTCCTACTACAGTCTGGGCATTACGTTTAATCAAGGCGTAAAATCACTTTTCATCACAATACTAATTGCTTACATTAAAACTAAAGAAGATCTAAATGCTTGATCTCGTTCAGTACGCCATGGTAAAGTTGAATTGAATAAACTACCACCAGAACCAGCTACACCAAAAGTTAAAGAAGATTTTTCTATATCATTAGATTGTTTTAATTTTCCATTGTCTATTTCATTTGGAAAATATGCAGAACCATGTCTTTTCAGTAAATTCCCTGTTTTATTGATTTGATTCAAAGTATTTGTTACAGATGAATGAAAACATTTTGAATTTATAGATGATGAACATTTTGTATGACATAATAGATCACATTCAATACATTTAAGAATATCATCTGATGATTGACAAATGTTCTGACATAATTCACACTGTACATTTGTATTATTAGTTATTCGAGATGAAGTAAATTTATGCAGATGATGTTGAAGCTAGAAAAGAAAACAACTTAACAATGCCAATAAAGACTGATCAAAGAAACAAATGAATATTGTGATGAAATGTAGATTCTTTAAGGAAGATATATTTTAGGAATCGTTTGTTTTTTGATTAACAATTAATGATCTAACTAGGAATATTGGACACTTCACATAGTTTGCTATAAAAGTTTATGAAGTGAATTCATCAAATGTAGCATATTCATGGCAGACAAGTGGAATAAATTATACTTGAGAGAATGAACAAATAATAAACAATGAAGGTGAAATGAGTCAGATTTCCTTTTAAAATGCAAACAAACAAAGGGTTGCAGTGATCTGATCATGTTGTTTGCAACAAATGCAAGATCAAGTTCCAATGTTTAATAAGAATTGTTTTTAATATACATAGTTAACTACTAATCTGGACAAATTTTAACTGTAATCACTTTGTTATTTCATAAATTTACACATGAAACCTTAATTCTATAGTACACATTTTCTCGATGAAACGAATGAGAGAAAAATAAACAAAATCTAACTTACTTCATCTTGTACAGGGGCGTTGATATCGAATCCATCAATTCTAATTGTATCATGTAACATGGTACTGCCAAGACCACCGCCAGTACCAGTAAGGCTATTTACACTATCTGATTCATATTCAATCGCCAGATCTCGATATCCAGTACTTAAATCAGTATCCAATGATGAGTAATCAGGCATCAATTGATGGTAATTTTGACCATTTGATGACAACCCTACATTACTCTCAACACCAATATTACCACCGATACCGATTCTACATGCAGTACGACGAGTTAAACGCTTCAAAGTAGTTGTTCGGTGATATTCTAGTATAGCATGACGTGTAAAATGATAATCATCTAGTGAGGATTCACCAACTGAATCATATCGATCACCATAAATATAATCATTATCTTCATGAAATGCTTCATCTTCTGAAGTTTGTTCAGATTTCGGTATGTTATTACCATTATAATTTGTTTTTAAAACGTTGAGATTACTATCAGTAGTATTGTTAGTGGTACGTGGATGTTTTGTTTCAATTCCATTTATTGTTCGATCATCATTGGATTTTAATATTTCTCTAGATTTTGAATGATTACAATCTTTTATTGTTCGTACTGTTATAGTTGTACTATTTGTAGGTGGTGGATTCATGTCAGTACTCAGTTGACTTTCAGCATTATCATTCATGGTAGAATCTTTTATAATAATGACATGTGATTGAGTTGTTTCATTTGAATGTTGTTCAGATACTGGGATTGAACTGGTAGTAATCACTTCGGGACAATTTGCAAATGTACTATCCAAATCAATGCTAGCACTACTTTCTTCTTGTGGTGTTAATGTTTGAGTTAATTCATTAGTTAGTGGATAAGTTGTTGATGAAGATGTAGTGGTCAATGATGATACCAATACACTATTCGTTTGATTAGTATCTAATAAACCACTAGATACTGCACGTCGTCTAGACATTGCATAATCAGATGTGACTAATTTATGATGTGATAAACTTTCAATTGGTTCACTGCTTTCTCTATATGGTGTACAACGTGATGGTAATTGATTGGAATGATGAACCATTTTAACATGAGTGTTTATTTTGCTATCAGTATTACTACTACTTATAGTATTAGTAGTAGTAGTAGTGGCAGAAGCAGAAGTATCTACAACAGATCGTGGAATATTCGAAGTTGACTGAATATTTACAGTTGATTTATCATGTTTTGTCATATGTTTATGTGGATGTGATGAATATAAGTTAAGCAGTTCAGACTGTGCTTGTTCCCATGCATCTTGCCAACCAACAGCTTCTTCTCCTTCACGTAATCCTAAAACAGCATATGTTTGCTCCTTAAGTATAGAAGAGAAAGGAAGAGAAAGAAATATTTACCAGTTATCATTTTAACCTGCTGTGAAAGTTGCAACAGTCTGACTGTGATACCAAAAATAATTATTGATTGAAACGTGCAGTAATACACTTGTGGTAATAAAACTACGAAATCCTGATTATATGAATTCTTCCAAGTTTCCAAGAGATAATGTTTTAAGCCTCTTATGTTTTTGTCTTATCAGGTAATCTATGTATAATTATATGTCATATAAATTCAACTTACTGATTGTGCAAAATAACCAAAAACGAATGATTTAAGAAATTGAAAATAACTGTGACTAATCATACAAGAAGACAACTGTTATACTTCAGCGTTCAAAATAAATAAACTGTAAAAACAGTTAAACATAGTTACAGTTGATCGATCGCCGACTGGCTCATGACTACTGTTATGTTTGTCTATTTCTTCTTAGTGTTAAATAAATAACGTTGATTAAGACGTAATGTGGACACAAGTCTAAATGATTGAACACAGCACACAAAATGCTCAAATCAAAGGTCTCTATAAACAATCAATTGACAACCCTGGATTTAAGCTTTATACCGGTTGACACTCGTCAACAAGACATACTTGTAGTGTTAACGGGAGTGATGTCAATCGTGGGATCAGGATACGCGTCGCCAAGTTTCACAATATAAGATACTACCATTTGATTACTCGAGCATCATTTGTCTTAAGATTGCAGGAACATTATACTGAAGAGTGTCAAACAAACGTGAAATTTAGCTATAAAGTTCGAATAAAATTAAGACAACTGTGATGTACGTTTATTATTCACACTCAACCTCTCCTTAATTAACAATTTTTCACAGCTCCACACACTTTCTATTCCTTTAATCTGTCTTGCAGTAATACCAATACTTTTACAAATGATATATGTGGTTACCATTGCTGTTAAAGATAAGAGTGAATAATTTATACAGTGATTACTGTTTTAATAACGATGAGCCCTAGTATTTGTGTAATTACTAGTTCAGATTCAATTTCTAACGTGGTTACAAGGAAAGATAATTGATCTCTCAGCATAGTACATCTTTATATAGATATATTTGCAAGAAGAAAAGTGTGTACTTAAACTGATGAAGCAGCTATTTAGTTAACATATTTCTAATATTGATGATCATACCCACAAAATATATCGTTGAAGGATAAGGGACGAAATGTTATAGCCGTTTAAATGTCAGTCATAAAATTTTTTGGCAACTATCTATAATCCCCTAACAATTAAATATATTCACAAACACGCAAGGATAAAGCCCTTTGAGTACGGTTTATGTAACTAGCTACACACGAGCACTTAAATTGGTATACAAACATGGAGGAGCCCATCATCGGTAACCTATCCTTGATTTGTTGTGTAAGTACTGGTTTAGTTGAGAACATGTATCAGCATGGTCGGGAAAAGGATTTACTAAACCGATTAACAGCACCATTTCTTCTCACTTGGTAGATAATAATAATAATAATAATTTATATTCTGAACATTAAATCAAATACATATATTGAATTGATTAACCAGGAGTACTACACGCACATAACACACCGATTCAATATAGGAACTTTCATAGATGAAATTTCTATTCAATAATTAATTCCTTATTTCATATTAATTAAATAATAGAAGGAAATTGTTATATCTGGATGAAAAATAAATGAATGGTAACCGCCAGCAATTATTTATGGACCGTTATTGGGCTTGATCTTGTATAATTGTTATTTTCTATTTATGGTATGATGCGGACTGGTTTGTTTGTATATAAACCCAGTATATTTGAAAAATATGATTCGTTTAACGGGGGGCGATATTAGCGTTCTGGACTGAACCGGCTGGATTAGGAAAGAAGCTACTGTTTCAGAGGATCAATAAGAAATCTAGACTGCTCGTACAGGATTATACGTCATTAAACAGGTCATATAAGACGGTGTCTCTAATTGCCGGCGATCGTATTTTGTGATATAATTAATCGGGCATAATAACATAACAGAAATAATAAATAATTGGCAAATATTTAATAGAATAACAATAATAATAATTTATAACTAACAATATGACTATTGTTAAATCCCTGTCGTAAAACCGGTTCATATGGACGATTCGTATTTTTACGATAACTAGGTGAGAAATGATCTAAATCATAGATTGAACCACAAGCCAAATCTTCAGTTAAATAAAATTTCCATAAATCAAATGAAGCTAAATATGTTGCTGGTCTAAGAACCTGTTATGTAATATATAAAGAAGAAAAATGAGAAAAACAATATCGAATAAAACAAGAAAATAATTCAATAACATATTAATGGTTACATTTGAATTGCTCAATCTTTTAAGAATATTGAGTATAGAAAGGGAGAAGAGAGATTTTTAACTGCTATTGAAATGTTTAACATTGAATTTTAACAGCTTTCTGGTTCTATCTCTTTTCATCATTTCAACTATCGAACGAAAAACAAAAAGGTGGGAAGTATGAGAAGAAACTTTACTTCTAAGGTTTGTTTACTTACAGAAAACGTAATATTCTGAAAATATGTTAAAATCACTAATAAAAAAAGTCTATAACTGTCTAATTAGGACATGAAATATTATTCCCCGTTTCTATAAAAATGATTGACTGGATAGAATGTTCTCAAATTTTCGCCAGCTGCTGAAGACTTCTCTGTGGGAATTTTCAATCTTTTAGAAAGCAATATGAGTAGGTAATCTAATTTTGGGTGAAATTATAGGAGATTATTACATAATATATATGTTGTTGTTGTTGTGTAGTTATTAAATATATGACTCACAAATTTTTTTAGATAACCATAGTTGCAAGTTTTCATTCAACTCACTGACTGTTGATAATATCCTTCAGTGATTAAATATTACTGTTAATGAATTGTACACATACCACCATTCAAAGTTTTGAAGTCATAATGTGCACAGAATTATTGATTGGATGTTCTAGTATTCCGATTGAACAAATGGAGAACAGAATGAGTTCATGTGGGTCAAACAAGATCAACATACTTATGGAGCACAACGGTTTGAGACAAGGCTCGTTAGCATAATAGACAGAAAGCGAATTACTCATTGACAGATTCCGAAATTCAGTGATTTCATTATTCAGGTAAATAAAAGTTGAATTCATAACAGTAAGCGCACACCAAAATGAACTCATGATGTATTTGGATAAGAGGGCAATTGAAGCTTTTAAAAAGACCTCAGTTTAGAGACTATAACATTGGATCTATATATCTGTAATAGGAATGGTTATATAACTGGTGGTTGAACCCTATCTATCAACGGGATAAACAAGTATCACTCAGAAATCCCTTACTTCTATGTGTACCTCCAATTAGTTAGTTGGTAAAATTCGATTACAAGGTCAAAGAAAAAAACTACCTGGAAATTTCCAACTATACATATAATGATCTGTTTATATTGGTGTTTTTGAGATTGACAAAGTTCAATTACTCATTTGAATTTCCTAAGTGATGTGCTCTCTGAGCTCGTAAATCATTAACCTGAACTAAAAATTGATAAGTCTACTACTGGATACTCAATTCTGAATTTTTAGCCGCTTCCGTCTACTTATACACTTTAACTTGAACAACAGAGAAAAGATGAGAAAAGAAAGTAAAGGTTTTGCTCCAAGGTTAATTATGTACAAATTATTTATAGAGTTCCATGTGGCTGTAATCTTCTAAAACTTTCTAGAAATACACTAGATTTAACGATACCATAAGTAATTATCCAACCAAAAGCGTAATCCCTAATTTTCTAAATGTTTCATGAAAAGTCTCCATTGAGCACAGATTGGATAAAACATTTCCTAGAGTTCATTAAACTTCTAAAGACTTTGATGAAGGAATCAAAAGATTATTTTTTTAGACTATCTAATACAAATCCTTTCAACTAACCTACGACAATTAAATATATAATTGAAACGGGGCACAAAATTAACATTATTACAGATTTTAAAACGTTGTATAGAAATTGTCAAGGACAAATCCTCAGGTTTATTGAAACCTTGGCTATTCCTAAATTTAACCCCCCACCTCCTTATGTGTACAAATACAATTTGTCGTAACCTTCAATTTACACTGGTAATCCTTAAGTTATTCTATGGCCTAGGATAACGCGATAATTTCTTATTCTTTTTAAACGATGTAAAATTGTTTCACTCCCCATTGTTACATTTCCGACTTGAACTTTCATTTAATTGACCTTTCTTAATTTTCATATAAAATGCGCTGATAAGTATATGTGTAACCAGATTGTTCGAAATGTATAGCTCAAATACATCACATTTTTCAGATCAACTCCGTCTTCTCATTGTTCTATCGAAATTTATAAAAGGGATTAATTGCTTTAAACTTTTTTTTCAGTTCAAATCATCATACAACTGATCTATATAAATAGTAATAACTAAACTAAATTAACAATAAAATATAATTTTAATAGTTGAGATCATGAGTCAATTGAAACTAGACCATCATGAAAAACCTGGAAGCACTTGATGGCCGTTTAGTCCTACTATGGACATCCACGATCCCACCTCGAGAGATTCCAACCCAAGATCTATCAGTCTCGCGTGCGCGAGCGCCTAACCAACTAAACCACTGAGTTGTCCGTCATTCAACGGTGTTAATATCTAACTTCAACTAATACATGAAATTGAGCGACACATCCACCATTGTCTTTAGTGAGTTACTATCTCACAACAAACTCGGTTGAACTCCACTTGATCACTGTTTATCACTAGAACTCCAGAAAATACCTCTTGAAACCAGTCACTAGTAAGTATATATTGATTAATCCCGACCTTTGTTGCTACCTTGACGTGGTGGTCAGACTTGCCTATCGTGATGAAGCAACTGAGCTATATTGGCTGGAACAACCGTTCCTCAAGGTCCTACCATGTCAGACAGGTCGGTTGAAGAGCGGTAAGACTAAAAGCAACAAACCCAAGGTCCGAAGGCGAAGTCGTACTGCTGACTGTACAAAAGTGTGACAGCAGTAAGGTGTTTCCTTCAGACAACCAGCATGACAGCAATGCTGCTTTCCCACAAGGAGGGATGAGGTTAGAAAAGGTCGACCCTAAAAATGTACACCTCGCCTTATTCCACGGATATCCGTCTCCGGCGGTAAGGTCTCAACAAGTACGGAGCTAACATAAAAATCACCCATCAAAAGGTCGTGTGTGACCGACCTCAAACAGTTGTCCCTTGGGCACTGGGGTCACGCTCTCAGATCACTAAGACCACCACCTCTAATCCAATTTCCTTTTCAGGTACCTCCAGAAGAACCCTTCCATGGTGTGTGGGAAACCGGGGAAAATGATAACTACCCTCATACCTCTAACAACACTCAAGACCATATTCATCAGTATCAGAATGCGTTCGATTCTTGCAAGGTGAGGATCATAGATACACACAGTGCTGAGGAATCCCACACAATAGGATGAAATGGACATCTAAATGCTTCCAGGTTCTTCATAATGGTCTATAGTTTCAATTATTATTATTATTATTATTATTATTATTATTATTATTATCATTATTATTATTATTATTATTAGCTTTATTCAATATTATAATTTTGGTACAATATAGAATTCTCAGCGCAAAGTATTTCAACAAGTTTCCGTTTCTTTCTTCTTGGTCGGTCCTGGCGATAAATATTGAGGGATCGCCAGTTAGATGTTAGCACTTCAGTGAATGAACAACTGAATAATGTACATTCTTTTCGTTGTATATTGCCAGCAACCATATTGTCTCTTATTGAGTTTTCTGTAACTTTGACAACGAAAGGTTGTACACTTTTCAGAAACGCAGCAGAATAGGTTATGCGATTATTAAACATAATGATATATTAAAACAAACAACAATAGATAACTTGTTGAAATATCTAGATGGCAGGAACAGGTAGCCCAGATGCTCAAGCAGGCCGCCATGATCTAAACTATTCAAATGAAAGATTATAATGAATAATTTGGAATATATATATATAAATATTACCTTTTCACTCAATGTAGGTGAATAACGAAAATTAAAAAATATAGGCCATTCATAATGTTGTTGTTGTATAAATGGCCATATAGAATGTGAATAATATAATTCTAATAAATGTTCATCTATATTTGATATAATACTTGTACCATATTTATAATTATTTAATAAACTTTCAATTAATTTCGGAAACCATATAGTAAATCTTTCAAATTCTGTATCATATTTAAAATTATGAAAACGATTTGATATATAATGATATGCAATAAATTGTATATAATAATCATTGAATTCAAATGATAATGGAAATTGTTTTAATAATTGATGTACAGCATCTAAAAATTGTAAAAATATTGGTGAAAAATGATTGGTTTTATTTATTATTGTTTGATTGGAATTAGAATTAAATGTATGCCCAAATATTAACCATTCTTTATCAATTAAACTCCAAAAACCATAAATTGTACGATAATATGGATCAAGCATAATTTGTACTAATGATACAGTCTATAAAGAAATAAAAAAAGAAAGAAAGAAAGAAAGACGAAAGCAGTGAGATAAAAGAAGAATAATTAAAAGATTATTATATATATATTTTTCAAAAATATTGATCATTGAAAGTCCTATTCATTGATTTCTCGTGATGGGGGTCAGTCAGTAACAACGTAGAAATTCGTGTGTACATACGTACATCAGTTAGAGTTGCCATACTACATTAGCACAGAGATGTAGTTGTCGATTCAAATCCCGTAGTGGTAGAGGCGGTAAGAGTAAAAGCAGTAATCGGAAACATTATGTATACGAATATTCGTCAAGATTAGAATGAAAAGTTTCACAGTAATTGAGCGCCGAGTATAGAGATGTCATTATATGTGAAAATTATATTTGAAATATTCTCAGCGATTGAAATTTAACTAATTCCAACGTTTCGTCCAGTTAAGTTGTCTGGACGAAACGTTGGAATTAGTTAAATTTCAATCGCTGAGAATATTTCAAATATAATTTTCACAGATAATGGAAACATTATGGTTTGAAGATGTTAATCAAGGAGTATAATACAGCGAAATAAATTAGGGAAGAGAAAAAAGAAAGGGACATGAAGAATTCAGGAGATTAGAATTTGGGAGAACACAAAGAGTGGATGCACCTGCGCTATTGCAAACGATTTTCAGCCATGTCATTCACGGTCTCTAACCATCAGTTGCTATCATCTCGCGGCCCCCAACCACGTAGTCTACACTTACCAATATGACTCAGTCTACTTGTCAGTGACTTCATGGATTTGTGCCATGTTTTGGTCTGGCCGCCCCTAGCTTTCTTCCAATCTATTCCATTCATATACCACTGAACATCGCACGTCGAGGCAGTCGGTGGTTGGGCATACGTAACACGTGTCCCAACCATCTCAACCGATGAAGTTTCACTACTTCATCAATTGATTTGCCATCCTTACTTAGTACCCGTTTCCTAACAACTGCATTACTTACTCGATGGTCTCACGATATACGAGCAATATTTCGAAGACACCTATGATCAAATACTAGTAACCTACAAATATCCTCTACTCTTACTGGCCATGTTTCACTGCCATAAAGTAGGACGGAACGAACTGCTGAGCAGTAAACACGTCCTTCGGTTGGTAGACAGATATCTCGCCTACGCCATAAATGACGCAAGTTGGAAAAGCTAGTCGAGCCTTTTGTATGCGTGCTGAGACGTCGTCACGAAAAACAAATTTCCAGTGCTTTATTCGGGTTGGTGGACATGAATGAGTTGAAAAACCCTGATTCCAAATTAGTGGTGTACACGGGCTTCAAAATCCTAAGAGAACAAATGGCGTATAAACTAATTATTGGTCACCGACTACCATGAGACTGTATCTCCTAACGTTGCACCACTGCCTTGTGGATTAGGCAACTAGATCAAAGGCTCGAAGAGCGGTCTCGTAAGAAAACCACTTGCTTCGGTTTGAGCACCCGGACAGTATTCCAACCCTCACACAAATCGAATGATTTATGTGGTGCACATCTAATTGGTGCCTCCTTGTACCAATGTTTATGTGCTTAAATGAATAAATATAATTGGCAATTACAATTGATCGACTGGTAAAGTAGTGAATCTTTATCAATTGAGATAGCTGGAACATGTGGTGACATATACACATATATCGTCGAACTGGAATTACGATGTTAAGTACTGTAAAAAATAGACTGAGAAAATGACAAAGAAAGATGTGGTATTACTATATGAAGTCATTGACTGTAGGAGTAAGATAATTTGTTAAGATCCATATAATTATCGCAAGCACGTGATTAAATACGTTGGTAGGGATAACTGAGAATTTGTCGTGGTAGTATAGATGCATTCACTGTTTGCCTGAGATTTAGAGCTTTTAAGTTTATTTTCAAAAGTTTATTTCACGAAGTCATTTTTTCTTGAATAATATCTATTATGTCCAATGTTTCCTACCACCACTGACAGTTTGTTACTTCTAACACTCTGGAACATGTCATGATTAAATCATATCACTTTGTTGATAAGATGTGTAACAGTTTGAATCGATGAACATATGTATCAGATTCGATGTTGCCGAAGGTTAAATAACTAGCTGACTAACTGATAATTACATAACTCTTAACTATAAGAAAGTGAAACTATAACCAAACAGTAACAATTTTAAAAATGGGTCTAAGTACTACAAATCTGTATTTCCAATCAATCAATAGTTTACTGGAAAATGGGATAAAATTGCTGAAACAGGTGGTAGTAACTAGTAACTGTGAAACGTAAATTTATAGATGTCGATGATTATTTCAACAATGTAAGATTTTATGCAATACAAATTAGCACCGGATCGTTTAATACTACTTGATAAATAGAATGTAATTATAACAATAAGAAAGAGTAAACAAGGCATCTATTAATTGCACGTAAACTCATTTTACAACAAATAGCCTCGTGAACTTCAATTTGGTAATTTCAATACTGAATAAAGGCAGTTGCATTAAAAATGTAGTCAGATAATCCACGAATTTTTCAGCTTGAGCCATGATGAAACAAACAAACAAACATTACAGGAGCTATGACGTAAACTAACAGTACTGGATTGTATTGGTCCCAGGTCTTTTCCTGTATACTACCTCTCTCTTCATATATAACAAGAGGTAGAAATCGCTCGTATTCAAGATGATGGTTCAAAAGACACTAACATCTGTATTAAAGACTGTCACATAAAATATCATATAATTGATAAAGATTCTAGGATGATTTAGAAACGCTAAAAGGTTAGGTCAACTTCACACGACACTATAACGGAATCCACTAGGCGATAGCCCCAAAGCGAATAACAAGGGATATTTGTGTCATAATCATAGAGTAAATAAACATCAATGTAAAATTCGTAAATCAAACTAGCTACTACACCATATTCAAATATATATTTTCTACAAAGTACATTAGGAATTTATGAACTTATGATTATGGGTTGTTTGTGAAAAGAAATGATTATTCTATCGTCTCTGCAATTTTTATACTCATGAATTACTGACTACAACATTTTCTGGTGTATCGAATATTTAGAAGATGAGGTCTATCAAACAAAACGAATTACCAGTCTACATACATGGGTTGTATTGAAGTGCAAAGAAACCGACTAAGTCAATGTACATCAAATTAAAAAAATTTTTCAACTCACCTGTGCAACAACATCACTGCCGTTTTCTAAACACAATGCTACACTAGCACCCTGTAAATCTAACAAATCTACCACTGTTCCAGCTAATTCCAATAATGATTTCAATTGGAGAAACCAGCCATTTTCATGTGCTTCAGTGAAAACATTCATATATTTAGAATTACTTGCTTCTGGTATAGTAGATGTTGTAATATTTTCCGTCTCTATAGTTTCACTTGCATTGACATTACCATTACTAGTATTATCATGAAATGAATAAGGTTCATTTTGATGATGTATGAAATGACCGCCTAGTGTTGCATTAATTCCATGATGATGATGACTATTATTACCAATATTAGTAGTAGTATTAGCATGATCAAATGAAACACCAGTAGCTGTAGACGCTGCTGCAGATAAAAGTTTTGTAGCTGTTTTCGATCGATTCGAATCATTTGGAAGGCAAGCTTTAAAAAATCCTTTAAAAGATTTAGTCACTGTTGCTGTAGTTGGATAGTCAATTGGTGATAAAAGAACAGATGATGAATTAAATATTTTCGACATCTACCAAATATTAGGAAAAAAAGGAAATATTAGTAAGACGTTGTCATAGAGATAATTGAATTTTAATGAAATCGCGAACCGCTTTTGGTTAGACTAGTACTTTTTTGGAAATTCGAAAGCACTGTACAGTTTTGTTTCGTTCTAGTATGGAACTCTTCACGAAATAATGGTTGTTCAATATTTCTAGAGGTGGTTGTCTAGTCAGTCATTAACAACGTGGAACTTCGTATGTACGTACGTACATCAGTTCGAGTTGCCACACCACATTAGCACAGAGATGCAGTTGTCGATTCAAATCCCGTAGTGCTAGATGTAGTAAAATTATAAGCTGTAATCAGAAAAATTAGGGTTTGAACATGTTATTTAAAGAGTATAATAGAGTGAAACAAATTTGGAAAGAGAAAAAAGAGACAAGGAGGATTCAGGAGATTAGAATTTCGAAGAACACAAAGAAAGGATGCATCTGCGCTATTGCAAACGATTTTGAGCCATCTCATTCAGGGTCTCTAACCATCGGTTGCTATCATCTCGCCCCTAGCTTTCTTCCAATCTACTCCTATTCCACTGAACATCGCACATCGAGGCAGTCGGTGGTTGGGCATACGTAACACGTGTCCCAGCCATCTCAACTTTAGATTGATACGTGATTTCAATAAAACTTATATATTTCAGTAAGAATTTGTTTATTTTCCATCATATAAATTAAAGATAATCACAACTTAATAATTATATGTTTACATAATCTCAATAAGTGAATGATAATTAAATATTTCGAGATACTCTAAACAATTTAAGTGTGTGTGTGTGTGTGTTTTAAAAACATTTTAACGTTGAATGGAGTATAGGGTTCGTTTTTTTTTGTTATGTAATCATTAAACATTGAATCGAGTGTTATATACAACTTATAAAGTTTTTTTTCCTAAGTAGAAGTGGTGTCACATCGAGTGGTTAACATAGATACACGTATATTACCGAGAGGCTTATATGCTACTATAGCTTAAACAAGCTAACATACATCATATACTATTGACAATTAATTCATATACATGATTTAGTCAATATCTACCCACTTTGAATGAATAAATTATGGTAAATTCTCATTTTTTAATTTTAAAAAATGGAATTAATAAATCTAACAATTGAAATAGCAACAGATCTATGATAACTGATTGATTAACCAATCAAACACTAATTACTGGGAAACGGATTAAAGTTCGACTCACACCTGCTTGAGCTATCCCACAAATGATGGGAACTTTATTTCATGAACAAATATGAGATGCTAGGAGGGGACAAGACTAGTCCCCCAATCTATTGTAAATATGGGCTATCTGAAAGGGACATGTAACAAAGATAAATGTGTATTGCGGAACTGTAAAAACAGTGTATTCATTTTGGCCCCTAACTGGATTATCTAAAGGAATATCCATTAGATTTTGGCCTCAACCGGAGCGATGGCCATAAACTATGCTATAACCAGTGCATGGAGGTATGGTATGAGCGTGAAGGAGCTGAATGTCAGTAGGTGAATTTTAATCCAGTGATTTGAAACAAAGTACATCATTTATTCCACAATACTACCGGACCCCAGACCGGTGCAAAAAATCAAATCGCATCCAAACCTATGTGTACACAATGGAATATATAGGCCTTGGTCTACGCATTCTATGTTTGAATGTGATGTATATTTGCAACCAAAAGCATTTATGCCTACGTGTGTGCATAACCCTTTAACTTGTGCATCCTATATGTTCATGTAAGGCATACTTACAATGCTAATTCTTTAATAATGACGAAGCTTAGATCGACTCGTGATTTCAACTAAGTAAAGATTATAGTCTCCACAAGCCCGATATAAAGATTTTTTTATTAAAAACCATAAAATTCCTATCGATAGCACATCGTTTTCACAAATACTGACCTTTGTCATTTGTTTTTCACATAAAACGTATAAACATATTGGTTTTTGTGAATTGGATATACCACTACTACTACCAGCATTGGAAACAATGCCAGGATAATTTGACTCATGTAATGACTGACGTGCATGATGCTGATTAGTTTGTGATGCACTATCCATACTAAGTAAATCTTCATCTAATCCAGATGCTACACTACCCATAGGTGAAACACCAGAACGTGTTAAACGATTACGACGCGCAGTAAATTTTCCAATTCTTCCTAAAGCTGAAACATGGAAATAATAATCGACAAAAGAACAATGAAATATACACATGCACAAGGATAGACAGAAAAAACTGTTTAATTAGAATTCCGCAAAACCAACAATGCAAAAACAGATTTTAAAAAACAGATGAGAGAAAAATAAAGACACTAGTGTACATTTTCTTATCAGAATAATATTAATTTGAAGAAAAGCAGATTTCTTGATTAGGTTGTATTTGATCTAGTTTGACCGAGGTGTAATGACAAGACAGGGTTGTATTATCTCTCGTCATCGATTAATCCACCTATATACCAGTAAGACTGGTTATCTTCTATTTGCAAAATGACCCGTCTACTAATAAACAATAAGTAGAATATGAGCTTCTTCTAACCCCAGTATTCAATCAGAAAACAAAGATAGAAACCAAACAAATTCCCCATTGCATACCACTCAATCACAACTCAAAACTCACACAAATAATATACCTGCAATGCCTGGCTACGCAGCGACACAATTGAACAAGTATAATATGCACATAACTTGGTCATAAGTATTGCAAACTCAAAGTAATAGAGATATAATTATTTGTTCAATTTTTGATACTCTTTAATAATTCACATTGTATGAAATAAATATTCTATTTAAAATTCATTAATTACTGAGTACTGACTAGTGTTATTTTTTTCACTCCGTGATACTGACCGAATTCTATCAATCAAATTATAATGTGGCCACTAGTTTAAGTGACTCGACATTTCAGCATAGCTCATGTGATGTCAAGTCTTTCAGACCAATGACAACCTTACAAACTGGTTGATAGAATTTGGTCAGCACTAAGGAATAGGAAAAGATGGCACTGATTAGTCAGTCATGAAAAACTAAGCCCTATATGTTGTCATTCGTGAGTCAAATAGCTTGGAGTTAACTCCTCAGACTGTAAAACGGAGTGACCTGGGTTTGAATCCTATGAGGATCGTCAGTTACCTCAAAATTTCGGGTACATCAAGCTGAAGAGTGCTGACTAACAAGAAGTTTAGGTCTATTAGGATATCTTATCGACTAATTCCGAATAGCTAACACAGATGTTCAATTCAGGTGAACTTGCAGCTGGAACTATCTGAAAAGATCAATAATCTTGACTTAACTATGAAACTTTTGAGTCCAATATTGAAAAGCAAATACTTCATATAATTCTAGTATACATCAAATGATACATTTTGAAAAAGAAAGAACAGAATTAAACAGTAAAATAGTGAACTTCCTATACAATCACAGTTCTAATATACTAATAGTAATGTTAGTTGTGTCCTATTAGATGTCACGAACATGATAAAATACCGAAGATATTTCGGGAAAATTACTTAAACATCTTTTTTACTGTGTACTTTAAAATTATATACATCCACTATAGTAATAAAGTTTAGCTATGAGCTATATTTCATGTGATATGTTTGAAAGTTTTATTCTCATTTTGGCAACAATATAATATTGCTTTTACGACTGGTCTGAACCAAGGTCTAAGACGCTGTCAAGAGGAATGAAACAGTGGAGCTCTTTGACTACAGCACTCATCTTGGAAGTGTAATACATCCTGGTGGATTGGTAACTGATGAAATATCACTGGATTTTCGCCAACTTATGTCAGTTGAATGGAATGTTAAAAATCCTTCTACCTTGCTTGATGAGTAATGTCGACTCGCGCAGGCGTAAGTTGAAAAGCTATAGGTGACAAAAGTAAGACATGACGTCAGTTAATTAAGTCCAGTGAATGTCCGTCTGAATTGTTGATAGATAAACACTACCTAATGGAGGTAAGGACAATGAACGCCATCACCGATTGTAGGTGTTAGGTGATATGGCTCAAGGTCGGTAAAATAGAAACAGATACATTCACTCATTACTTTCCTGTAAATTATATGCTGCAGTATTCCTTTGTATATATACCGTTCCACTTCGTGGTGTTGGATCACATTCTCAACGTTGTGCTATTGGCACTAAGATTAACTGACATTCGCAAGAGCCTGTACGTGACTTATGACTGACTGTCACAACACCGAGTAGGATTTCAACAATCATCATGTCAAGGTTTGGATCAGTGCATCATTCCCAAATGCCCGGGTACGGGTCTGCTCTCCATCTCCAAATGCTCTGACATGGCCACATGCATACAACTACTGCCCAGGAAGTCCTACTCACTACCTTCTCGCGACAGCAGTGTTGTTTAATAAATTGAGTGGACGACAAGCAAACGTCTGGCGCTTTAACCGGGCTGGTGGGTACGGAGGATCCACATAGGAGGGTTAGAAAACACATATTTTGAACCAATTGAATGGATGGCCTCCAGGATCCTAATGGAAAAAAAGGCGTATGAGCCTATTGTTGGTCACCGACTACCATGGGACTACATCTCCTAACGTTGCTCCACTGCCTTGTGGATTAGACCTTTAGATCAAAGGCTCGGGAAGTGGTCCCGTAAGAAAACCACCTGTTTCTGTTTGTGCACCCGGACAGTATCCCAGCCTTCACACAAATCGAATGGTTTATGTGGTGCATATCTATTTGGTGCCTCCTTGTACTAATGTTTGTGTTTGAATACAGAAATAAGATTTCGTGCATCATATTACTGAATTAATATATACACGAACCCATATAAACAGACTTTCAAGATGGTGACTGAAGACAAACAATAAATTCAATGTCATAGATGATTAATTTCACTAAAAACTCGTAAAACATGATTGAATGTTTTTAAAAAAACCATATTTCACAACTTGTTACATTTTTAAAAGTTCTCTTGAAGCAAACAAACAAACGTTTTATTGATAAACGAGATACTGTAAAATCACTATCAATCAATTCAAAATAGTGAGTATACCAATATTGGGAATCACAGTAAATTCTTAACTCAATAAAACAACTGGACTTTCGTTAGATCCATTAAATAATCATTTACGATAACAGTTAACAGAATAATCAATTGATCAAAAGTGAAGCAATAATATGAAGGGACTGAAATAACCAAATCAGTGTATAAATAGTTTAGTTCACATAGGATAACTGACATGCATACTCAATTTTTTAATGATGAGAAAAGGATTATTAAGAAGTAATTTCCGGTAAAAAAAGTTCAAAGATCTCATGTCCTTTGAATGATTTTATTACAAACATTTAACGATTGGATGCTGTATGCCAACTTTAAGTGTGCCTACGATAATTTAAGTGATTCAACATCACGTGAACTACGTTGGTATCAGAGCTTAAGGACTATACAAAGAAAATATAGGTTATTACTCAGTGATCAATTATTATGAATATCTCGACCTTTTAGGTGATTAGTCACAGTTCGAATAGAAAAGTGATAATGTCTCGGATTATACTGTTGAGTGACAATGGTATGAATTGCATATGGAGCTTTAATTCACAGAAGATTACAGTTTACACCTTGCAAACAAGCATCAAAAAGTCTTTTATTGACTACCTCCAAACACATCGTATCTAGCCCCCAAATGCCCTGGTACGGCCGAGAGTGAGGAGAGTTCGCTCTCCCTCTCGAAATGCTCTCACATGGCCACGCGTATATAGCCTCTGACAGGGAAGTCCTACTCACTGCCTTCTCGTGGCGGGTGTTGTTCACAAAAATTAGAGGACGAAAAGCGAATATCCGGCGCTTTAACCGGATTCCAAACCAATGGTGCACACGGGTTCCAGTATCCTGAAGGAACAAATGGCGTAAGAACCAACTGTTGGTCACCGGCTTCCATGGAACTGCATCTCCTTACGATGCTCTACTGCTTTGTGGATCAGACCTTCAGGTCAAAGGCTCGAGGAGTGGCTCCCTAAGATAACCACCTGTTTCGGTTTGGGCACCCGGGCAGTATCACAGCCCTCACACATATCGAATGAGATTTGTGTGGTGCATATGTATTTGATGCCTCCCGGTAGCAATATCTATGTGTTAAAATAAATAAATAAAATCGTATCTCAAAATAGTTTATAAACTACATTGTAAACTAATTAATTATTGATGTTCAAATATGTTATTAAGAGTGGAAATATCCTCGCGATTATTGAAAGCATTACATCCTACTTTTTACTGTTTCATAAGTAAATAACTCTACCTCACATGAAATACTAATAAAGTAATGTGTGACAAAAAGATAATATTTCAATGTACATCATTCTTCATTGAACAAATAATGATTGAACTGTTTAATATTATTTGTTATTAAATACTGAACAGAATGAGAGTTTCATCTGCTCAGCCGAACAGCTATTGAGATGGCAAGTACTCATTTTCTATATTTTATTTCCTTTTGAATTCCCAATAAAGTAATAATGCAACCGTAAACCATCTAACTGTTATGACTCTTAACCTATGAAAGTGTCTGGTCATCACTATAAGTCGATAGATCTCAATCAAGCATTCCAGCAGCAGCATTTATACAAGTACCCAAATATAAGAAGTTTTCAACTACTTCTAACGACTAACCACAAAGAGTAAGTATCAAAACAAGCTCTTGTTAGTCTTCTAAACATAAATGAACTGGTACATAACCAGTAAGTTTCAAAACACAAAAAAATGTAGTTTTACTGTGAAATTTAACACTGGACAATAAAATCTACATGTTGACTTATATATTAATAAACAAACTACAAGTCTACTTTGAAAATAAAAATAGTGAACTATTAAGGTTAAATGTAGCAAAACGTAATAACTGATGGAGAAGCTACGAAAAAAAAGACACACATACATACACGCAAAAATAACAGTAAAGAAAATTAATCATAACAACACACATTTATAACAGATAATCACAACGTAAACACTAACAAGAATAATAATAAACGAAAATGTAAGCAAAATAATTGGCAACACAACGACGACAACGACAACAACAACAACAAAAACAACCAAGAATTCAATAGATAAACATGTATAACATCGTCAATTAACTGAGAACAATTTGACGAAAGGTATTATTAAACTAGTTGGGGCAAAAATAACTATTACAACAATGTAAATATGAGAGAGCAGCGCATAAATTGAAAAAGCATTAAAAGAAAAAAGGAAACAAACACAAACAGACGCGCACACTTTCACGCACACATAGAACACAAATCCAGTATGAAGTTTAATATAATTCATAAAAATAATGAAATAATTAGGAGACAAATCACTTTTTTTTACACCCAATTATTCTATATACTTCGAATAATAAGATGTTGTAAATTAGGGGATACGGCTAAGTGATGTATAAAAATAGACAAATACAATCATAGATTGTTCGCCTATGAACATATTTTACAAATAAACTACACTCAAATAAGAATCATTGTAATATAGATTCATATAGCTTGAATGAATGAATAAATGCCTGTATGTATATATAAGAAAAGTATTTTTAAAACTTAACAAAAAGATCTTACCATCACGAACTGAAACAAATAGAAGAGAAAAGAAGTAAGAAATATATGATTAGGATAAAACTATGCCGACTGGAATTCAGACAACACAATTGCCATTAAATGTTATGACATTTATTTGTTACATAAGTTGGTGTTATTTTGTAAGAGTGATGAGATTTTTATGACTTATTTGGTCAAAAAAAACCGGTCAGTTGATATTGGCTCAAGATCAGTCATACAGTTTTATATCCAGCTTTGGATAGTATTTAATACATAAAAAATCAATATGAATATATATGCTTCACATTTTCCATATTATCTCTTTCGTTACAAGGTTTTAAGTAAAGGCAGTTTTGTGTCAAATCAATCACAATTACCATACATTAGATGTCAATGAGAAAAAATGAACGATAAATCTGATATTGGAATGAAAAAAATGTAATAAAGTGGTTCACAAACAGACTTAGCTAGCCAGGATTGGATGATGAGTGAAACTTATAAGGTAAACGCAACACATGAACACAAGGATTAAACATTAAACAACATAGTGATACAAGTGTTCATGGTAATAAAAATTAAAAAAAAAACGGGCTACCTAACGATATCCACCTAGCAATTATCTGTAAAAAAAATCAAAGTAGTGAAGTACATAAAAAAGAAATACGAAAATCACTGTTATTTCAAATGAATTTGAATGAAATAAACCTCACAACAGATCTGTATATAAACCAACTCAGCATAGAAGGAATGAATCAACTGACTGTAATGTTTACCTTTGTAGTTAGATTAACCCTTCAAATCTATGTATCAACCTTGTAATCCACAATTACATCAATTTTATTACAATTCAATGTCGAAATTGTCATTTTATCTACTGCTCATATTTAAACTACTATAGTTTTGAACATTTGCGATGTAAACTAATATACAATAGGTTGTCGATTCTATAGTTAACTGAGCATAAAATCATTGAGACTAGTTTGATGTGACTCAAGGAACAACAGTAATAAAATTCTATTATACATATATAATGTGAATATAAGGAAAGAGATAATTGAGTATATAGAATATTTCACAAATCATGTCTGTCAATTAATATAGTCTGAATATAGAGAAATGGAGCGAGTTCGAAGTTTAACACTGATAAATACGTCGAGAACATAAAAATACAGAGAGAGAGAAAAAGGGTTTATTCAGAAATAGCATTATTAGTTATGATGTGTTAGGAAGTGAAGATTGTCTCACATCAATGAACACAGACACGCGCACACAGTACACACTAAGTTGAAAACGTATATGTTTAGCTAAATGATCAGACTAAAATCTTGTTGATATCATTAAAAAAAGTTTACAGTAACAAGACGATAGTTCTACATTAAGTATAAAGCCTATGTAAAGGAAGTGCGAGATGATAAAGAAAACATATGTATTTGTATGGAATTAAATGACACATGATATCATTTGGTCAATTGTATGATGGATAGGCTAATTCTTGAGTAATCAGTCAATAGATAGCCAGGTGTAATCATTAATGTTAAGTTCAGTTGGTAAAAAGACAAATGACTAATTACCGACAAGTCGATTACGTTTGGAAGGATGTTATTGTGTAATAAAAATTATCTCATTCGTCTTTACATATAATCTCTGTGTAATTAATGTTATCTGTTTGAAACACGCAAAAAGCCATGGTATTAAAAACCCTGAAATTACATCCTCTAGTTAAGTGTAAAGAAAATATTGAAATGTAGTAATGAGTTTATTATTTCTTATTCAAACAATGAATTAATTGAATGCTTTCTCTACTGAAAAACAAGAAGATATTATTTTCAATATAAATAAACATTGGTTACAATATGTAAGATGTACATTCCTTTTAGACTATCAAGATTATCATTCTTACAAAGCTACCGATTCATAAATTACACAACAATCTACACACAGTGTGATATGTTATAATAAAAATGACTTTGAAAGAAAGATAAACAGCCGAATGTATCTAAATTAGTAATCAGTCAGTCGGTCAGTAACAACGTAGAACTTCGTACGTACGTACATCGGTTCGAGTTGCCACACCACATTAGCACAGAGATGCAGTTGTCGATTCAAATCCCGTAGTGCTAGATGTAGTAAAATTATAAGCTGTAATCAGAAAAATTAGGGTTTGAACATGTTATTTAAAGAGTATAATAGAGTGAAACAAATTTGGAAAGAGAAAAAAGAGACAAGGAGGGTTCAGGAGATTAAAATTTGGGAGAACACAAAGAATGGATGTAGCTGCGCCATTGCAAACGATTTTGAGCCATGTCAATCATGGTCTTTAACCATCGGTTGTTATCATCTCGATGGTTATATATATACTAATGGATTCAACTTTCATAGTCAAACATTCGATATCTATTCAATGCTTTCTGGGTTTTTTTCTTAGTGTTAATCTAACTAGGAACAGTTAGTGATGTGAACTATGAAATTCAACAGTTTCTGAAAAACTTGTATGCTAATATTATTAAATAATTGTGAAGAATTACCACTGTTTCCAAGAAGTAAAAAGAAAAGTACAGACCTTATTTAGACAACTTGTTTTTCTTAGTGTATTTTTCCATTAAATCTGTTTTTAATGCTTAAAAATGAATAAGTTGACAAATGATCTTTTATATAACTATTATAATGGTTTGGTAGAAATTATGATTTTATCAAGTGTATAAGTAACACCTATAGTATTGGTTAACTACAGATTCTGGTACTTTCCTTAACTGGAAACAATAGAATTTAAATTTAAAAAACAACACGGCTAACAGTTAGGCAGATTATTGATCATACTGAAATCAAAGTTAACCGATTATGTGAAATTTTTCTGACAGTTAATCGATTACATAACATATAGGCAGATTATTTTTCTGAAAGAGACAATACTACTACTATTTATTAACAAGTAACTAAATTATAGTTGAAAGAGTAAAAAAAACATGGCTTGAAAGTATTGTTTTGTATAATTTTGTAAAATCTAGTTCAATTAGGTATTTTAGAAGGAAATTCAAGTTAGCATAGAATGGAGACAATTATTAATTATAGTAATGAGGAGGAAAAGGAAAAGCAAAATGTACACACACCAGAAAACAATGAAAAAAATATATGAAATGATTGGACTTTTTTAATAAGTTAGTTTTCTTTATTAAATTTCTTTGTTTGTGATATGAGTATGATTTGGAACTTACCTTTGTGTTTCTTAACTGTAAAAAGTTGAGGTAATACAGGTGAATGATATATATGTATAAGAAAAACAAGAGTGATAACTCCATAGCCTCCACGTAATAATTATGTGAAAGGCGATTTTGTGGAGATTGTAGTAATTTAATAGTTGAGTTCACAAGTCGATGAAAGCTAGACTACCATGGATAACCTGATAATAATCATCATGTGCTCACTAGTGACTAAATTCAAGACGGATTTGCGGGAGTTCTAGTGAGAAGCCGTGACTAGTGGAGTTCAAAAGTGTCTGTTGTGAGCCAGCTACTCACTGAAAACAATGGTGAACGGTCGCACAGTTTCGTTGATTGGTTAAAGTTAGACATTAAAACAATAGGATGCCGGATCAATGGTCTACAGGTTAAGCGTTCACGTGCAAGACTGAAGGTATTGAGTTCGAGTCCCATATGTGGAACCGTGAATATGAACTGCTCACGAGCTCCACACTAGGAAGAAACGGCTGTTCAGTGCTTCCAGGTTTTCCATGGTGATATAGCTTTAATCGACACATGAATTTAACTAGTAATTATGTACTCACTATGAATTAAATATGAGAGGTAATTCTAGGAGTTCTAATTAAAAGCTGTAACAAGTAAAGTTTAATCTTGTTGAATGTGAAATAGTTAATTAATTACTAACGACTTGAAAAACCGTTGAATAATATTGTGAATTGACTGGAATTAAAGAAGTAAACCATTGTAATAAGGCAGCATGTATAGTGTACTATTTATGTCAGGTTCATATTTTGTGAATTAAATCAATATGAATTTCATAGAGTATGTTGTTTTTTTCCAGTGATTTTGTGTATTTTGTGGTATTACTAATTAATCATCAAGTTTGTGTAAAAATCACATATATATAGATGAGTGTACGTTTAGTTATAGACGATGTGTTTTTGGAATGGTCAATAAAATCTTCCATTGAATCAGTTTTTATGTTATTATGTTTTGTGGTAAAAATTGCAATGATTCTTGGTATTAAATGCTTATCATGAGATGTGAATGTTCTGGGTTCAGCATCTAATGACGTCATGGATATGTACTGCTGAGGAATCATACAAAACATCTTGATTATGAACAGGTGAATAACTAAAGTCAGTCCGTGACAAAAAAAACGAAAGTATACATTAAAATACATATAGATAGATATAATGTAACTGGAATTTACGCCCCTTTTCATAAGTAACAAAAATTTACATACAGTTCACTTCAAAAACCAGAGAAAGTCGCAACTTACATTTTGTTCTATTATTAGTCACATGTGAAACAACCGGACTAGGTTTATTGATAACCGGTTTGAACTCTTTCGATGAATGATCTGTTGATGGAATTTTAGGAGAAGCGACAGTAGGTAGCTGAGATGAATTTGACAAATCATCTGTCGCTGAATAACCAGTTTCTGAAGTGATAACACTACTTGGTCGACTACTATTAATAGCTGATAAAGACATATCGATTAGTGCACGAATATAACGTATATGTTCTTTAGAAACTGTCGCGTGAGAAAGTGCAGAATCAGCATTATCGTCTATGAAAAGAAGAAGTTTCAAAGATAATTGTAAGCTTTATTAGAAGAAGAGTTAAAAACTGCTTAATCGAAAACTGATAGCGAATAATCAAAGCAGGAGCTAAAAAACAGTCACTGCGTTTTATTTAAGGCTATATCCGTAACAGATTGACCGAGTTGAAATACCATTAAAAACTAGAGGGCGCTACTTACTAGATTCGTCTTCGTGTGAGACCCCATAGCAGTGAGTACACACGACTAGATCAGGAATCGAAACTATGAGCATCAGGTCTCAGGCGAACGCTTAATCATTAGAACTACTGGATACCAGTATTCAATTATACTATTTTTAACTTAAAACAATTCGTGATTTTGTCTTTGTTTGAAATTACCACTTGTACAATAGTACTTTGATAAAACATTACAAACGGTTTACTTAAATAGTCCGTTTCCATAATCAATTAACCAACTAATTAGGGTATCCGTTTTACTAAAAAATCAAAGTGATCATTATTTTTACAGATAACAAACCTTAATATCAGATATATACTGTTAATCATAATCGGCTATCATTCATTTCGTATTCATTACATATCCAATTATGTGATAATACACAGTTTGATTCATCGTATTACCGACACGCATACTTTGAACTAATCTGGAACTTTCTATCGAAAAAAATAGGTGTATTAAGTTTCCTTACAGTGTAAATGCTCAATCACTTAGTGATCATTGATGAAGGCGCCACTGTGACTGAGAATTTCAAACATAATATTCTATTCGCTAAAGAATTTTAATTTTGTACAATATGTCCATGATAAATAACTTTCAAATTTGTTATTGAATGTTTGTGTTCAATACATAGTTACTTGTAATGAAAAAGTAAACATTCAATATATCATGATTAAACTGAATATATGAACTAGGAAGAACTGTGGTAAAGTTTGAGTTAAACATTCAAATAATTCATTTGTATAATCTGATTACAATAGTGAAAAACTGATTTAGGTAAATTTATGTTTTTTTGTTTGTTTTTTTAAAGAAAAGAAATAATTTACATACCACAATCTCCAGTGTTGATTTTAGATGAGGATTTAATATTTTTGAAAGTATTCAAAATTACATTTGATTGTATTTCACTCCCACGTAATAGATAAGCTTTAGTTTCAGGATGTTGCCATGTGACCACTGGAAAACGACCACGTCTATGTGAACGAGCTACTTTAGCTAAACAATTCTGAGTGATACCCTTTAAGAAAAATATATAGAAATGGGAAAAGTGAAGTGAATGCCAAAGATATCATTTAAACTAAACAATCGAATCTGACATAAGTATGTGTTACTTAGAGTGTTCAACAAAAGATTAAGAGTAAAGAGTAAGACATACTAATGGATTTATTTCTAGTAAGTCAGGCAATTCATAGACAGTGTGGAACATTGCACATACAGGGATCTCTGTTTACGTTTTAATATCACATTGATTCAACAAGACAAAATTATAAATGACAATGTAAGAATAGCAGAAATTGTAAGTTACTTTACGAAGGATTGTGCAAATACAACAACATGATGAAATGAAATAAATAGAATAAAAAAGACCAGTTATGAACAATAAATCGTCAACGCAAGCATTCAGTAGAGTGTTAAAATGAAAACGAAATAAAAAACAAGCCGAATAAATCCTAGGCGAATATAAATTCCATGAATTTGGAGATTTAACTCTTATTACAGAGTAGGTGTGTTTTTTTTTAATAAAAAAAACTATGAGCAACAAAGTGAAGAGGAAGGCACAAAGAGGATTGACAAAAGTTACTAGTATTAGTTGATTAATGACCGACAGACTAATGAAAAAAACATTGAAATGGTATTGCATCGATTGTATTGGATGTTTAGTATCCATAGGAAAAAATAAAGAACAGTAACATGTTAATTAAGAGTAAGATATTGGATAAAATTGATAAGAAAGGAGTTCAATCTGTACAAATTCTTTAAAATATATACTTCTAATGACAATTGAAGTACTTTACGAGGTATATGCTAAGATTAAATCTACAGAATTACTGAATGGTTAGTCTAGAAATTCGAACAAGTGAGCAGTTAAGTATCTAAACATTCTGTTCATGATACTTTTCAATTTGCAGATGGTGCTAACAATTTAAATAATTACAAGAGAACTCATGTTTTCATTAGATGTTAGTTCTCTCAGTTCAGTAATGTACTGTTACATATATATAACTACATTGAAGCTAACAATCCACATGTCAATTTATGAACTTACTTAAAACAGAAAATGACAAACTGTACTTTCAAAATACATTTCAGCTTCTTTTACAATTAAATCTAAGAATAATCAAACATAAAAAGAATCATTCCCCATAGAAAGAATCATGAAGATCACCATTGTGCTGGGTTTTTTCCCAGTGGAGTCAAGTGAGGTTGCTTAAAATGGACACAAAACTTTAAACAATACAATTATTATCAGTAAAAGTGTTAGTATTAGTATTGCTATGCAAATCGGTATTGCAGAATTTCTAAAATCCAGTGAAACACGATGGTGATGATGAGAGTGTTATGGGAAAATCAAACAATCAATCATATAAATATTACTGAATAATACTTCAATGTAATGTAGAAAATTAAACTGATGTCTATAAAATTAAGAATTAATAAATTTTAGACGATGTTTCACTTGATGATTTAGTCTTGGTGATATATATATATATATATATATATATATATATATATATATATATATATATATATATATATATATATATATATATATATATTAAGCAGATAGATAAATTAACTAGACAGTCAGTCAGTCAACTATAACGTAAGACCAGGCACATATATGCAACGGTACAAGATGTCACACCTTATTAGCACAACAAGAACAATACCGAAGTAGTTACTTCAATGGTAGTAATATATTAAAGGGAGATTGTTTATAATGATATAATACAGGAAGAAAAAATTAGTTAGTAGAAAGAAAGGTATAAAGCAATTTAGGAGAAGAAAGAGAGTGTATACACCTACGCCATTATGATAGATTCTGAGCCATGTCACCCACAGTCTCCAACCATTGGTTACGATAGTCGCGTAGAAACCAACCAAACAGTCTGTATCTACCAACATAGCTCAGACTAGAAGTTGGTAACCTCGAAGACTGACGACATATTTTGGTTTGGCCGCCCCTAACTTTCTTTCAACCGTCTCCAACACTAGTCAGCATTGCGTATTGTGATCATCGTTGTCCAGGCAAGTTACATATAATTAATCAATTTCATATTAGACTGTTTTTATGAAGTATTCACTTGTATGTCTCTTACTATAAAAACTATTTGTTTGAAATATGTTAGACTAGACTACAAAAGATCTTGTTATGGAACATTTATAAAAAATAAAAAATAATTTAGTTAAAAACGATTCACTATTCTGTCAATGTTAACAATAAACCAGTATCAATCATAAACAATCTGAAAACTGGCATATATGTGGGGTAGGGAGTATCTTTCCAAGTTTTACTATCACATTAGTACAGTGAGACAAAATTATAAGGTTAGATACTTGAATAACAGAAGTTGTAGTGGTGATAGAGAATAAAGAAAAGGTTAAGCACAAACAAAATGATTCGATAAAAAAAATTATATATGAATTCGTTATTGTTTATGAATAATGAACAAATGAGTAAACACTTATTTTTCACTGATCTCAATTTACGTAATTTCCAACTAATCAAAAACTATAGAATAAATACTAGTTACAAATAGAATAAAATTACCTGTGGTATGATGAAAAAACTTGGATAAGATTTCACTAAAGTATGATGAACATTGAACGCAACAAGACGAGCACCACAATATCCTCGACTACCACTACTACTTCCAGCTCCAACAGAAGAACGATTCAAAGAACCACTGGCACTTTCATTTAATCCAACCGAAAGATTATTCGACGGTGTTGTCAGTGTTGTTGAAGTTGTTGCAGCTAATACTGTAGCACCGGTAGTGCTTCCAGGATTTAAATTACTTCCGAAACGTGCCATGTCCAAATAGCCTGCAGATTGTGTTAATAGTCTTATAAAATTTGGGTCAACAGCTGTAGAAGCTGTTGATGATGCAGATACACACGGAGGCACTAGAAAAGCTTTTAACGTAGCAGCTAAATTAGCGGCTGCTTCTTCAAAAGAAACAGCTGTAATTGTTTTTTTTTAAAAACATGAAAGTTCAAAGTAAAGGTTTAGACTATTACATAGTTATTATTTGTAATGATAAAAACTTTTTAATCAAGTAGAACCACTGGAAAAGAGGTAGACATCTAGATGTATGAAAATAATTCACATTCACATGTATAAATACTGATGGAACTGCTTATTGGAAATCGTGCGAAGCTGAACAGTAATTCTGGATCATATTACTAATCCAAATAAGTAGACAAAAACTTTTAACAATTGAATAAAGATCACTCTTTCCTCATCTTTTAGAATGGAAAACCTTTTTTCAAATGAAGTAAGGTAAACAAGAATCTGATTTGAGTTTCTGTATATCATTTAGTTGTATGCAGTATCGAATATTTGATTAATTCAAGGTTGACATACAGTCTAAAAAGTTATTTGTTAATTGATAATCTACGATTGACGAGACCTAAAGGTTTTAGATTAGATCCATGAAAAAGTCATGGACATGCACCTCTGAAAAGCTTCGTATTAAAATGAAACAACTGTCCAGTACTACTCAATGTTCAAAGATACAGCAAGCTGAGATCAATCTCTAGCAAACACAACCAAGAAATTAAATCAGTCTCCTCCAAACCCCTTTGATTAAATTATATTGTACGACAGAAATTTTGCAATAACTCAATAGCCTTCATTTTTGGTTTCGATTGTATTAAAATAAGAAGAGAAAAATTAATTGAGGAGTATTCCAAAGATTTCTTTGAAATACAGTATGAATTGAACTCAGGTGTCCAGGATTGTTATGCTACATTTACAATGAATAACCACATCTACCCATTCGTCGGCGTACAGATTTCTCTACATGGCTTTCAGATACAGTGAACGCGTGAGAGTTATTGATACCACTCGATTGCCCAAATCAAAGAAAAAAGAATTAGATTCGAACATGCAACTTGGTAGCTGAAAGGTAAATAGATCAACCACTGAGCTACCGCTCTACATAATAACATACGCCGAATTATAATCTTTGCAAATTAGAAAAGTATATCTCCTAATATAAAATGTAAACTACAAACTTACTATTTTGAAAAGCAGCAGGTAGCATACAATTCAGTTGACTATAGCGATGGTTCTTAGGAGAACGCAAAGACGATTGATATATCAGTGTTTTATTGTCTGAGTTAACAAATTCCTGGTTACTATGTGTACGCCTAAAGACCAGAATAAAAAATAGGAAGATAAACAGAATAAATTCTATATTTATTTATTTATATATTTATGAATAAAATGTATTAACGCCGCCAGGAGGTTGAAAATAATTAGCAATACGCCATGAACCTAGGATTAATGTTGGTCGGTAACGTGTATCTAAACGTTTTAGGGAAATGTCAACTACAAAAATTATAGTTATCGTTACAAGAAACAGTTAACAAATAGTCACAAAACTAGATAACCTAGGGTCTTCTTAGACAAAAGAACTAATGCTCCTTGCATGCTCCAAACGAGAGTCAACTAGTGTTACTCATGATATGGTTGAGTCATTCGAACCTATAAGGCGAAAAGATTGACTTTGATTAACCACTGAGCATTGTCTTATTTCACGCTTGCCTGATCGCTAGTACTGGTACAATAATAACAGTGAATAATTATGTTATATTGTATGCAATTACACACCATTGGTACACATACAGAGATAGGCTAATTGAAATAACTACGGATTCGAAAAAAAATATTGTTTGTAAAAAAAGTACTCAAGACCATAAAATAACGACAGTCCAGTTTAAAATAAATACTAGTTTACAACTATGAAGCCAGACACTAAAGAAGATTTTTTCTGGCCAATTCATCAAAACGAAATAAGGTAGAAAGGAGGAACTTTCTGGAAGTTCTGATTAACATTAGAATCCTTCATCCGGTTATCTCGATTACTGTAACCAACAGAATGATAATAATAAAATAAAAAAGGAATAACTTGAACAAACAAACAAAATTCGGAATACGCTAATGACCTGAATTTTAAATACCTGCGATCCCCATTCGTCATTGAAGAATAATTTGCATCTGTTAACATATTGCTTCTATGGGTTTTACCTTTCAAATGCCTCATACGAACCATATTTGGTAAAATATAATCTTTTGTATTACTACTAGTATTATTATTTAGATCTGTAATTGCAGAACGATTACCCACTGTATTTGTAGATCGCGAGAAAAGCAAACCTAATGGGGCTGAGTTAAATCCCATGCACATCATTGAGGGATAACGCAATTCTTCCAGCAGACTACGTAATTCATCTCTCGTTTCCGGTTGTATTTCACCAACATCAAATCCAATTTTAAGCATTTGAAAAGTTAATGCACGTAGTAAGAGAACGTCCAGATTTTCAGTACGATAAACCACACCATGACGATTTGTAGTAGCTGAATACGTTGGACGTAATGCTGTCGATAGATATCTTGATGAAGTATTTTTACCAAACACTGTGTTTGATTTAGACTTTTTACCAACAAATAATGTTGCTGAACGGAAACCAGATGTTATTGTTGTTAATGAACCAGGATTGGCCGATGATGATTGAAAGGCAGTAACCATTTGAACACAGCCAAGCTTTTTGATAGTATTCAATGCAGATATAGGGAAACTTCGATTGATCACTTTATTAGACTCTGGAGGATAAGATAAAAGTGTTAGACGGAACAGTCATTAACGATCCCTCAGAAAAATAATGGATATAAAATATTTAACATTGATCAATATTCACTTAAGTTCCAGTACTCCATCACCATGTAAGGTGCTTAGGACGTGTGTAACCTGTTCGTGCAGCAATAAGTTGGAAAAGAGGTAAAGGTGAGAAAACTAGAATACTTATGGAGGTTGTTACATAGGGAACAATGAGAGAAGAGTACATCTCCAAGATTTCTGCATATATTTCTCGAAAGTTGAGTTTAAAAGTAAAGTATTCACAAGTGCAATTCCTAGATATTTAGTGGATAGAGAAACCAATGTGGTTAACACAAAGATGTGTAAAATAATTATCAATAAGAGAACATCATTTTAACTCCACTTTGCGAAGACCATCATTATCATGCGCTTCCGACCTGACCTTTATATACAGAAAGAAAATGTGGTAAACTAGTTGTTACTATGGTGAGATGGGTATATAATTTTCAAGTTGGTAAATTACATTATTGTTTTATTGTATCTGTTATGACTTTAAATTGTGATCGATCCGGTGACAGTGACACGTAAACACGAACGGACGTCCTAGAGTCTCGATTGGTCCCACTTCCCTGTCTAGCCCAGTTAGTTGAGTCCAGAACACAAGCCACAGCCTCGGAGATATGAATCATTATATTTCAAACATACTTTGTTTATATACCAATCAAGCATACCACATCGTACCACAAAAATAGAAAACAACATTTTGTACAATATTCAACAAGTGAACAGATATCGACCAATAGGAAATGTCCAACTAAAGTCCAAGGACATCATTGGACGTAACATGATAATTATTGGTCTATTCCTCCGCATCCACAACACCTCCCCTTTTTTTGAAGATCCGGAGTTGATATCCGGATTTTGAAAATTTCTGGGTTCATCCTCCCCCACGAAATAATGTTGGGTCCTCATATCCCTAAGTTAAAATTAATTTGACTTTATTTAACACATAATTGTCAGATTGAATAGAGAAGTCACTGAAAGTGATTAAATAGTGGGGATCAATGTCGCTTGATATGAGCTCATCAACGTTTGATTCTTCTGGAACATTATCATGGGATTTGTTGAAAATCTCATTTGTAAACCGTTGATCACTGAGATAATCAACATCTATCAAAATTGCATTAGATTTCTGATCATCATTTGATGCATCTAACAGTATCTAACAGTATCCTTTAACTTTAAACAAAGAGACTCATATTGATATTCACTTACAACATTCATTTTATGTGAACTATGTAACTTGATTATTATTTATTTGTTAAAACAAATTGTTTTTATTCACTATCTCTTTATTATCATTTTTATAACTTCACCGCATTCTTTTCATACTTTCGCCTTGAACATACAAATACAAATTGATTCTTAATTGTTATATATTGAATATCTTGTATCCTCATCTTGTTTCACATTTGTTTTTGAGAAAAACTTCATTGATTATGGTATGTAAAACCTTTTTATAATGATATTACTAACGTAGATTGAGTGTGTTTATAGATGATAATGACAAACCTTGTAATACAAATGAATTCAACTTACTCTGTAAATTTAGTTGTTGTTTTTTTTTCTCATTTTATTTACAAAATGTTCACACTAATCAACTTATTGGTTAATACAGTGTGTATTTTTTTAAAATGTATAACTCGTTTTCCATGTAAGAAGACAAAATAAGCGGAATTAGTCAATCACTTGAATGCCTCAGATGTTCATAATATATATATAAATGAAATACGCTAGTCTAATCAGACATAGGGTCAGATGATAAAAGAGTAGGATTGATAAGCCCATGGTATTTGGTAGATATTTAGCTTCACTTAACCAAGAAACACACAAGCTATTGGATAAAACTGTGGTTCAATTTAGATAATACTTACACAATCACTAATCTATAGAAGAAAAAAGTATACACAAATTAAAATAAGTTTATTAGTAAAGGACATAAAAATGCTAGACCAATGGTATCTACATTGTCTTTTCAACTCATGTTTGTATTACGTCCCAGTTACTCTTACCATAACAAGTATTTCCTAATACTTTTTTTTAGAATTTTTCCTTTATTGACAACAATCTCACTGGTTAAATTTGTTAGCATTTAAAGAAAAAACTTACGAAATGGATCTTTTGGTACACCTGTGAATATTATACGATAATTGGTAATAAATAACGCTCCTTGAGCAGGTAGTAATGGTCTAAGCATAAGATCCACATCTAAATCACTTGCATCCAAGTTTCCAAGTGAATCTTGTTGTTTAGTATTGATATTGTCGTTACTGTCGTTGCCATGACCTCCATTATTGATGTTAGGATTAATAATATTACTATTGAATGGATCCAATAGTTGATAATCATTACGTTCATAACGTCCATCTGGCAATAACTGACATGATAAACAATCATAACCACCAATTGGAATAGCGATTTCACCAGGTAGAAGGACTGGATTGGCAATCTCAGGCTACAAAACACACAAATACATGTGAAAGAAATCAGAATCCGATGTCAACTCCTAAGCATACAAATATGATTATGATACGACAGGATTAATAGATTACATTTATATCCCGTGCATCACAATCCAGGTGAACTATACTGGGCCTGTTCGTTTTTACAGTGCATCTGCTTCCTATATGTGATACGATTGTGTAAAAATTAGTATATAAACGATATTATATCGGTCTAGTGACGATGTGATTTTTGAGATTTATTTGATGACGTATAGTTGGGGAGCCAATATTATCTTCATTACACTAATCTTTCGTATTCTTACTTTGCATTGTGAGAATTGCAATGCTTCCTGTTTTCAAGTTTAAGCAATAGAATCGAGGAATCCCAGTGATTTCTGATTTTCAATTATAGGTAGTAAGACTGAAAACTTAGACGAGTAAATCAATGCACAACAGCCACAATACACCAGACATAACACACTGTCAGATCATTTATGGAACAAATATTGACTAAGTTCCTGCTAAGTAAAAAATTGGTTTGTGACAATTCAGTAGGAAGATAATTAAGTACAATAGTTCAGTTAATTGACTAATTCGTCAAAATGTTACTTTGGTATGAGTTCATGTACGACATCTCAAATATTAAATCCAACTTTGACAACAAATGTCAAAATGAATGAATCCTGAGCAATAATAAAAAAGTTTTTTTTTAATTATGACATTTATTGATGATTCCACAATGGATATGATTGGGAACATCCAATTCAATATCGCGATATTTCCGAATAACCTCTAAATGTGAAGTATATTTTATCCACGTTTGTACTGACTTATCAAAGAAAAAATACAGCCCGTATCTTATCATCACCAGTTATACTATCATCAGCCTCATCTTGACCACTTAAGTCCAACTAAAAATTCTGTTTCAGTGGAGGGTGATCTTGTGAAAACAGCTGTCAGCAAATCAATCCTTAGTATATAACTACACTTCATGAATGAAATAATGAAAGCTTCCATATTTAAAGCATTAATTAATTTGAAGTTTAAACAAATCTGCTTATTCCAAGCGCCGAATAATATAAACATGAATTAGAGAACAGAAGTTATGGTTCTAGAAATAAAGCCCACATGTAACAACACTCAAAGTATGTAGAAACGGAAACATCTGCAGAATTTTTGATAAATTATTTGAAAAAAAAACTGTGTCCATCAGACCCATTTATTCTATATTGGTAACGATAATAGTAATCATCACCAATATGAATAATGGATACAGAGGCACCTCAGTGGTTAAAGTATTCAACTTTCACCTACCACGTCCTTGGTTTTGTGCCCCGCCCTATTTTGGTTTGCGCAACTAAATAGCATCGTTGGCCTTAGTGTTTATAGCATAACGTATACACAAGTACTTGGTGAATTTGTAAATTTAAATAGGATTTAGCATGAATAATCAAAAACATTTGGTAGACTATATGACAAAACTCATACCTTTTTCATATGTGGAATATTTTGTACCTTAGGGTAAATATCTTGTAAATTGATTAAATGACTTTCTATGATGGCTATATGTTTAAAGCAAAACAAGTAAGAGAAAAACATTAACAATAACGGTAATGATCAGAAGTAGAAAACACCTATAAAAAAACAACAAAAGTATCAGAAATAAATACTCATAATTATAAGCAATTTTAATGGTCCTTACTCGTGACTGAATTTCGATCGGTCTAAATTAAATTATGTGCATCCTGTGTGCAATGAATCGATGAAGCGATTATATCACACGTTTTTACAGAATAAATGGATTACGGTTAACAATGGTATACAGAAATACGTTGCATCTTATTCAGGACTCGTTAACTGGATACAGCCGCATCTCAATGTTGAAGTGTTAATACTAGGACTGAAACCCAAAACCTTTTGCCTCAAACTACCTGATACGTCTTATCGATTGAATGCTATATTTATTTCCTAAGCTATTCTGGTACCCCGGAAGCTAGAACTGCACAGCGACCTGAACACAAGAGAGAAGACGCAAGTATGAGGGAAAATACTTTACTCCGAGGTTCCTTTTATTACAGAAAATATAGGGTTTTTATAATATATCTAAATGTCCTTGGGTCGCTGGAATATTCTGTAATGCTACTAAACATAGTAGCACTGTAGTAGCCAATCAATCAGAGCTTCCGCATGTGACGTTTCGCTACCTTGATATTTCTGGCCAAGACTCCAAATGAACGCTGATTGAACGAAACACTTCTTAGTGTTTCTTGATGCTTGCTTGTCTTTTGCAAACGATTTCTGGATCACCCCAACACTACCATCGCATCATCTACTGAGCTACTGGAGTGCAGATAACCACTAATCATTGTTCAGTGGGTTTAGTGTTTATATCAATACTATAAAGGATCTGAATTAATCTTTTGTGGGTATTATTGACTGATGATAAGAAATACATGTAGCTGAGGAATTATAAGTAGGGTAAATAGCGCATCTTTCGTTCAACTGTTAACCACAAATCCATATATCTCTACAAATATTATAATGTTTAAGATGAAAAGATTTTGTGAAGACTGATTTGATTTCGGGGTTACATATTGGACGCGGACCCCCTTTTCCTGATGGCAAAAGTTCGCAACAATACCTGAAAGTCTTGGCTTCTACCCCTAGTAGGATTGTGGATACATACTAATATTAAACTACATACTAGAATAAAATATCTGTTCAGCATTTCCTGGTCTTCAGTGGTGCCCCAAATGAGATGAACGTATGACGGATATAACTTACATATATAAAACGATTAGATTGACATGATTTGGTGTTACACATTGTATACATGTTTGCAGGTTCACAGATATTGTAGTAAGACATACAACTTCTCAGAAACACGAGACTGTATGTAAAGGTAAACATATTCATAAAGTAAACATTATGTTTTATCATGACGCACCTTACCATTGCATATATGACTTTCAGGGTTACTAAATTCAAGATTACATAATTCAATTGGTAAGAGTATATTACGAATTGGTTATAATATATGTGTATTAAATTTGAAAGCTATCAGATAAACGAAACATTACACAGACTAGTTTATTATTCGCATATATAACAATCAGTTGTCAAAGAACCTGTTTTTTAGATGTATAAAACTAAACAAGAGACATATCAGTGATCATCTGTAATAGTTAGTGAACGAAAAAGACCAAAATTCTCGAAAATCATACATCAAATCGAATGCCAGTTTTATTAAGTTTCCATATGTCTCCTCTAACAAACAGAAGTCTGATTTTTACGACAAGAAATAAATCATTTTGAGACATCTACTTCCTTTCCTTTCATTATTCGTCGATTCACGTTATCGCGTGGATCACAACAGAGTAGTCTGCCCTTACCTTCATGACGCGGTATAACAGTTGATGATTTCAAGAACTGATGCCAAGTTTTGTTTTGATCATCCCTATCTTATTTTCAACTCACTCCTACACCATCGTGAATTACTTGTCAAGGTAAGTGACGGGTTGTGTATACATAATAAATGTTCCAACCACTTCAGTCAATAAACGTTCACGACCTCATCAACTGATTTGCCGTCTCTACCTAGTAATGTGAGTCAAACCTCTGCATTGACTCCTCGTTTGTTACAACAAAGACAAACAATACTTTGATTACATCTGTGACTCAAAATTAGTAACCTATATCTACATTTTCCACTTTTCGAACAGTTACGTATCACAGCCACAGAGTATACAGAAGAGCAAACTCCTATAGAGTATACTCATTCTTTAGTTGACAGATGAACACATTTCGCTTACGGCTACAGGTATAGTAACTTGACGATGATTTACCAATAATCCAATACAGTCAATGTAATAGCTATAATAATGACTGACCTGAATATTATTACACATAAACCGATAATAGATTCTATATATACTTTATTGATATCTCAAAGTTTCAAATAAAATGAGCCAAACACACCTTGGGTAATAACGGATCATCATAGATAAATGTCGATATCATGATATATATACATTAAATATACACTCGGTTAAATAAAAGGTAAAAAAGTGGAAGAATGTCACTTAGATATTCATGAGTGTAAACACTACATACAAACATATACACATACATTGAGTGTATTGTTTATTTGTGTAGAGTCAAGAAAAAAATGGTGACAATCAAACTGTTATTGTCATATGACATTATAACACAAAAAGTATTCATTACACTTATAAAAGTAATTAATCAAGAATCACTACATAGAGAATGTAACAGATATAATGGTGACTACCATGCATTCGTGTGTATGTATGTATCCATGTATGTGTATATACGTATGTGTGTATGTTGAATTATGACTACTGAATGTAAAAAATATTTTAATCATGTAATATCGATTAGTGTTGTCAACCTTTCTATACTTAATATTCTGTAATTTTACTCTTTGATGATAGTTCATCAAACAGAACGCGAAATGTGAATTAGACGAATAAAAGGACTTTGGAGTCAATCATGCGGGATCGTGGATGCGCACTTCTGAGGAGTCACAATTGATTGATCACTGGGTGGTGATCAATGTCATGCTTGTCTAGTCCTTATTAGTGCAGATCGAATGCTATCGATCATGTTGCAATGTGGCCAACAGTCTAGGTGACTCGAAACCCGGGTCCAGGGTTTCCTGTTGACTACCTCCAACCACCATCTAAATCTCAATACATAGTGCCCGCAGTGTAGAGTCACCTAGACTGTTGGCCACATTGCAACATGATCGATAGCATTCGATCTGCACTAATAAGGACTAGACAAGCATGACATTGATCACCACCCAGTGATCAATCAATTGTGATTACATCTCAGTCCTACAGGAGGTTAGTCACGGCTCGGATAGCTCAGTGGTAACGTCTCTGACTGTGAAGCTGGGTGACACGAAATCGAATCCGCCAGGGAGCATCAGTTCCCTCAAGATTACAGGTACACCTTGCTGACGAGTGCCAAGTAGCACGAAACCCGGGTCCAGGATTTCCTGTTGACTACCTCCAACCACCATCTAAACTTCTGAGGAGTGCCCTACTAGGACGAAACGGTCGTCCAATGCTTCCAGATTTTCAATGATGGTCTAACTTGCGTCGACTCATGAATTTAACCATTAAAGTCACCACAATCTCCATAAACCCCTCATTCTAAGAGTAAAAGCATTACATGATGCAGAGGTGGATGAGAGAACAATTAACGAAACCGATAAGTAAAAAATATAACCAGTGCAGATTAAAAATAGTGTTCATTAGGATAAGATGCAACTGTAGAAGAGCGTTCTTTTGAAACCTTGAATATTAATCGCAATTCAATCTTATGTAAAAAGAGATGGTTAGAAGTAGTTGCCAAGAAAACGTGAAAAGCACAATGGTAACATCTGGGACTATGAAATTGTGTAACATGAGTTATAGTCCTACAGGTAGTAAGTAGTATAGTTTTCCTCACGAGTTCAGACGCACCTTGTTGACGAATGACGTGTAGCATGAAATTATATTCAAGGAATTCTACTGGTTACCCTACAACCACCATATAAGATCAAAGACATGAATCACAAGAAGTTGAATCCCTCAGACTGAAGACTATGGGATGTAGAACAACAGAAAAAAACTAAGGAAACACTAACTTCAACGAGTCAGGAGGTTCTAGGCCGCAAGAGGTAATATAGTAAGGAGTAGAACTCCATCGAAATCCTGAACAAGATTCAAGAAAGGACGAGAAGACGGCAATTAACAACAGCCGAGCAAGAACAGAGAAGGTCAAGGCATAAGCTGCATATACTGGAGGAAAAAAGTAAGTGAAGAGGAGCATTAGAGCTGACAAGCAGAAATACGTGGAAGACCTAGCAACAACAGTTGAAAAAGCCGAGAGACTAGTCAAAGAGGAAGAATGCAAGCCAATCACTGAGATTTAAGAACAGAGGAACAAGTGGATAGGACAATCTGAAGAACTCTTGAGTAGCTCAGCCATACCGAACCCACCAGATAAAGAAGCAGCACATACAAACCTTCCTATAGATGTCACTCCACCAGTAACCGAAAAAACCAGGATGGTCATCAGACAAGTCAAAAGTGGGAAAGCATCAGGACAGACCAAATCTGTTGAATGGAATTTGTCACTATACATTAAATACCTTGACTATGAGGAAGAGGTGGGAACTTTCACGTACCTGGTCAGAATCGTCGATAAACAAAGATGATCTGATGCAGACATAAACGCGAAGATCGGTAAAGCAAGGGCCGCATTCCTACAGTTGAATTACATACAGAATTCAAAACAACTGTCAACCAATATCAAAGTCAGAATCTTCAATATAAATGTCAAGACAATTCGAGTGTATGGAGCTGACACTTGGAGAACTACTACAACCATCATAGAAAAGGTACAGGTACTCAATGACTGTTTGCCGAATATCATCAGCAACGACCTACTGTACGACAAAAAAACCCACTTCCGGCGAAGAGGAAACTAGGAAAAGATGCCGAAGACGAATAAGACACATATTTCGGAACCCATCAAACTGCATCAAGAGGCAAGCCTTAACTTGGAATCCTCAAGGTAAAAAGTAAAGAACATATTGCATCCGGAATTGGAGATAGACAAAAAGAATGAGTAGCATTTTGCAACGACTAGAAAAGAAAGTACAGGATAAAATTGATTGGAGAAACCTGATCTCTGGTCTATGCTAACAGGACTAACTAACTAGTAAAGAATTTAGTCTGGGTACTCACACAGAGTTTAACTTTTGAAAATGAATTTTTTTGAGACAAGTCACATCGATGAATATTTAAGATAAGTTATGTTCCAAAGCAAAGGGAACTATGTGTAGGAAATAAGGTAATATATTTATATACGGACTTACAAGGTACAGATTTGTATACTTAGTTATTGCAAGTCACACACTAAATCTCAAGTCTAGTGACATTAATCAAATTGAGTGTAATAGTATTTGAGCAAGTAGCTTTGTGAGTAAAAGTCAAATCCATTTATCCCTGAGTCATTACTCCACTTAGGTACATCCTGTTTTCACTTTGATCCGACAACTGAAATGAGTTATTTTTTTAATGTAATACATTATAATGAGTAATATAGCATTCCTGACAAATATTTATCGAATATAATGATGACATAAAGTAAGGAATCACTAATTAATTACAGATTAATGAGACTCAAACAGTAGAAATAAAAGAAATAGAAACTGGAAATCTATAGTTCTATATATATCACTTATTCTTTAGTGAAGCGAAGGTTGAAAAATCATGTGCTCCAAATCTAAAACCGCTCAAAGTATGAGTAATATTATTGCATAATTAGATGTGGAAGAAATCTACATGAAGTAATCATTTATATATATAATTAGCAAAAGACAACTAATTACACTCTATATGATAGAGAACTGTAAACAATGAATAACTAATGGTATCATTATAAATTGAGTACACTATGTAATGAAACTATTTATACATCGTTTGTGAGGAGGCAATAATTATAATAATGGTGATACTATTAACTAATAAGTTCATTACCTTTAATTTTCCCCTCAACTTCAGTAATTCGTTCACGTACAAGATTGTTTTCTTCGCCAACAATTTTCACAAATTTTAATAACCAATTTTCTAAAACAGTGATATGATTTAACAATGTGGCTTGATTTAATTTGTCAAAATTCTGAGCACTATAACGGCTGTTATGAATAAGGGAAGAAAAGAAGAAAACAAATAAGGAAATAAAATGGAGTACATTTAAAGAATACTATTGTGTTGTGTGGAACGATATAGAAAAATATCCAATCCATCAGCTGGCAAGTCATGAATAAAGTGATCTTGAGTGGTATTAAGGGTATGTGAACTACTGTCACTTCCAGGCTGTATATATTGTACAAAGATACGTATTCATGAGGTGAATATGAAAGGTGAACTCGATAAGAAGTGATCTTGGAGAACTGAGAATGTGATCGCACTACATAAGAAACAACTGATTAAGGACATTTGTACACCAGCCTTTTCTTGATGTGCTGTTTATGAAAATGTGAGGCCTTACCACCAGCGATAGAAATCCGTATAGTAAGGTGAGGTGTATGCTATGTCCGATTTCGATTGCGATACGCAATCTTCCTGTATACGAGCCTAATCGGTTACTCGAATGAAAAGACTGAATGAGAGGGACGTTTATGAAGTAAACTGAATCGGTTGGTGTGTATTCTCATGTGTATATATATCCTCTAGAATATCTAGCCACCAAAGGTGTAGAACATATTTTTTTAGAAATTCAAGTTATTTTTTGATCAATCACATACACTTTTCATTTAAGCTATTTCTAACTGACCTACTATATCGGTATACTATTCTTAGGGTCAACATCTTTCAATTTCTTTATTTTGTTGTATCAATGATAATAACACTGAACTGTTAATTATTAAATAAAAACTCAATAGTAGTTATTTGTATCATCTGATATAACTCTATAAATTGATAAGTAATTTAACTAACCACCAAACAATTGACATTGAGATTACAACAACAGTTAAAGCTGTCGAATTGTAAATTCATGAACTACATTGGACATTTCATGATCAATTTCAGATAATCATAACAACACAACATGAAATAAAAATAAATATTTACTTCATTTTCCTAAATATATTTAACGATTTAATATTAAAATGTTAGATCTGAAACAAGGTTGTGTTTTTTCTCTCTCAAATTATGTCATACGAAGATCATGATAACTGGTATAACGAGCTGTATATTGTCAAGGTTAAAACTGGTTTTTGAATTATTACTGAGTAACTGGATTACCATGTACATGTATCCTGTTTATCATAAGCTTCCGTTTAACCTATTAAGTATTATTAAACTAATTATTATCTTGTATGTTGTTCCCAATCGATTGTTTGAAACAATTTTTGGCTCATTTATGTATAGTAATGATTTTTATTTTATTCAGCGATAAGGATGAGCATGTACGTATATAAACCTATATATGTTTGAAATTTAATAACAGTAAAAGCTGATTGCTGACGTTTTGGACTGAGGGCAAAGAATACAAAAGAGCTTACGAATAGCAGACTAATAGAATCTTAGCTACGTTGGTTAAAAATTAATAGTTCTGGTAAGACATATAATTGAGGCATTAGGCTATAGAAGAAATAGTAGATGTGAATTAGACAAAGTTAAAATTAGAATTTTAAAAGTTAAATTTGGCATGTGATGTTGATTGACTGAAGATATAAAAATAAATTTTACTTGCAGAAAGAAAATTTATTAATTCGAATTATTTTTTGTTGCTGGATGAATGAACGGATGGATGATTAAAAAAAACCCTATCATAATCTGGTTTTAATATGTCTGATATTTGGCTATCAGTAAAATTCAAGACGAATGTTTTATCTTGTTTGCAACTCGTCAGCTAGATGAACTTGCACCCAAAGTTGTTTGTTTGTTTTTTCAGAATGAGACCCGATCCACACAGGATCACTATATGAAAATCTGCCTAACTACAGTCCTGAATATCGACAATGAAGTATTACAAATACTTAGTAACACGACACCCAGACGTTAAATTTTATGCTACGTGAAAATAAACAGCAAAACGTTTGCCCAAAACAATGAGGAAATTCAAAATTGGTTTGGAAATAAAAACTCGATGTGGAAATTACAAACTTGAAAATGAATGATAGAAGAATTTAAGTTGATTTTCATTGACTAAACTACATTTTATTTAGCTCTGAAAATTGCACTGCCAGCGTCTTTGGTCTATATTATTAACCCAACACGAATGCGAGATAATATTTAGTTCCGCTTGTAAACTACTGGAAATAGAATTTTCTTGCTTGGCATCGATAACCATATCTAACTTTTAGCATAACCAATCAATAATAGTAACAGTAATGAATCTGAGTTATATACGGAATAAGTGTCCTTATTTATTCAGTAAAACGATTGTTAATCGTAACTGAGTAATTATAAGAGTTATACCAAAATGTAATTCTTGACAATATACATAGGATGACCGATCACATCTTCGAAATTATATACTTTCTAGAGGCGTAAACTTGGACGAAAATATCGTCCTTAGATGTATTAATTCATGAAACAAACAGATAAAGATCAGAGATTGTATTGTGTGGAAAATTTAGCCATACGGATCAAGTACAGAACTACAGCAAAGACAAGTCAATGGCAAATTGAAAAGCAAATTCGTGCGCAAAAACAACCTAGGGCAGCTCAAAAACTCCTCACTCCAGTAATCTGAAGTCATAAACACAAAGTTAAAGAAACGTATCTTAACATTCATCAAATAAATACAGATTAGCAGTTAAGTGGCATAACATTCCGTCACTTATATCACAATACTGTTAAGTTCCCTACTTGATAACGCAGAATACAGTATACAACTACGGCACTCGAACGTATAGAACCCCCAGAGTCGCAAATCAAAAGAGAGAAGAAGACTGGAGAAGCACTTCTTTGGCAAAAATCAAAATGTACAGAAAATTATGGGTGTTTACAGATATTAGTGCTTATTATATAAACATTATTATTCAGTCAATCCGCAAAGAAACATGTTATGCTACTGTTCGATAGTAGCATGTCACGTTGATATTCTAGAAAGATCCATCATGTTCTGATTGGTCAAGAAAATGCAATTCTGATAGATACTGATTACTCTAGTGATCCATTATCTACTAATTAGATCCTCAATAAATTTGAGGAAACCTTTCCAGAAGAATCAAACCCTGATGACCTCAAATCAAATGGCGTTCATCCTCATCATCTAGCTAATTTTAATGGATTCTCTGTTCGATGAGACAAATTCGTTCGAAGTAGTCACGTCAATTGTGACTTGGGAATATGAGAATCCAACATTATTTCGTGGAGGAGGATAAAGTCGGAAAATTCAAAATCCGGATATCGACTCCGAATCATCAAAAAAGGGGGAGATGTTATATCCCGATGAGAATAATCAATGGTAACAGGAATCTATTTCTGGACTAACACTATACATATATTTTCATTGTATAAGTGATAAGTAACTATTCATACTCGTGTTCCTCTTATCATGAGCTTTATTTTGACCTATAAAATATTATTATACGATTTACCATTCTCGAGTTATGTCCAGTCTATCAATTATTATATCCCACATTCATAGCCACTTTTGGCTAAATCTTGTGCAAATGTTATTTTCTATTTTACGTACGATGTGGTCTGTTTGATTTGTATATGAACCCAGGATGTTTGAAATAAATTATTCATATCGCAGAGGTTGATATCGGAGTTTTAGACATAACAGACAGGGCTAGGCAGGAAGCAGGACCGATAAGGACTCTAGACTGCTCGTACGGGCTATATGTGTCATTGGTCCGGTCGATAAATCACTGTTCTCTAATTGGTGGTACCATTACGTCACATATTGATAGGGGCTCAAGGCCATAATTTACAACAAATACAAGTGGAAATCTACGAACATAAATTTTGACGCAGTAAAAAAATCACAATTCTAGATTAAATAAAATCTAAAAGTATTAAGAATATTAAGGTTTGAAGATTGTAATCAATAAACAGAACTGACTGATCAATAAATGAGAAAAAGGTCAACTGATAATATGTAAAACTAACAAAACAGTCGATTGAAGCGTAAAACTACACAGTGAACTGATTGATTACACACAGTTAAGGAACAAAACTTTTAAAGATCACTTTCATCCGAAATATTGAAGATTTCTTACTGAATGAAAATAAAGGCATAACAAGCAAATAAACCATGCAGTACAAAGGACGAAATACTAGCAAGACTATTCACCTGAAATATGAACATAACTTTCCTCATTGCAAATCAGACTTGGTTTCAAATCCAATCATTAATCCTAAAGAACCACCGAATCATTTTGAAAAATAGAAATTTAATAAAACCTTTAAAATTAAGTACCAAAATGTAAACTAATGTGAGTAACACATCATAAACACACAATATAGGGCAGATGTGTTTCAGCTAATGACTTCTACAGCTGATTGTTTAAAAAGTATTGATCGATGTAATGTTTGTTTAGTCCTTTAGTGTTGATCGAATTCTAACAAACAAGTTGAAATGTGATCAAAAATCTCAGTGACTTGGCATCGGTTAAACTGTATTTTGATGTTAGAGGATTAGATTTAGTCGATAGGAATCCCTAGATCCAAGTTTTATTCAAGTAGAAATTCTTCAGCAAGAATTATACGCAACCCTTAGAAAAATTAATGCTTCCCGTGAGATTCGAACCGATATCGGCCAGCTAAAACGTATAAAATATTACCACTAAGCGATTAAAACTACGACTGATCTGCTGTAAGACTGAAATACTTGCAGCTTACTGATCACTGAATGGTGACAAGCGTCATATCAGTCAAGATATTTAGTGCTGATCAAATTTCGTCAATGAAGACTGAAAATACGCCTTCCTGAAGAGTGTCAACTAGCACGTAATCTAGGTTCATGATTTTCTTGAAGATGTATGAGACATTTGTTCACCATTAGATACTGAGTCCCATAATCCTCCTTTAAGACTTTTATCTGATTTACATACCTTTTTTACTAGTAGTGACACCTTCATTAGTTTGAGAATTATCATAATTTCTTTTCGCTATATTTATGTAATGTAGAAACTTAAACCGTTCACTACACATATATGCCAGATTCTAGATTGTAAATTACTGACTGATAAACTTCTAACTACCCAACACTGTGATTTTTCTATCCAAACTAAAAACGTTTATACCAGAATAATTTTTAGAAGCGAATATCTTAAAAGATACAAAAACATTGTTCATTGATCAGAGATTTTTCACGAATGGGCATTTTGTTCCAGGCTATACAAAACGCTAACAATGAGGAAATATTTGTTAACGACTTTAGTCGATAGACGGTTGTAGTGTATACACACATGCATATTGTCAAAAAACGAATCATATTCGATGATAACGTTGTATTTTTAAAAGGTTCTCATGTACCATATTTCTTTCAGTACATCATTAATAAACGACAACTGTTTTTTTGTACAATCATTTATGAATAGATCTTTTTATCTCTACTTGTAATACATCCGCTCAGATGATGCTCATAAAAATAAGGAATTAGATTTTATCAATAACATACCGACAGAAATAGGTTACCCGTAAATATTTTTTTATTTTAAAAAGTGTAGTACATGTAACCAAGGGAAAAGTTGGAGATAGAATATTCCTTAAAAAACCTTTTTTTTCTAATAACTACAATTTTCAAATAATGTCGCATAGATCAAACAATTGGAAAGTGAATAATTCTAATATTGATAAGATAAACTATACTTTCACATACACTATTATCATTTATTTGTTTGTTGAAATATCCAACTATATATTCATATAAACAAGTACGCCTATTAAAAGTGATACAAGAAAATTAAAGTTTTCAGTTCATTACCAATTCGTTATTCGCACGTTTTAGTCAACAACAACAACAAACTGGACAGTTCCATTGCTAAAATTTCATTCTTTTTTTGACAAATCTAATGATCTAATACTGAGGACAATAGACAAAAATATCGGTTGAAATAATCCGGCTATTTTTAAGGTTAAAAAGATTAATCAATTAATTATGCGGTTTTATGTAAATGACATGAACAATGAGAATTGATCATATCGTAGATACTTGAATATTTGTGATCTTTAGAGTGAAATAATAATTCAGTGCTTCCAGGTTTCCCATAGTGACCTAGCTTAAATTGACTCATGAATTCAACTATTAAATTACTACAATCTCAACAAACTCCCATTGTGATGATGATAATAATAATAATAAACAGTAAATTTGACCTTGGAAATGTGCATAACTACAAAAGTGATCAAAAATTCTACACTTTTTCTGACTGAATCTATCTAGTAACTGACTATGTGTATTTTGTAAAAAGAGAAAACATGACATAAAAGATTATCCGAATGATTTTATCATACAGTTGAATAATCTGATTATCAGCTACTATAGTGATTGTTCGTAAGCTAAATGAAACTGTTGATCACTTGTCTGCAGATTTTTTCAATGGTCTTAATGATGTCCTAAAAACCATATCTAGCCACTACATCTAGAATACAAAGATTTATTTGTGGGATTTGATGGAATAATAGGTAATGTCAAAATTTAGTTTAAAGAAGTATATTTCAAACAGATTAATTCCCACAATATCACCGATTTAATCACTACCCACATGGATTTTGATTGATACGTACACTTATCTATCTCTTCATACTAAGGCAACATCAGATCTTAGTCAAATTTATGCGGGGAAAATGAAGAACTCATAGATGTATGCAATAGATATGTTCAATTGTCAAAATGGAGTCGAAAAACTAAAATGCATACACGCAGGTTACCGCTGTCTGAGAAAATAATCACGTATTCAAGTTAATGTTACCCAACTGTTTCATGGTAGTTATTTTTAGTAATATGCTTCAAATATACACTAGAATGCAGTTGACAAGTAAGTCCCAAATAGGATGAAATACGTATTCTAGTTCCTACTACTAGTCCCAATCCACTTATTCTGATAAGGAATCGCAAGACAGTTTATATAGTGAACAGTCTATGAACAAAAATTTCAGCTTAAAAATGTGAATTTTTTCTTACAAAATGATGATATAAGTATGACATTTAAAAGCATTAGTACAGAAAAACATATATTACTTCCAAAAGGAGACAATCATTCAGTATAAAAGGTGGATAGATAAATTCGAATTATTTCCGTTCGAAGTATGAAAACAAATATATGATAGATAATAAATTACTTCAGTTTAGTTCTCTTCATTAATTCACCAAATAGACTAAATTAGTCAATAAATATAGAGTTTGATATAATGTAAACTATAATACTACTCACCTATAAAATCCATCTGAATTTGATAGATGATTAGAATAATTGTCTGAAGTATATCGACTGATGTTTTTAACATATCCTTCAGTTTGTGAGATAATTTTGAGGGCATGATTAATTTGATTAGTTACTGGTATATTATTTAATGAATTAGTACTGCCAGTATATTGTTTTCGATAATTATGATCATTAGTATTATTATTATTATTTTTATTATTGTTATAATTATCATTATCGGAGATTATTCTGTCAGGTATTTTGGATACCATACCATTTATACCAGTAATATCATCTTTTAATTCATCATTATTTTGTGTATCTTCACCGTATATATCAGCCACCGCTGCACCAATATGAACTGGTATACGAAAATTAATGATTAAATTAACAAAGTGTATAATTTGAGAATAAACAGTACTTTCTTCACGTGTTTCCAATATTTGTTGTATTTCTTTTGGACGCATATGACCAATTCTCATTTCTTCTGCAGCGATTTCTAATGCCGACATATTTGATGTATAACTTTGTTGTTGAATTGTAATCTTATTGATATGAAGGAAAAAGAAATATATATATATATATATATATATATATATATATATATATATATATATATATATATATATATATATATATATATATATAACAGACATTTATAACAGACATTTGAGATAATTAAAGGTAGACTTTAAAAACAGAATTAGCTTTTAAATGGAGTTATCCTCCTGTCTACACTAGAAAAGAGAACTAAACATAGAATCACAGATAACTTATTGATAATTCTTTTTTTTTTGAAACTATCGGTCATCGACTGAAGATACAGTAGTTTCGAAATCAGTATCTACTTATTATTGATCTAAGCAAATTTACGACTTCACTATACTTCATATATACTTTAGCACTTTAAAAGAACTAAAGATAGAGACATGTGAAGCTTTCCTCTTCGTCGATTCTATCTCAATCAGTCAAAAAGTAGAATCTGATATGCAAGTACGTCAGTTCAAGTTTCCATGCATCATTGGTACAGAGAGATGAAATTGTCATGCCAACTCAACGAATAGTAGAAGTAGTAACAGCATGAGTGGTGATAGACAAGATTGGGGTTCGAAGATACGATTTATATATGCAACTAAATATCTTTAGGTATAAAAAAGTTACTACAGAAAGACCCTAAGATCTTAGCGAAGAAACACAAATCTTAAGAACTGGTTTAAAGAATTAGTTAAGCAAACAGTTTTAAAGATATTTGTCCTGAAGTAGCTCGACAAGTGGTTGAAAATATAGCAGTGGCATCTGTTACCAATTTAATCCTAAAGGTCAAGCAAGACCATTGGATCTTAAAAGCCTCTATCGAATACATAGATACTTAGACAATCATCACACTAGGTTGAAAACGTAGGAAATCTATACATGAACTGGAGAACAGTTGGCGAATTAACCGTCAATATTATTGTGTAACGAAAGCAAGGAATAGAGAAAGCATTGATGAAAAACAGACCCTAAGAGGTGGAAGTTATTCACCTAAATAGTTTCTATCATTCTACTCCATGAAAAAGGATAGGAATCACATTGTGATAGGAATGATGATTAAAGAGATCAGGAACGGAATACTCGATGGGACCGGAAAGTTTATAGGTCTGGACATAGATCTAATGTCGGATTATCCAACATTCGTTAGGTCGTCAAACACAAGCATGCAAAGCAACACTTGATCGTAGTCAAATTTCATAACCTGAACGCAACATTCAACTCGATCGATCAAGGGGTTCAAGGGTAGTGCTTGTCATTGGAAATGGGGATTGAAAGGAAAAAACATATAAAGCCGTCTTTGAAGATTCGCCAGTTCAACAATAAGAGTTGAGTAACATATTAGGACAAACTATCACTTGAATCAAATGCGAAAAAATGGCGTTCGTCAGAGCTGTTTTCTTTTTAGTAATCAACCTTCTACGATAAAATTCATTTATCAACCCAAATTAAACAGACGAAGTATTTCTGTCCAGTGAATATGCTTAATAATTTCAATCTTTCAAACACGGCAACAAACAATCAAAAGTTAGAGATCCTATTTATTTGCGTTTAAATATAAAGTATTGTCTCATGGTTGATCTGTTTCCACACATGATCATAGGGAGTAAGGTGGTCGAAAACGTTGATCACTTCATCTGTGTACTAAAATTGCTACAAACCATGGATGTTTAGTCTCTGTGGACAGCTTTAGACGGATACAAAAACAATCCCCAGTGGTTCAGGTGAAATACTTATCAAGAAGCAACATATTATTTGTATTACAAGTTATCCTATACTAAATAAGTAATTTATAAAGACAAAAATACCAAGGTTTAGAATAATAACCAGACTTACATTCGATTTCTGATTGTTATTATTATTATTACTATTCTTTCGTCCAACAATTATCACAGATGATTTATCATTTTTCTCAGGCGAATTAATAGACTGTTTTGCCCTACTGTCAGATGGTGACGACGACGATGATGACCATGAATGTCCATTGGATATATTCATTGAGTGCGAATGTTGATATTGATTACCTTGTTGGTATTTATGAGATTTTCGTTCTTCTTCACAAAAATCAATATATAACAAACGAATTTGATTGTTAACTTGTTCATTAAAAAGACTCTCCCAAAATGGCATATTACGCCAGATTTCATGACGTTGAATTTGATGACTCATATTAGCATAATAACGAACATCGCCTAATTCCTTCAGATTTAATTCATTAACAAATATATTATTATATTAACGTAAGTTAGTGAATAACAAAAACGGTCAATGAGAGATGTTGAAATAACCTTCAGAAAATTCAACCACTTACTAAGGTCAAATGAGGATTAAACATTAGTATGAGGAAATAGGATTAAGATTCAGAGTTAGAAAATACGGATGGTAATGAGAGTTAATGTTTTTATCACCTAACTTCCATCGATCGATGGAAGTTAGACATTAACACCGTTGGATGCTGAATCAGTGGTCTAGAGGTTAAGCGTTCGCGTGCGAGACGGAAGGTTCTGGGTCCAAACCCAGAGTGGGGGATCGTGAATGTGCACTGCTGAGTAGTCCCATACTAGGACAAAACGGTCGTCTATTGCTCTCAGATATTCAATGGTGGTCTAACATCAATCGATTCATGATCTCAATCAAAAACTTAACAATCACTACAACCTTATACTGATAATAGACGTTACTGATTTCATGCTATTTATAAATCAAAGTGATAATCATTAGACGATTGAAGTTGAAAAGCATAGTTAGTTTACAAAATGAATGACATTGTCAGATACAAAGAAATTGATTAAATGTTAAACTCACTCAAAAGTCAATGACAGACAAAAATGGTGAACTGTTTGAAACTATTGTCCAACTACACTTAAAATCCAGATAATTAGTAAAACTTTCGAAAGTTTGCCGTTTTTTGATTGTAGAAGAAATTTGAGGCATAGTCTAGAATTTTTCATTACTATTAATTGACGGTGAATAAAAGACCACGGATATTACAAATATTCATTAATCACAAGAAATTATTGCTCCAACATTTAATGGAGCATTATTACTCAGATACAAACATTTAATCTTCGAATTTGATTTCGAATTATTTGATACTTTCTAGGATATATTATTACACCATTTGTTTAAATTTATTTTCGGGAACACAAACCTTTTACGTCCTCTACTTGATTACGGTAGAATAAGATATATAACTAGCGGTATTTGAAGGTGCAGAACCCCACAGTCTCAAATCAACTGACTACTATAAAGTACAGTATCTTAGAATAATACAATAAAATAAACATTACATTCTTATAACGTTACCATAATTTCACCACAAGACTGGATAAATCGAAATTACTAAGAGTCATGATAAATGCATAGATGCAAACACACTTACTGTACAAAGTCTAGTACTTATATCCATAATAATTGGTGTAATTCCACTGTCTTTTGATTGTGTCTCTTGTCTTAACGCTTCATCTAATAGGTCAACAATCAATTCAAATTGTTCCCATGTTAAGACAGCTCGTCTCTCATATGTACTTCTATTGATTGTCATATTACCAAGGAAGTTATTGATAGCTACAGTTGGTGATACTGGTGCTTCCGGGATTATATATGAACGTAATTCATCAACGAATAAGCGTCTCATTGGTCTAGACTTTAAATCTTGACGAATTGTATTTCGTCTCTACAAAATAAATATAGAAAATCGAAAAATTATCTAGATATTAGTAGAGTAATAAAAAGGAGAGTACCAAACGTTGGAAATATCATGGTGGATTGTACTGTAGATAACTATATTCATGACATAATTTTGACGATCATTATATTAGATGGTAGCAAACGCTGAACTCAAGTTCCAAGCTAGTTAGTACTTGTCAGAAAGGGGCACCAACAAATGTGAGGGACCTAATTTTCCCTGATGGATTCGATCCTGCGTCACTCAACTACACAATTTAAGACATTGCTACTGAAGTGTTCAGCTGGTGAATGACTTCATATACGTGTAAGACATTCACAACTAACTGATCACTGGAAAGTAAGTAGACATTTTCATGATGGGGTTAAGTTACTGAGCCTCAGTTTACATTATTCATATATATATACAATGAAATTGTAAATGAATGTTGTAACCTTCGGAACTATTTTACGGACTGTCATTGTTTACATTCTTATTGTATGATTATCAGATAACTAGGTTATTATATTCCTGTATTCCTTACATTGTGAGTGTTAATTTAAATTATTGACTATTGTTATACGTCTAATTATTTCTTAATTATTAATAATTAAATTTATATTGTTTGCTTTATTATCTGTCTGTGCGTCAAGTATGTTTTCTTATTTGGTGTTCGTGGCAATCTGACGATTAAAGATTATTTAAGATGAATGCATTAGGTACTTTTAAATATGGTAACGGAAGCTTGTCTGTGGTATTCTCTATGCGGACTCAATACTGAGGGAAAAAAGAAAACATTCATATCAGGGGGAAAATAATAGTCAAGATTATCTTGCCAGTTGTCAAGGTTATCTGTGTGATGTACTTATGTTGACATATATAAGTAGTATGTAACATCAATCACGAGTGGAACGCCTAACAACAAAAGGTTGAGAAGATCGAACTGGAAAAAAAAACAGGAGTGCCAATAGAGAGAAATTGTAATAACAACACGAATAAAGAAACGATGAACGTTATAAGAGACAACTGATGAAGAATGCGTGAATGTAGTATTTAATGTATACTTCTCATATATTACGAAGATATTCTATAATTTTGTATTAAACAATAAACTGGTTTTCCCCAATCGACATGTTCGTTCACTACACCTGTGATAGTCTACACCCTTCATTGGTCAAATTATGTGTTCAATCTACTAGTAAACTATCATATATGAGTTCAAGAGGAATAAACCAGAGTTTAGGTTACTGTGTGTTTTTTTTCTCGAGCTATCGATTAATAAAGTGCAAGTTAATTGAGTATCATAACACACATCTTAAAGTCAAAAATACACTTTGACAATGGTCTCCAAGTGTAAAAATAGTAGTTTATTATCAATATATAAATATACAATACCAAAAGTTTTATTTTCACGCATTACTTTTCTTTTGATGATTCAAATGTCTTTTAATAAAATCAATTCTTCTAATATCTAGAACTCATACACAATATAAAATTTACATTTCTAACCATAACAAACCAACAACAACAAAAAGGTTTAATTTACTCATCACTATCATTAAGCTAATAGTTTGTAGAAAACATCTATTTAAGAGAAATACAGTTATCACATTACCAATTTGTTGTTTCTTTGATCAATAATAGTAAACATATAGAATATCAAATGAAGATTCCAGTATACTGACTAAGCGACTCATATTTATTAATGACATTTTACAATCATAAAAAATAATAAAATGGACGGTATGAGAGATAGATGAAGAAAGGGAGAGAAAGAGAGAGAAAGAAAGAAATGTAACTCAAATAGAGATTATAACGAAGTTGAATGTTTAATGCTCTAATTATTAGATTATATAAACGTCAAATTGTCATAAAATCAATCAAACTTACTTTTAAAGCTTCTGTAATATGTTGATTAAAAATATCATCAACAAATTCATGAATTACACGATATTTATCAGGAAACATTTCTGCTTTGAATATTTGTCGATCTAATTGTAATCCTTGTGGTACAAAACGTGGTTCCGGTTTATGATAAACAACATTCCTTTTATTGATCAAAGCATAATGAAAAAATATGGTGAAAACATTAAACCAGATTTCTTCTAAATATACATTATTTTTTATCATGATCATGAAAGTTTTAGGCTTTATTCCTCTACTGATATTCAGAAGACACTTCTGGTTGATTAGATTCTCTCGATTTGTTTACAAGTACTTTTGTTTAAAAAGAAGAACTGTGGCTACCAGTAAAAATAAAAATGTGAGTTTTGTCTGATTTGGGACTCGCAAGTAGAATGTAATTGTATCCCAGAGCTAAAGTTCAACAATGCTATAACACAACCTCTTACTAATTATAATGTAATTATCATACCCAATGAAAAAGTTAGTGGTTATTTAAACTCGGTAACTCAGTAGACAATGTGTTGACATTTTAAACGAAAAGTACTGGGATTAAAATTTCAATGTGAACAACAACGCTGGAACGTAAGTATATACAGTTGAGGAATCTCAAATAACACGAAGTACGCATAGTTTAATTCACTGCTAGCTACAAAATATCTACATCTTATGTTATGCTAAGTAAGAATGCTTCAATACAGAACTCAGGATTGTGAATGAATAACTAAATCATATAATTGCATGTAAAATATTCTTTACAGATCATTCACTACCTTTATACAAGATCAAATAAACAAATAGAAAATATAACAAAAAACGTTTAAAAGGCATCAAGAAACATTGACTAAATGATCAGTTTGATTTTGAATATGACATCATACTAGTAAATAACACAAAGCAGATAGAGAATAGACATTCTTTTGTTTATTTATTTTTCACCATAGATACATTTATTTCCTTTTTTTAAAGTTAACTTTATGTCTTCATAAAGAGAAAAAATAGACGGTATATTGTGAATTATCTGTACAAATAATTTCATACTTATTATTACTAGTATATACACCGGTTGAAGGTAAAAGCCAACATGGATACTGGAATTTTTAACATTCAAAGAATGAAAAGTGATAAAAGTTGAACCTAACAGGAATCATCTTGGATTATAATATTTCAACGAATTAAACATTATATAACCAGATCTAAAAGTCTAAATATATATATTGTGAAAACATTGAAGATCAATGAAATAAAAATGTATCTCAAAAAAACTAAATGTTCTTTGAGATGGTGGAGAAGATTTGTAGCTCAGGTGGATGATTTTGGTGGAGTTTTGTTCTCTGACCAAACCATCCAGCTCAGAGAACAAAACTCCATCAAAAACTAAATGTTCAGATAGATTGATCTACATTGTTACATCTTAACTGATATACCAAATTAAGGATTTATATTTTATTGCTTAAAAACTGTTATCAACATGGAATTCTATAGAGCTGGAATACTTAAAATATTTAAAATCATTATAAGTAGTAAACATAATTGACGTTCAAGTTGTATGCGATAATAAGACTAAAATCAATCAATTTATCACCATGAACTGCAGCATATAATCGATTTCTGTTCCTTGATGTCTTTTCCGGAAGGATCGCCTCAATAGTGCATTTAATCATAAGTTTTTAATATATTTGGTATGTATCTAGTAATGGAATGAAATATGTACATTTCGTCCTATATAAAACTCATCAGCTGTCCAGACGATTTTCATTTTAATGATATATATACATCAACTATTAATATAATGAATATATATGGTTTCAGTGAAACCATATACAAATACATAATTATTAAAGTACTACTCAGTGCCTTCTCGCGGCGGGGGTGTTGTTCACGAAATTGAGAGGACGAAAAGCAGATGTCCGGAGCTTTAACCGGATCCCTAACTAATGGCGCACATGGGCTCCAGTACACTGCGGGAACAAATGGCGTATGAACCAATTTTCAGTCACCGGCTACCATCGGACTGCATCTCCTTACGATGCTCCACTGCCTTGTGGGTTAGACCTTTAGGTCAAAGGTTCAGGGTGTGGCCCCCTAAGATAACCACCTGCTTCGGTCTGGGCACCCGGGCAGTATCACAGCCCACACACAAACGATGAACTGTCTATAATTATGGAAACTAATTTTCGTGCTTCAACTAACAATCAAATGATTCAAATTATTATTATTATTATTATTTACTTCGTCATTTATTCACTCTCTTTCAACCCCACGCTGTCAATACTTATTTTTTTGACTTATATAGCAGCTCTACCTAAACGTCCTCGAGTCACTGTCCGGTTAAAAATTGTATGTTACCACCGAAAATGAGTACTGAAGCAGTTTTTCTGAAACCACGTGCACCATTCAAACTGGCTGCCTTCAACGTTCGCACACTTATGCAGGTTGGACAACATATAGGGCTGAGTATGTCTTTAGAAAGTCCTAATATCGATTATTGCTGTCTATCCGAGACCCATATTCAAGACTCTGGTGAAGTACTACAAATTCGCTCTACATCTGTCACTTCAAAAAGCTTCTTTTACGTGCGCTTATCCGGGGACCCTATGGCATCTTCTTCTGGTCTTGCTGGCGTTGGTGTCGCACTAAGCGCTAGAGCTGAGGCAGCACTAATCGATTGGATTCACATTAACAGTCGGTTATGTGATGTTAGATTAGAGAGTTCCATCAAAATGAGAAGAAATCGGCGTGAGAAACGATGTCTTTTCGTCATCTCCGCCTACGCCCCGACAGATTGCAGTCCAGATGCAATTAAGGATGAACTCTACCACCAGTTATCTGTTCTTCTCCAGAAAGTGCGTTCGACAGATATTGTAGTACTACCGGAGACTTGAATGCTCAAGTCGGGCGTCTAGGCACAGAAGAGAGTCGTTTAGGTGGCCGATGGGGACTTGTTGGTCGCAGGACAGATAACGGGGACCGTCTACTGCAACTGTGCACAGATCACAACCTGTTTCTGGCTAGCACTAATTTTCGGCACAGTCATCGCCGATGTGCCACCTGGCGTCCTCCGTCTGCATCCCAAGCCTGGACTCAGATTGATTACATCGCGATCAGCTACCGCTGGCGTGGTTGAGTACAAGACTGCCGCTCCTTTTGGAGTACCAATCTGGACTCTGACCATGCCTTGATCTGCGCCAATCGCGCCTTACTTTTCAATGGACAACGAAGTGAACGCCATCAACGGATTGATGTTAGCAAGCTGGTTGCAACTTCTGTTGCAAGTAAGTATCGAACCGAGCTAGCCTCTAGGCTAGCTACCATTCCACCGAAAAGTATAGATGAGCATTGGTTGCAATCACATGACGCCATGAAAATGGCGGGTACAGTCAGTTGTGGGTTTGCAAAACGTCCCGCTTTTAAGCACTGGGTTTCTTCAGGCACATTACATTTCATTGAAGCCCGTTGGTCTACTCCGGGTGACCGTGAGTTTGACCACAAACGAAGGTTGTTACGTAAGGAAATTGGGCAAAGCTTGCGTAAGGATCGAGAAGCCTGGTAGTCGGAGCGTGGTAATGAGTTGGAAGCAGCAGCTGCATTTGGTAACTACCGGAAGCTCTTCCAACTCATCCGAGCCACTGGCAGCATGACGTCTGGTGTGAGCGAAACAATCTGCGAGGATGACGGAACGCCAATCACTAACATCCATCGACGTCTTGGACGATGGGCTGGATTTTTCGAAGGGCAGTTCAACTGGCCTGCTGCTCCGGCAACATCGGTCAGACTGTCCTGCCCTCCATGGCCGGTGACGACTGACCCACCAAATAAGGCGGGAGTCCGCAGGGAACTCCAACTCTTGAAGTGCTACAAATCACCTGGCCCAGATGTCTTACCTCCGGCTCTTTTTAAAGATGGTGGTGACTTTTTGACTAAGGTATTGACGATGTTGTTTACAAAGGTGTGGGAGCTAGAGAGTGTACCAACGTCATGGAATGAGTCGATAGTTGTAACTATCTTTAAAAACGGTTCACGTCGTTCCTGTAACAACTATCAAAGGATAAGTCTACTTCCCATTGCGTCCAAGCTATTGGCTTCTGTCATACTTCGTAGATTGTTCAAAACCCGAGAAAGATTGACTCGCGAGGTGCAGGCTGGGTTTCGTTCTGGTCGAGGATGTAATGATCACATCTTCACCCTCCGCCAAATGTTAACACCGTCATACTTATCGAAGGCCAACAATCGTAGTGTTTCTTGACATCACGGCTGGCTTCGATTCGTTGGATAGGACTGTACTCTGGGATTGTCTATTGAAGAAGGGTGTGCCTGAGAAGTTTATTAACATCCCAAAAGCCCAATGTACAAATACCTCAGGCAGAATGGGGGCATACAACCACCTATCTACATTGTTTCATTCGAGCAGTGGGGTTAGGCAGGATTGCTCGATCTCACCATTCCTCTTCAAATTTGCCATCGACGACATTCTGGAAACAGCTCTGATGGATGTCAGTCAGTCAGCCAGTCAGCTACAACGTAGGATCAGGCACATATGTGCATCGGTCCAGGTTGCCATACCTCATTAGCACAGCAAGATGAACAGCGGATTCATAGCAGTGGTTAGGTCAAAGGTAGTAATATATAGGAGAAAGATTGCAATAAGGATATAGTATAGGAAGAAAGAATTACTACGTAGAAAGAAAGATATGAAGTGATTTTAATCTCTCAGTTTAAGGGAAGACAGAGAGTGTATACACCAACGCCATTGTGATCGATTCTGAGCCATGTCACCAAGAGTCTCCAACCATTGGTTACGATAGTCACGCGGACCCCAACCAAGTAGTCTGCATCTACCAACATGGCTCAGACTAGAAGTTAGTGACTTCATGCACTGATGCCACGTTTTGGTTTGGCCGCCCCTAACTTTCTTCCAACCATCCCCTACACCGGTTAGCATTGCACGTCGTGGTAGTCGGTGTTCAGGCATACGTAACACGTGGCCCAACCATCTCAGTTGATGAAGATTCATAACCTCATCAACTGATTTACGATCATTCCCTAATACCCTGCGTCTAACCTCACTATTACTTACCCGGTGATCCCAGCAGACGCCAGCAATATTTCTAAGGCATCTGTGGTCAAATACTAGTAGCTTACGGGTGTCTTCTACTCTTAATGGCCATGCTTCGCTGCCGTAAATTAAAACAGAACGAACTGCCGCGCAGTATACTCGTCCTTTTATTGATAGACGGACATCTCGCCTCCGCCAAAGGTGACGTAAGTTGGCAAAAGCCAAACAAGCTTTTCGAATCCGTGCTGAGATTTCGTCAGACACCAACCCATTAGGGCTGATCAGACTTCCAAGATAAGTGAAGTTGTCAACGCGTTCGACCACTTCACTCACTATCCTTAGTTCAGGTGTTGACGCAGACCAGTCCTGAAGCAACAACTTGCATTTCGAGGGAGAGAAGCGCATTCCAAACATTCTGGCATTGTTGCTTAGTGCTACCAGAAGATTCTGCATTTTGTCAGCGTCTTCACCAAACAGCACTATGTCATCTGCGTATTCTAAGTCGTTAAGTGGACCTCCTGGAAGGAGATCAATACCCGAGAATTCAGTCGACGAGAGTGTTATTTCCATCAATAGGTCTATGATGAAGTTAAACAAAAATGAAGAAAGTGGACAGCCTTGACGGACACCACTTGAGGTTGCAAAAGTAGATGACAGTTCGCCATAAGCCCTGACTCGACTAGTAGTATTCGAGTAAAGAGCCTTCACAAGGTTTATGTACTTCTGTGGTACGCCTTTCAATGACAGACACTGCCACAGAATCTCGCGGTCTACCGAGTCAAATGCTGCTTTTAAGTCAAGAAAGATCACCATTGTCGAACGCCGGTAAGTATGCCTATGTTCTAGAACTTGACGAATGGTGAATATGTGGTCGATGCAGCCACGACCAGGTCTGAAGCCAGCTTGATTCTCTCGAGTTTGTAGTTCACGAGTATTAGTTAGGCGTCTGATAATTATCGGTTAGTATTTTAGATACTATATTAGTTAAACTATGTTCCATTCACACTGTCTGGGAATGGAGGGTAGTTGTAGAGAAGCTGAAGGCCAGCTGAAATGTTCTCTGAAATATTCCGCCCATCGTTCTAAATGTCTGGACTGGGAGCAGATGAGAGTATCGTCTTTTTCCGATATAATCTCACTTACACTTGACTTATTAATTCCAGTTTTTTGTATTAGTCTGCGAAGCTGTCTTGTGTTCCCTATAGTCGCCGCCTTTTTCATCTCTTTTGCTTTCATTGCCCACCACTGCTCACGGTCGTTTCTTAGACTTTTGCTTAACCTAGATCTGATTTGTTGTCGCTCCTCATCATGTTCGGAACCTGATGGGACGAGTTTGCAAGAATCCATCAGTGTGATAGACTTTGAAGAAATCCAGTAGTTCTTTGTAACCCTGTGGTTTAAATCACTGATAGATGTCACTGCTGTTTCCACAGCTGCTTGTATGGCTTTCCAAGCAACAACTGGGTCAACCTCGTTTTCAGAACTACCTAATCGTGACCTCAGTTGTTCCTGGAACCTACTTTTGGTTTCCTCGCTACTCAGTTCGGTTCTAATGGGTCTTTTTACTGTGGCATTTTTGCGTCCAGTGAGGCGCAAACAGATGCGTGCCCGTATTAGGGCGTGGTCGGAGTCCAAGCAGATACTCCAGAATGAGCGACAATCTTCTACTGACCCTCTCCAACGGTGACTGATGGCAATATAGTCTATTTGAGTCCATCGTTGGTTTGGTGTAGGGGGTCGCCATGTTAGACGATGTCTTTCCTTATGCTTAAAATTTGTGTTTGCTAAAAATAAGCGATTGTCTGAGCAGCGATTATCTGTTCGCTGTGCCGGAATGCTAAAATATCCACCCAAATACCTTTCTGTTTGGTTTAAGCTACCTATCTGAGCATTAAAGTCACCCCCTACGAGTACTATGTCTGAGCGTTTAGCTTTCTGAAGAAGTTCAGAAAGCTTTCTGTAAAATTCATCTTCCACATCATCTGAGCTGCAGTCAGTGGGAGCGTAGGCAAAAACGACGAAAAGGCAACGACGTGTATCCCTATCCTTCCGAGTTCTTACGGAGCCGTTTAACCGAACAGCACATAGACGACTGTTGACGGGGATCCACTCTAGCAGTGCTTGTTCCGCCCTCATGCTTAGTGCTATGCCTACACCCGCCAGTCCACGAGAACTGGCCATAGGGTCACCAGATACACGGAGGGTGTATCTCGTTGGCTCTCCGTCTTGCCGAGGTGAGGTCAAGTGAATGACCACACTGGAATCCTGTATGCGTGTTTCGGAGACACAGCATACATCAATGGAAAGAGACTCTAGGGTTTTAGCCAAGGAAGCCTGCTGACCGATTTGACATAGGATGCGTACGTTGAAGGCTCCAATGTGTAGTTTGGAGCGAGGTTTCAGTAGACCAGGGACAGAGTTTTGAGCACTAGAATTGTTGGCTATGGTGACACTTGAGGAGGAAGCCGAAAGAGGAAGTTTGGAGTTGAAAGCCGATGTAGGAGGAATAATAGGAATTGAAGAGGAAGGTTGATTATGAATACAGTGGTCTTGAGTGCTGTTAGAGGTATGAGGGTGGTTTTCACTTCCCGGTTGCCCACACCGTGGAAGGGTTGTTCTGGGGGTACCTGAAAAGGAAATTGGATTAGAGGTGGTCTCAGTGATCTGAGAGCGTGACCGCAGTGCCCAAGGGACAACTGCTTGGGGCCGGTCGCGCATGGCCTTTTTGTGGGAGGTTTTCGACGTGTTAGCTCCGCTCTTCAAAGGGCCCTACCGCCGGAGACGGAAATCCGTGAGGTAAGGTGAGGTGCTTTGCACCCTCGAAGTGCAAAGTGCTTCTACAAGACTGGCAGGATTCTAATCCTGTACTCACCCTGGATGGTGAGCAGATAGAAGTAGTCGAAAAGTTCGTGTATCTAGGTAGCTACATAAGTGCTGATGGTGACTTTAGTGATGAGATCAATGCATGTATAGTGAAAACTAGAGCGGCTTATGCCAATCTGGGCCACCTTTGGCGCCTTCGTGATGTTAGTCTGGCTGTAAAAGGTTGGATCCACAACGCGTCGGTGAGAGCAGTTTCGCTCTATGCTTGTGAAACCTGGTCTCTCCGAGTTGAGGACGTTAGACGACTCTCTGTGTTCGATCATCGCTGTCTCTGAAGGATCGCTGACATTCAGTGGCAACACCATGTTAGTAATGCCAAGGTTCGGCATCGTGTGTTCGGGCACAGAGACGATAATTCAATTGGCGTCAACATCTTGAAACACCGACTTCGGTGGCTTGGATATGTTCTACGAATGTCGTCCCAGAGAATTCCACGTCGTGCATTATTTGACGACTCTGGGACTGGTTGGAAGAAGCGGAGAGGTGGTCAGTGTATGACATGGTGTCGTGGTATGAAAGAAAGCTGCAAACGGCTGGAATCTGTTGGTCCTTCACGACTTCCTGGCTGGGGTCCGAGAGATGGTGCTACACAGTGGCTAGAGACGTTATCAGATATGGCTCAGAATAGAAGTTAGTGGCGATCCTGCTATAACCTTCTTTTACTTTCTTCATAAAAAAAGTGGTTGTGTCTTCCTTAACTGAAAGATTTCTTCTGACTGTATATTTCCGTTCCCCCATTTTTACCATTATTATTATTACACCACCTTACATCAATCTCTTCGTTATTATTCTCTCTTTTTTTCCTTCCCCTTAAATTCTCATTGTTTTGTGTGGCGCACATATATTTGGCGCATTCTTGTACCAATATTTATGTGTTCAAATAAATAAATAAAGGAAATCTTAACAATACTTAGAAATAATTAACCTGACATAAATATGCGAAATGCAAAAAAAGGAGTTTGTGCCGAATCGAAACTTCTCAATTCTCACATTAAAAGACTCAATATAACGTGTTAATTACTCATAATCGGTAATAAAATTTCAATTCAACGAAATGCCATATTCATGTAATCAACCCATGCAATTAATGTCGATATTTTTTGAAAAAAAATCAATCACCGAACCCATGTAATTACTGATGAAACAAATTAGTGTATTATTTCAATATTCAAAAACCACGACATTGAAAATAACAACTATGGAAGCCACTTACTATCATAGTAATTAACGTTAGATATTACATGTCATAATTATCACTATATATATATATATAACGTTTTGTGGTCGTGAATATTGAAACTATGGAAAAACTCAACAACATGGAAGGACAAAAGTTTAAAGCAATTTGAAAAAACTTACTTAGTTTTCTTTTGAGAATACTGAACAGTTAGTTCATCGATTAATTTAGCGTCTAAAACAGGAAATGGTGTCTGATGTATGCGTTTGTGAGCTTCAATAGCTTCATTTGGAAGAATCTGTGTAGCTGGTTGATCACCGCATTCCTACAATTCAATTTTTTTTAAACAAGAGGACTATGAGAAGTAGTGTGTGAAAGTTATGAATGTTATGATAAACATAAAATTTCCTAGGATTCTACAAATGTTAGAAATTTGTTTAGTGAGATTCCGTGAGAAGATTTGAAACTGTGATGCCTCTGAGTCAAAATTGAAACACAAAGAAATGAAGTAAAGCTTAGGTTTAACAAACAATATAATGCCAAACCCAAACAAAAGAGAGTAAGCAACTACAGAGTCATGACGGTCAGAATCTAGGGTTAGTGTCTTTACAACCAACTGATATCACCCATAATCCAAGGTCTCTAAAATCCATATCCTAGCTTTCATTCACAACATTGATTTATCTTTACCGTTTACCAGTGAGGTAAAAGAGATTAAGATTTCATAGTCGTTCGGCGAAAGAGATGGAAAAGGCGGCGACTATAGGGAACACAAGACAGCTTCACAGACTAATAAAAAAAACTGGAATTAATAAGTCAAGTGTAAGTGAGATTATATCGGAAAAAGACGATACTCTCATCTGCTCCCAGTCCAGACATTTAGAACGATGGGCGGAATATTTCAGAGAACATTTCAGCTGGCCTTCAGCTTCTCTACAACTTCCCTCCATTCCCAGACAGTGTGAATGGAACATAGTTTAACTAATATAGTATCTAAAATACTAACCTCGATAATTATCAGACGCCTAACTAAGACTCGTGAACTACAAACACGAGAGAATCAGGCTGGCTTCAGACCTGGTCGTGGCTGCATCGACCACATATTCACCATTCGTCAAGTTCTAGAACATAGGCATACTTACCGGCGTTCGACAATGGTGATCTTTCTTGGCTTAAAAGCAGCATTTGACTCGGTAGACCGCGAGATTCTGTGGCAGTGTCTGTCATTGAAAGGCGTACCACAGAAGTACATAAACCTTGTGAAGGCTCTTTACTCGAACACTACTAGTCGAGTCAGGGCTTATGGCGAACTGTCATCTACTTTTGCAACCTCAAGTGGTGTCCGTCAAGGCTGTCAACTTTCTCCATTTTTGTTTAACTTCATCATAGACCTATTGATGGAAATAACACTCTCGTCGACTGAATTCTCGGGTATTGATCTCCTTCCAGGAGGTCCACTTAACGACTTAGAATACGCAGATGACATAGTTCTGTCTGGTGAAGACGCTGACAAAATGCAGAATCTTCTGGTAGCACTAAGCAACAATACCAGAATGTTTGGAATGCGCTTCTCTCCCTCGAAATGCAAGTTGTTGCTTCAGGACTGGTCTGCGTCAACACCTGAACTAAGGATAGTGAGTGAAGTAGTCGAACGCGTTGACAACTTCACTTATCTTGGAAGTCTGATCAGCCGTAATGGGTTGGTATCGGACGAAATCTCAGCACGGATTCGAAAAGCTCGCTTGGCTTTTGCCAAGGTTATGAAGGAGGTTATGAATCTTCATCAACTGAGATGGTTGGGCCACGTGTTACGTATGCCTGAACACCGACTACCACGACGTGCAATGCTGTCCGGTATTGGAGATGGTTGGAAGAAAGTTAGGGGCGGCCAAACCAAAACGTGGCATCAGTGCATGAAGTCACTAACTTCTAGTCTGAGCCATGTTGGTAGATGCAGACTACTTGGTTGGGGTCCGCGTGACTATCGTAACCAATGGTTGGAGACTCTTGGTGACATGGCTCAGAATCGATCACAATGGCGTTGGTGTATACACTCCCTGTCTTCCCTTAAACTAAGAGATTAAAATCACTTCATATCTTTCTTTCTACGTAGTAATTCTTTCTTCCTATACTATATCCTTATTGCAATCTTTCTCCTATATATTACCACTTTTGACCTAACCACTGCTATGAATCCGCTGTTCATCTTGCTGTGCTAATGAGGTATGGCAACCTGGACCGATGCACATATGTGCCTGATTCTACGTTGTAGCTGACTGACTGACTGAGTCGTTCGGCGATATACTTTATATTTACTAAGATTAACAATGAGATTGGATAAAGCTACGTTATTGACAAGATTAAATTAAGAGGATAATTTTACTTATGTGTACATAAATTTTTTTAAGAAACAATGGTGTATTCGATCGGATTCTGTAATATTCCAGTAACTTGTTTCTATCATAAGTTTATTTCATTGCAGTTCTGAATGCTGTACTGTATGAATGGACGGAGGTGGTATGTTGTCCAGAGTAAAACTTCTAGCAGTGATGCAACGTAATTTTAATATGACATTGCTATTATCGTCCAGCGTTGTCATACATTTTAGCATCCATAGAAAGAAACAATGTAATTGTATTGGCTTTCGAGAGAAAGTCACTCAGAAAAACATCAAAATCTGTTCAACGCTTTTCGTATAGGTAAAACAGACCAGCAGATCAGTCGAACTGTTACTCCAAAAACTGTCCATTGTCCAAGACATCGGCAGATGTTAGTGGTTGGCACCTCGTCATCTTCACAGGTTATTTTACACGCATCCGACTTCTTGCTGCTAATGACTCGAATGAGATGACAAAGCATCCGGTAACTACCAGATGCAGCTGCTGCTTCCAACTCATTGGCATGCTCCGACCATCAGGCTTCTCGATAAGTTCACATAAACATCTACCATTTTCAGCATTGTGTAAATGCTTATTATTAACGTAAAACAAAACTATTCAAACCATTTACAAAACTATCACCATAACACATAAAATCAACATTCCAAATGGAAAACTAATCAGAACATCCTGATAATATGCAGAGGTGTTTCAGATAAATATATATATAAAGAATTCAGTGAAGAAAGATTAGGGAGTTTTTTTCCAAAACCGACAAAATATAAAGTTTTGTTGTAAACTAAGAAAAAAACTGTTCATTTGTAATGGTTGTTTAAATCATCTCATGGTTTCTGTTAAAGGTCGGAATTGGCCAGTCCCTTTCGGCATATGTACATCCAGGGTAGGTTACATCATATGTTCGATTGATAGATCCTATCCAACTATTCAACATGTATATATATCAAAGAAGACTGATCAATTGCTGTTCTTAGGATAAACGACGGAAACAGTCGAACAAACCTTACAGATTAGTTAAAATTCACTCTTGTTGCACGAGCCAGTAGTTAACTGGATGTAATGCGGTAGGTGCTTGGGGAGAAAGGAGCCAAGTTCGAGTCCCAAAGTGAACATTAATAAAAAGCTAAAGAGTCTCCAATATAAAACGCGCGTTCTAGACTATCCTGCTAGCCACTATCCAAATTAGCTTTAAAAAATTAAATATAAAAATAAAGTGTCACTTACATTATCCAACAGTTTTGTGCTTAGTCGTTCTATTAAACTGAAATTGGTTGTATTTCCAGTGATCATTTGTGATGGATTATGATTACTGAACATATCATATTCATAATCTCTACTATTCAGTGTCCAGTTATTATTACTATCAGACAGTGAATGATCATCGACATTCGATTCATATACTTCATCAAATATATCACATACACGAAATGGTGGACCACGTTCTAATATGAATTGATGAAAACGCATACTAGATAATAAACGATCGTAGAATTCATTATGTGCACTATTTCCACGTAGAAGTAAATATAATGTCTGAAAGTTAAGAAAACATGGAAAAATACAAATAAGTTTCATATACATAGTTCCCTTTATTAAAGAGAGCAAGAACAAAGATTGGTGCACCAATCAATAGTTGGACTAAAGAATAAAACTCCAAGTGTAAAAGCGATACTATTACACAGGCTGCAATACAATCCAAGTAGCTGTTCTTTTTGCTGTTGCATTATATTTTAACATAGACTTTCTCTAAATAGTCATTACAATCACAAATAGATTTATCCAAAACAGACTCAACCAAAACTTTTGGGATAGTATGGACTGCCAGTAGACAAGTTACATAATTAAGTCAGTCAATCATAATCAACATAGAGCTTTGCATAATTATGCGTTAGCACACGTTGCTATGTCACAACATTAGTACGAGATAAATTTAACAAGACTAATAATAAATGAGTCAAAATAATCGTAGCAGTAATGCTAAGAAAAATGGTACATTGAAAATATATTTCGATAGGAGGCGATGTAAAGATATATGTATGAGATGAGTGAATGTATCTGCCCCATTGTGGTCAACTCTGAACTATTTCATTCAACGTCTCCAGCCACTAGCCGCAGTATCAACGATACGATTATAACCAGATGGTGTGAACATATCAATATGACATAGACCAACATTTAATAAATGTATCGACCGATACCACGTTTTGTAAAACGACTTAGGCCTGTCTTCCATATTACTAATGCACATCCTCCATCGAGGTAGGGAATGGCTGGGTATATACGATAAATGTCCTAAATACATCAATCTATGAGGTTAACAACAGTCGAAGAATAGTCTTGAACATATGTTAATAACAAGTGTTTAACAACAATAGATCCTATTCAATATTGTTTTAATATAAGGATTCTTTATACCGAAGTGTATGTTTAGCACTTGAAACAAACAATTTTCAATCATAAAATAGCATAAAACCAAAGACAAATTCTTAATGTCAAAATTGTTGAAAAATACAAATTTATTGATCAAGCAATATAATTAACACTTCTTATATAAATATAATTATTCAGTGCGACAATGATATTGAGATTATATGGTGGTTGGAGGTAGTCGACAGGAAACCCTGGACCTAGGTTTCGTGCTACTTGGCACTCATCAGCAAGGTGTGCCTGTAATCTTGAGGGAACTGGTGGTCCCTGGCGGATTCAATCCCGTGTCACACAGATTCACAGTCAGAGACGTTACTACTGAGCTATCCGGGCCGCGACTGACGGCCTGTAGGACTGAGATGTAGTCACAATTGATTGATCATTGAGTGGTGATCAATGTCATGTGTGTCAAGTCCTTATTTAGTGCAGATCGAAAGCTATCGATCATGTTGCAATGTAGCCACTACCCGGATAGCTCTGTGGTAACGTCTCTGAATGTGAAGCTGGGTGACACGAGATCGAATCCGCCAGGAAGCACCAGTTCCCTCAGGATTACAGGCACGCTTTGCTGACGAATCCCAAGTAGCACGAAAGCCGGGTCCAGGGTTTCCTGTCGACTACCTCCAACCACCATCTAATCTCAATGTATAGTGCCCGCAGTGTCCAGTCACCTAGACTGGTGGCCACATTGCAACATGATCGACAGCATTCGATCTGCACTAATAAGGACTTGACACACATGATATTGATCACCACCCAGTGATCAATCAATTGTGATGACAATGATATTCCTTGCATATTTTCAAAATGCAATTTAACAAGCATTCAACTGTAAACACTACTGAATTTATTCCAATAATATTTTTGGTTAAAAGAACAGGATTTTCTTAAAACAATCCGATTTCAATTCAAGGAATAGTGAAGTTAACATTTCATTGAACATAAAGTAGTTGGAGATGGCCAGTAGAAAACTTTAGTCTAAAGGTTTCGTATTAGTTCACCCTCATCATCAAGCTGTACCTGGAATCATGAGGGAACTAATACCACTTAGTAAATTCGAACTCACATCACCATTTTTATGGTCTAAGACGGGCTTAGGAACTCAACAGTAACGTTTCAAACTGTAAGATCGGGTGTAGTGAACAAGAACACGGGTGGGGACAATCGATTGTATTTAGCACAAAAATTACAGACTATCTCAATAAAATGTGAATACCATAAAGTCAATCGTCAATTTGCAAAATATCATTCGATCATATCAAACTGTACTGTTCCCGTTGCAAACACTAATCCATTGTCGCCCATTCCATTGTACATGCGTTTTCTTACAATTCCATTGCGTTCTTGCTCTTACTTTCTTGAACTTCGCCATCTTCTGCTGCCAGACTTTACGTTATTTTAACGCTCGTCATATACTACTTATATAAATATAAGTAGCTCACACCACATCGGGTACTGTATGTTTAACTCTTACAGTTAGCATCAATTTCCTCAAGATTGCAGGTACACCTTACTAATAAGTGCCAACATACACGAAACCCAGGTTCAGAGTAGTCAACCGACTACCTCTGACCAGACAACCCAACATTTGAATCTACTGCATGAGATGTCGAGTCAGCCAAATTAGTGACCACGGTGTAAATTTATCAATAGAAATTAGTCAACATTAAAGGATTAAGCAAAAGCAACAATGATCATCACTCCGTGACGCAATGAATTTAATTTTCATATGAGGAAAAATCATTATACCTTTTATTGAAACACAACTAGACAGCAAACGAGATAATTTTGTAAAATTAATTTGTATTTAACGGAATGCCACAAAACGTTATTTTTAAACTTAACCACATAATAGCTGGTGACATCATGTTTAGGCGCTGAACAGTAAAAAAAAAGAGATCAATGCTATAAGGAAAAATTGTCCGCTTCAAAGACAAATTTGAGTAGTTTATACTTGTCCAATCAAGATCAGTCTGCGATGTAAGCTATGAAATGTTGACAATCACCACAAACTCTCTAAATGATGAGTAATCATGTGCGCAATTTCAAGAAGTTCCCCCAAGTTCTAGTGAGAAGCCATGACGAAAGGGGTTACACCATTTCAGGTATGACAGTTATCCACCACGACCAAAGGAAGATGGTTAGATAGTTTCGTAAAATGATTGAAAATAAACATCTAAACCATCGAATCGATACCGTTTAAATGTCAACCACTTGCCGTGAAATTTGAAGGTCCTTGGTTCGATCTCAGATACAATCATGAATGTGCACTACTTAGTCCCTTACTGAGACAAAACAGCAGTTCAGTCCATCCTGGTTTTCAGTAGTTGTCTAAATAAAATCGATTCATGATTTTAATAAAACTAGACAATCTCTACGACCCCCTTGTACGAATATACATATATCATTGGTATCGAATCGATGACTAGATGCGTAAATAGTAGAAAAGGAAAGAAATAACAAACATCTAATGTAATGTATTGACAAACAAAAAAGTATCTACAAATATAGCCGTTTTAAGTGCAGAATACTAATCGATCCAGTCGGATAACTTCAGGTAACATTCAATTAAAAACAGAAAATGTCTAACATATGGATAAGTAAATATGTAAATAGATATGTAGTTATGTAGATAATCATTTCGTTTATTGGCATGAATGAATACCGGTAACAGAAAAACAGAAAAATAAAAAAAAACTATATGCAGATGTGAAGTTATATTTCCCTAATTACTATTACAATATTACAATCAGAAATAATTTGCAACCGAAGTAAAACAAAAATATTAACAAATTAGTATAAAATAATACAAGTGATATTTGAACAGGTTGTATTAACACATATAGAAATTTTATAAACAAAAACCACTCTAGTTAATTGAACCCAAAAATTAACTGATTTCAATCTAACAATACAGTCAGTCAGTAACAACGTAGAACTTCGTACGTACGTACATCAGTTCGAGTTGCCACACCACATTAGCACAGAGATGCAGCTGTCGATTCCAATCCCGTAGTGGTAGAGGTAATAAGAGTATAAGCAGTAATCGGGAAGATTAGGGTTTGGAGATGTTATTTAAAGAGTATAATCCAGTGAAATAAATTTGGAAAGAGGAAAAAAGGGACATGAAGAATTCAGAAGATTAGAATTTGGGAGAACACAGAGAGTGAATGCACCTGCACTCACCACTGCAAACGATTTTGAGCCATGTCGTTCAGGGTCTCTAACCATCGGTTGCTGTCATCTCGCGGTCCCCAATCAGGTAGTCTACACCTACCAACATGACTCAGTTCACTTGTCAGTGACTTCATGGACTTGTGTCATGTTTTGGTTTGGCCGCCCCTAGCTTTCTTCCAACCTACTCCTATACCACTGAACATAGCAAGTCGAGGCAGTCGGTCGTTGGGCATACGTAACACGTGTCCCAGCCATCTCAACTGATCAAGTTTCTCTACGTCATCAATCGATTTGTCATCCTTACCTAGCCATGTATGTGATGCCCACCCCGAGGCAGCATGGAACGATATCCGAAAAGCTGTGGAAACAGCAGTGATATCTGCTAGTAAGGTAAACCGTAAAGTTAGGGAGCAACACTGGATCTCAGCAGCATCTATCGCACTGATAGATGCTCGAAAACTCATTCCACCTGGCTCTGAACATAATGAAGAGCGGAGTGAGCTTAAGCGCAAGCTGACAAGAAGTCTACGCAATGATCGTGAACAGTGGTGGGTAGCGAAAGCAAGAGAGATGGAAAAGGCAGCGGCAATAGGTAATAGCAGACAATTGTTTAGACTCGTTAAGGAAACCGGAATTAGGAAACCGACCGTTAGCGAAACAATCTCAGAGAAAGATGGACATATTATTCATTCTCAATCCAGGAGATTGGATCGATGGGCAGAACACTTTAGGGATCAGTTCAACTGGCCTTCAGCCACACTTCGGTTTCCCACGATCTCCAGTCAACCTGAATGGCAAGTTAATGTAAGTCCTCCGTCCCTTTGCGAAGTTGAAAAAGCCATAAGAAATCTGAAACGAGGGAGAGCAGCAGGCCCTGACATGTTTACTCCTGAGATTTTTAAGGATGGTGGTCCAGTTTTAGCAGCAAGATTAACTGAGGTCTTAGGTAGAATTTGGGAACTGGACGTAATCCCATCTGACTGGTCTCAATCACTGATTGTGCCAGTTTTTAAGAAAGGACAAAAGTCCTCTTGTGACAATCACAGAGGAATCAGTTTGACTAATATAGTGTCTAAAATATTGGCCTCAATAATACTTCGACGCCTAACTAAAGCTCGTGAAGAGCAGACTAGAGAAAACCAGGCTGGTTTTCGACCTGGACGTGGTTGTATAGATCAGATATTCACACTACGTCAGGTTCTAGAACAGAGACACACATTCAGACGCCCCACAATGGTAGTATTTCTCGACCTTAAGGCGGCATTCGACTCCGTTGATCGTGAGGTTCTATGGCAGTGTTTGTCACTGAAAGGAGTACCAAAGAAGTACATTAACCTTATAAAGGCTCTCTACTCGAACACAACTGGTAGAGTGAGAGCTTATGGCGAACTGTCATCAGAATTGATCACCTCAAGTGGTGTTCGTCAGGGCTGTCCACTCTCCCCATTCTTGTTCAACTTTGTCATTGACGTACTTTTAGAGATAACACTCTCCTCATCTAAATTTCCAGGGGTTGAACTTCTACCGGGAGGTTCACTTGTTGACTTAGAATATGCAGATGACATAGTTTTATTTGGTGAAGACGCTGACAAAATGCAGAGTCTTCTGACCACTCTAAGCAACAATGCAAGCATGTTCGGGATGCGATTCTCTCCCTCGAAATGTAAAATGTTGCTTCAGGATTGGGTTACATCGACACCCGAACTAGTGATAGGGAGTGAAGTAGTTGAGTGTGTCGACCGCTTCACTTATCTTGGAAGTCTCATCAGCCCTTGTGGTTTGGTTTGTGACGAAATCTCAGCACGGATACAGAAGGCTCGACTAGCTTTTGCCAACTTGCGTCATTTATGGCGTAGGCGAGATATCCGTCTATCAACCAAAGGACGTGTTTACTGCGCAGCAGTTCGTTCCGTCCTTCTTTATGGCAGTGAAACATGGCCGGTAAGAGTAGAGGATATCCGTAGGTTACTAGTATTTGATCATAGGTGTCTTCGAAACATTGCTCGTATATCCTGGGACCATCGAGTAAGTAACACAGTTGTCAGGAAACGGGTACTAGGTAAGGATGGCAAATCAATTGATGAAGTAGTGAAACTTCATCAGTTGAGATGGCTGGGACACGTGTTACGTATGCCCAACGACCGACTGCCTCGACGTGCTATGTTCAGTGGTATAGGAGTAGGTTGGAAGAAAGCTAGGGGCGGCCAGACCAAAACATGGCACAAGTCCATGAAGTCACTGACAAGTGAACTGAGTCATGTTGGTAGGTGTAGACTACCTGGTTGGGGACCGCGAGATGACAGCAACCGATGGTTAGAGACCCTGAATGACATGGCTCATAATCGTTCGCAATGGCGCAGGTGCATCCACTCTCTGTGTTCTCCCAAACTCTAATCTTCTGAATTCTTCATGTCCCTTTTTCCCTCTTCCCAAATTTCTTTCACCGGATTATACTCTTTAAATAACATCTCCAAACCCTAATCTTCCCGATTACTGCTTATACTCTTGCTACCTTTACCACTACGGGATTTGAATCGACCACTGCATCTCTGCTAATGTGGTGTGGCAACTCGAATTGATGTACGTACGTACGAAGTTCTACGTTGTTACTGACTGACTGACCCGTTCCCTAACAACTGCGTTACTTACTCGATGGCCCCATGATATACGAGCAATGTTTCGAAGACACCTATGATCAAATACTAGTAACCTACGGATATCCTCTACTCTTACCGGCCATGTTTCACTGCCATAAAGTAGGACGGAACGAACTGCTGCGCAGTAAACACGTCCTTTGGTTGATAGACGGATATCTCGCCTACGCCATAAATGACGCAAGTTAGCAAAAGCTAGTCGAGCCTTCTGTATCCGTGCTAAGATTTCGTCACACACTAAACCACAAGGGCTGATGAGACTTCCAAGATAAGTGAAGCGGTCGACACACTCAACTACTTCACTCCCTATCACTAGTTCGGGTGTCGATGTAACCCAATCCTGAAGCAACATTTTGCATTTCGAGGGAGAGAATCGCATCCCGAACATGCTTGCATTGTTGCTTAGAGTGGTCAGAAGACTCTGCATTTTGTCAGCGTCTTCACCAAATAAAACTATGTCATCAGCATATTCTAAGTCAACAAGTGAACCTCCTGGTAGAAGTTCAACCCCTGTAAATTTAGATGAGGAGAGTGTTATCTCTAAAAGTACGTCGACCACAAAGTTGAACAAGAATGGGGAGAGTGGACAGCCCTGACGAACACTACTTGAGGTGATCAATTCTGATGACAGTTCGCCATAAGCTCTCACTCTACCAGTTGTGTTCGAGTAGAGAGCCTTTATAAGGTTAATGTACTTCTTTGGTACTCCTTCCAGTGACAAACACTGCCATAGAACCTCACGATCAACAGAGTCGAATGCCGCCTTAAGGTCGAGAAATACTACCATTGTGGGGCGTCTGAATGTGTGTCTGTGTTCTAGAACCTGACGTAGTGTGAATATCTGATCTATACAACCACGTCCAGGTCGAAAACCGGCCTGGTTTTCTCCAGTCTGCCAGCCAATATAGCTCGGTTGGGTCATCACGATAGGCAAGCCCGACCACCGCGTCAAGGTAGCAGCTTCGATCGGGTAACAATACAGCAATTAACACTTGAACACATTTTGATCAATAGATTGGATTCATTCTGTTTAAATCCGTCTAGATTATTATTCAGCAAGAACTCTTCAAAGTCGATTGATAAAAATGTAAAACACAATAAGAAGAAGAATCTATCTGTGAGGTCCCGATAAGCATAATGAATAGTAACTTTTGGGATCCATTTATGGACCAATAATCTGCGTATATATTTATCGTATAATTGTTAAATAACTAAACTGTTGATATTCATGTCCCTGATATTATGAGCTTTATTTTGACCTATGAACTGTTAGTACACAATTTACCATTCTTGAATTATTCCCTGTCTATTAATCACTACCTTCCCCATTCACAGCTACATTTGGCTAATTCTTGTACAAATGTTGTTTCATATTTTATGGTACGATGTGGTCTGTCTGGTTGGTATATAAACCCAGCATGCTTGAAATAAATTATTCATATTGCAGAGGCTCGGATTGATGTTATGGACTAAACAAACAAGGCTAGACGGGAAGCAGGACCAATAAGGACTGTAGACTGGTCAAACGGGTTTTGGCGTCATTAGTCCGATCGATAATTCACTGCTCCCTAATTGGCGGTATCATTACGTATACATTAATAGGGCACACAGGTCACAAGTTATAACACTATGATTGGTGAGATTGACAGATTCCAGTGAGATGTACTACAAGATATTATATAATAGTATATGAAGTAAAAAGAAGTAATACGTTCCTACAAATCACGACATCAAAATGTGAAATGTATATATATATTGTATAGAAGAAAGAATTTATTTACGCATTTATACTGTTTGAATACTACTTACTCGATTGAAATGTATCACTGGTTTAGGATGAATACGTGTAATTGTTAAACACGACCGATAACCAGCAAATAAAGATGTAAATAAACGAAGGAATACAGCTCGTAATCGTTTATCCAATGAAATTAAATCACCTGATTGATTAGATGTAACAAGTGGATAGATATAATCAGCTGTCATTAATTCAGGACTTAAAATCTGAAATATGTATCAAATAGAAATTATATATATATAATAAGAAATAAATAAAGAGATATGTGTGTACTTATCACATCAACTGTAAATCACACATTATTAAAGAAGAAACAATTGAAGTGTGACATTATAGAGATATTTATCAAATATACTTGATGAATGCAATAACCAAGATACATAATCAAACGTAACATAAATGAACTCCAAACGAAAGATATTAGACATGTGAATCGTTTGGATTCCAACTTAATGATCTAAAGATTAAAAGCTTAACGCGAAACCGATCCCTGATATGATCGTCGATGTGGACTATTGAGGAGTCCCATACAAGAGAATGAGACAGTCGTTCACGAATTACTGATTTTAAGTGGTTGTATGAAATCAGTGGTTCATGATGTTAACTTCTGAAAATCAACAATCTTCACAAACCCCCCATAATAACAACTGTGTATTTGTCTTCTTTATTAAAAACGAGAGAAAAATGCATTATACCTTAGAATAAATCAGAGAGAAATTTATATAATTTATCGTATTAGGACGAATTTTATATTCTTCATTACGTAATATCACTTCAACATTTAAATATACTAACAGAATATAAATAACATCACAGAGTATAAATTAAATACATGGACCTTTCCCAGCACCAACACGAATCATATAACAAATTTATCCAGCAGAAAAGTGGAGGATTTCACGCAATAGACTTGATAGTTAAGTAATCATATAAACCTCATCAGTTGAAGTTTGGATTATTATTCATCATTAATCTCAAATATAGATTAATGTGCCTAATTAAAGATGGGATGATAGAGACCACCACTAAAATTTTACGTTAAGACGTCATATATCAGAACAAATTGACCATTTCAATAATTGATTCTAATAAGATTTTTAGGTTAAGGAACAAGGTGTAGAACTAACGAAATTATCCAACGAATTCACAAACATTTCTCTCGAAAAAAATTGTGCTACGTAGATATGTTAGGTAGTAGGGAATAGTCAATTGGACATAGGTTTCGAGTGATAGTTGGCACTTATCACAGCAAGGTGTACCTGGGATCTCAAGGGAACTGATGCTATCTGTTGGATTAGAACCCGCATCATTCAGCGTCACAATCTAAGACTTTATTCCCCAAATACTTGGGGAGCAACCGAACTTCTACAAGGTCAGGATATTTGCAACTATTTGACCACTAAGTAGTGTCAAGCTTTCCTAGTCCTCTAATGTCGATTGAATTTTTCTACGAATCGGTGTTTTGTTGATAGATGAACAGGTTCTCAATTGTCAAAACCAATGAGAAGAATGCTGACCAACCAGTGACATCTAATAATATGATATGGCTGAGTGATTGTTTCTTATGGGACCAAATTATTAAATTTAGTTTTCGAAGGATTCGAGATCAAAATTACTGATCAGAAGAATAAGTTTTTATACAATAAAATAACACACAAAATATCCCCACAAAAAATAACATAGGCAGTTGGAAATCACTTAGTAAATCACTTACCAGTTTACAATCAATTAACACTTAACTGTTACACCTAATTCCTGTCCGTCACATGAAATTCTATCGATCAAGTTGCAATGAGTCTAAGTGGCTTGATATAGAGAAAATTCCATCAAACTTGAAAGACTAGGCAAACAAGACATTGAATACTACTCAGTGACCCAATAATTATACACTGCACAACATTCCAAAAGTAACCAAACAGGAATAAAAAGGAAGACCTTCAACTCTCAAAGTAACCGCCTTTTATTTACAGACGTATGAATGAAAGGAGAGAAATGCTGTTGTCATCTTTTTAACATTAAAAGGAGATAATCAACTAGTCAATTACCTACTCCAGTACACTTATTTACTTACCTGGAATAAATTCTCCACAACTTCAGTGAAATACGGATCAGGCAGTTGGGGGATAGGAATATTTTCCGGGCACACAACACTTCCTCCATCAAGATCCGCAACAAAAACATCAACCTAGTAACATACGACCACGAAAATGATAACAAAAAACAGAAGTCAATTACAGCCTTCATCTGTTTTGATTTAAATTATCATATTACACAATTAATTTGCTAATTTATAACTTTAACTTGTAAGGAGGTTGTGGAAATTTCTAAACGTCCTAGAAAAAACGAGCCGATCTAAGTTACAAATGCTGCCAACCTGGAAGCAAATGGCAGCAGTATATTCGTTGTGACTCCTTAATATGACACATTCATAACCCCATCATTGGTAATCAAACCCAGGTCCTTTGATCTTGAACATCAACTATAATTAGATATTTTAACTTTCAACGGTTTGGATTATCCCGTTATTAATATTTTAACCGAATTTTTACAATCTTTCGTCATAGGTCAATCATATGCTGATTGCCCCAGTATACACATCATATTACAAGTTCATGTGCAACAGACATCTCTTGAAATGGGGATACACCCAACCGATGAGTCCCAAACGGGTCGAAATGTCCATCTTAAATTCCACTACTAACTAAATTCAATCGTATACAAATCGATATGTTAGAACATAACATTAAAGACTGATAAAAGCATATACATATCATTTTTTGTCTAAACCTGCCATGAATATTATCGTTTGATTCGAAATCTAACTACAAAAAAATTATTTTACAACTTCATATTTCTGATAAATCAGAAGCATATGTTATTGTAGTAACATATCTGAATATCGTGTCCTAATCTGATATCTAAAGAATTCAAAGTAATCTAAAGGAAAGAAATAATTGTAAAAATAGTTTTCTATTCTTTTGGATATCTATTCCATCCTCATAGACATTATTAGTACAAGAAGATCAATGGATGAGTGAACTTGGATGAGCATTGCTGAGGAGTTTCGTATCATAACAAAACAGCTATCCAGTGCTTCAAAGTTTCCAACGATGGTCTAGCTGAGATTTAATTCATGATTTAAACTACGAAAGTAACAGATATTAGTTTGCGCAATATTATGTAGACAGTATGACAATTAACTCCCGATTTCAAGAGTATGAGTATGTACAGGAAAAAATAAACCGATTATGCATTAAAAACGACTTTTTGTGTTAAATATATCACAATCGATATTAATTAACACCGAATACATACTTTAAAACGTACTAATCAGATTTAAGGTAGAAGTTAGAGCATTTTTGCGCGAAATTCAAAACGTGGTAATGGTAAGCTTGTACTTTATTAGAATTCAAGTAAAACCTAATAATATTCAGCTCAAAAAAATGCCAAAACTAAAAATCCAAGCGACTACGGAAATGACAATTAAGGAAACCGACTAGTCTTTCATGATATATATATATATATATATACAAAATAAGTGTATTTAAATTTTGTAAAGTTTTACGCACTTTTCAAGATAACCTTAACCTTAAAAGTTAATAATTCATCATAAGCATAATCTCGAATTCAAATTTTGATTCCTAACTGATAAGTATACTAAACCGAAGTTTGGTCCGAATTTCCAGCCGCTTCTAGTAACCTCCAGAGCAAAAATAACGTTTTACTCCTAGGTTAGTTCATGTATAGGAAAACGTGGGGAATTTATAGAATTACATATGGCCTTAGGTTTCTAGAAATTTCTGGAACCGTACTAAATTTGACAGCAGTATGGGTAAATATTCAATCAGACACGTAACACGTGAGTTTTCACGTTCTAGAAGTTTTCAAGATGAATATATTTAACACTGAATAAAATGTTTTCAAACCTTTTCTGATCCCCTATGGACTTTTTCGAGGAATACTTTGGAACTTCCTAACATTACCACTAACCTCTTTCGTAGTTTTAAGAATTAAACTATGCATTTACACGATCTGAATTCTGAATAGTTAAAAACCACCTGTATAAAATTTTATTACCAGGTTAATTTATAATCAGCCAAGGTCATACTGATAAAGTATATGATATGATGAGATTCATAAAATGACATTTTGAGATCAATATTTTGTTGTATCAGTTCAGTATAAATTTTATCCAATAATACCATTGTGAAATCTCGTCCAGCGTAACAACTTTATTCCTTATATTTATTCAGGTGAACTATATTTAGTGTGCTTATTGTAAACTCATGTATTTCAGTCAGTGATCTTGAGTGCTGTCAGAGGTATGCAGGCAGTTTTCACTTCCCGGCTACCCACACCGTGGAAGGGTTCTTCTGGAGGTGCCTGAAAAGGAAATTCGATTAGAGGTGGTCCTAGTGACCTGAGAGCGTGACCGCAGTGCCCAAAGGAGAACTGCTTGAGGTTCGCCACACAAGATTGTTTTGTGAGTAATTTTCGAATTACCTACGTACTTGTTGAGACCTTACTGCCGGAGACGGATATCCGTGGGATAAAGCGAGGTGAGCATTTTTAGGTCCGAACTTTTCTAACATCATTCTTCCTTGTTGGAAGGCAGAATCGCTGCTATGCCGGTTGTCTGAAGGAAACACCTTACTGCCGTTGTAGTGAACAGAACACCGATGGGGACAATCGAATGTATTTGACACAAAATTACAGGACTTGTTAGTAAAATCTAACAATCATATAGTAAATGCTTAATTTGCAAAATGTCCATCAATGGTCTCAAAATGACTCAGACTTCATTGTTTTTTGCATTTTCATACAAATTGCATTCTGTTTCCATTCTTCACTGTTCGATCCTCTTGTCTCTCTGCTGCCAGACATTATGTTCCTGACTAACGTTATATACTACTTATGTCGATACAAGTAGCACACACCACACCATCACACCTCTGTAGTACAATTTCGCCCTCAGACCTTAGTTTTGCTGCTTTTAATCTTACCGCTCTTCAACTGACCTGTCTGACATGGTAAGACCTTGAGGAACTATTGTTCCAGCCAGTATAACTCCACCGGTTCATTACGATAGGCAAACCCGACCACAGCATCAATGCAGCAGCAACGGTCGGGTACTCATGTATTTACCCTCTATGTGATATCATTTTGTGTAAAATCTGGTATATAAATGATTATATTGTGGTCTAAGGATGATGTGATTTTAAGACTTGTTTAGAGACGTGTTTTTAAGGAGTCAATAGACTTTCATTGCATGAGTTTTTCGTGTTCTCACTTTGCGTCGCGGGAATAGTAACGGCTCCTGTCTACTGGTATAACAAGCAGCGTTGAGGAATTTAAGTGGTTCCTACCTGTCAAGTTATGGTAGTAAGACTGGGAACGCGAAAAATTCAATACGTACATAACAGCGACAACTCCCCAAATATAACAGAAGGCGCGTACCACTGTATAGGACTAATCAGCCAATATATACCAAGACCACTGTGTCGATTTTCAAAGCGGGACTCGAACCCAGTACCTTCCGATTCAAACACCTAACAAATTATACCCGATTGGCTACTGGCTTGTGCAACAAGAGTGAATTTTATCCCATTTGTAAGGTTTTTCGAATGTTTCCGTTGTTGATGTTAAGGAAAGCAATTGATCAGTCTTCTTTGACATATATCCATGTTGTGTGGATTGTCTAGATATTGTTCTTAAGTTGTGAGCACTTTTTAGTAAATTTGGATAGTGGTTATCAGTAAAATTCAAGATGTGCGTATGTGAAAAGGGATAGATTAATTTTGGACCTCAACATCAACAAGAAGATACAAAAAACCGCTCATTAACTCAAACCTGCACTTCATATATAGAGAACAAAAGAATCGATATAAAACTATGTAACAATAAATGTGATACACTATCATTAGTAAACACATACTATCATCTCTTAAAATACTACTAACGCTAATAGTAATGCTTTATTTGTCGGCGAAAATAGAACTACATAATATTATAAGCATTCTATGATACATTAGACTTAAGTATTTATAATACCTAGACAAAGATTATAAAGTGGTCATTAGTTTTGGACATTATATGTAATACGATTATTACAACACTATCATTATTATCAAAACGCTTACTATTAAGTTTTTGATTGAGACCATGAACCAATTGATATTAGACGTTAGATGTTCGAATCCGGCGAGCAGGATCGTGGATGCGCACTGCTGATGAGTCCCACAATAGGAAGAAACGGTTGTTCAGTGCTTTCAGGTTTTCAATGGTGGTTCATAATCTCAATCACAAACTTAATAATCTTTACAACCCCTATACCGATAAAAACGCTTATTGTTTATTGTTAATAACTAGCCCATTTCATTCATAGTAATTTTATTATTAACACATCGTTATTTTCAACAAAGCTCTATGACTTTTTCCTTTTTAAAAAAAAAAATAAGTGCCCATAAACTTTAGAAATGGACAACCAACCAATCAATGAATAATTCAGCCACAAAATCATTCCATATTCCCACTTTCATCCACATTTATCTTTACCCTGGGGGTGATGACAGGTACTACCATATATAATATATATATATATATATATATATATATATATATATATATATATTCACTAAGTGTTATTAGTACCGTATAGATTAAGTAGAAACTAGGACGTGTTGAAAAGGTGAAGTTTATCCGAATTCTAAATTAGTCATTATATATGTATATGGTTCGTATGCACAACACATCGTTCTTTTTTTTGTAACCAAATGTATTTCTCAATCAATACATAAATATTAGCATGAAGCATCATACAATAGTATAAACCAGTTTAATTTAATTAGTTAGTTAATTCTCTTTTTTTCATCGAGAGAGAGAGAAAAAAATGTATTTGATACAGACTAATCAATGAATTATGCAGTTAGTTAGTTAAATCAGTTAATTACATGACACCAAGTAGCGATCAGACAATAATTAATTCTAAATTATAATCAATTAATCCGATTATCCGTATTCGTGGTAAACAGTAATTACTGGGGTTACAATGTTTAATCTGTAAGTTTGATCAAATCTCAGTGATCAATGTGGTCATTAGGAGGCTAAGGGACGCTACTTAACAGTGTATTGTTTTTTTTTAAAGAGTTGTTAATAACATAAGCCTATGAATACAGCTTCCAGTAGAAAGCAATGTATATGTATATCTATTGCTTTAAGTTACTAAACTACATTAATCAGAACATTTAGATGAAATTATTCAAATGAATAACAAAACTAGAAAAAATATTTTAAGTATCAGTGATACATAAAGTATATTACTCAAGAAGAAAGAATGAATTCGTGGAAAAGTAGGAATAAAATAAATTTCAGATTCGAAATCTAGGGATAGACAAAAGGTAGATATATCTGAGTCATTTGGACTGATTCCGTTCTGCTGACAAAATTCTGAGATAGCAGACGTAAACTGTGTTCCATTGTCGCTAACTATTAATTCTGGGACCCTAAAACGATTAAATAGTTATCGTAGTTTTCTGACTGTGTAGCTTGTCCCATGCGAAAACTTCCTGGTCACTCGCTGTATGCATCAACTGCCGAACGGTAAGTTTTTATATGAAGTAACCAGCGAAGTTCAAGTGTGACTGTGGTATTGGCCATGATTTCAGCTTTGATTTTCGCAGTACATTTTGTCGGCGTGACAGAATGAAGCATGTCCTCAATGCAATGGCCAAGTGGAACGCTATTTTGGTACATTTAAAAATATTCCGCGAAAGTCAAAAGGGGGGCGGACCACCGAAGAGCTTTTAGGGAGGTTCCTGCTTATCTATCGTTCTACACCGAATCCTCAGGCAATTGACGGGTATCTACAGTAGAAGCTTTATTTGGCAGGAAAATACGAAAACATTTCAATGTTATTCGTCCGACGCCCGCTCTTGAGACTCAACGAAATATAACGATGGAGAGGCAATTCAATAGACATCATGAAGTACAAAGACGATTGTTCACTATGGGTCAAAAATTACTTACTATGGACTATCGTGGAAAACACCCTATATGGATAGCTGGTTGAATCGCGCAAAAGAAAGGAAATGTAGTCTATGAAGTGACAGTTAGTTCAGAAGTTTGGGTGCGTCATGCTAACCAACCGAAAGCAACTTCGATCACCAGCAACGAGACCTGACATAGAATATCTCTTGATGTTCTGCTGAACACCTTTGAAATCAATACTCCTGGAACAGACAGGTCAGTCTCTGTGCAAGCAAAAAGTAATACCACTTCTTTATTGTCTAGGTGGACAAATCGAAAGCACATACCAGTCACGCGGTTTTAGGTGGACCAGATCCTGTGAATCTGCTCAACGGAGAGGTGTTAACAGGATGTAGATTGGATAAAAGCATATTCCATGTGCGATTGCGTTGGAGCACACTGATTGGCTACCCCTTGACTAATCAGTGCTAGTAGATACTTAAAGAAGACTCTAGAATCTCCTCATGTAAAATTTATAAATATACTAACGTTTTTCTTATTATGATTCCTACTTCCATCCACTTGGAATATAATTGCGTTCCTGTTAAACCATGTTCTGATTTGGGGATTTGTCGAACGAAATAGTGCTCGAGAATACTAAGCCATAAAAGTAATTGGGTCATAATAAAAGAAATCAAACTAGCATTGATTGAACTTCCAAGATAAGTGAGACTGTCAACATGTACAACTACTTCACTCCTCATGGTCAAACTAAGCATTGATGAAGACCAGTAGTACTGCATTTGATTACAAAACTTATACTAGTAAAAAGTTTTAAATTTTCTCTAATTCTAAACTTGTCAGCATAAAGATCACATACCTTACAAAGAAATGAAACAATTGAGATATTATGAAAACGTTTTACGCTATTTTTATTCAACTATAATTTCCATGTTGTTTGATGTTTTTTTACCTTCAATGTTTCCAATTTTAACATACAAAAAGAAACATGTTCATTGAATGAAAAACCGTCTAAACTTACCATATCAGATAGTAAATGCTGATATCCTGAATGAATACCATAAAGAAATGGAGTTGGAGCATTGACAAATTCGATCAATGATTTAGGAAGTATAGGAACGTATGTATGACTACAAAATGGACAAAAATAAAATTAAACAATTTCTGAAAATTACGTAGAATATAATACATATGTATATATTACCTATAGAAATCGAATTTACAATATTGTCATAACGGGGCTAATATTGTAAAAGTTGTAACCTCAAACTTGCGCAAGATCATAGATCGATTGAAGATAGACATTAACACTATTGGATGCCGGCTCAGTGGTCTAGAGGTTAAGTGTTCGTGCGCGAGGCTAAAGGTCCAGGACTCGAGTCCTGCATGTGATATCGTGGATGCGCATTGTTCAGGAGTCCCATACTAGGAAGAAAAGGCCGTCCAGTATTTCCAGATGTTCAATGGTAGTCTAGTTTATATCGACTCGTGAATTTAACCATTAACACTACTACAATCTCCACAAATCCCCAAACTTAGTTATAATGAATTATTGTTCATAGTTTTACTGTAATAATAATTAGGTATTTGGGTTATTGTATTCCTATATTCTTCTGCATTCACTAAGTTGGGTTTTTCTTAAGTTGTTGCTAACTTATTACAGATCTGTTATTTAGTTCCCCTTCACTTATGGTGTAATTATATGTACATTATATTTTCTTATTCATACTGTTGTGAGATAAGGTATTTGATCTACATGGTCACACAAGTTCCAAGTAATGAACTGAACTTCTACAATAAAAGTTTTTCCAACTGCTGTACTTTGTTGTGTTCTGATTACAAGGGGAAATAGTGTGGGAAACTGTATCTTGAGTCACTATGTGTTAAGTATTGATCTTGGTCGTTATCACACTATCATCTAGCCGTAGTTCAAATAAAAAAGGCCATGATATCACTAGTTAACGGAAGGTCATTGGTCCTATACAGGCTATGTAGGTGAATTAATCAACAATCAGACCAGATAATACAACTGCCTCCGTAAATAACAGCCCGATCACACGGATTCAAATATACTACGGGTATCGTAATTGCATTTGTAACGGTTTAGATTATCTCGTTGATATTTTGACTATTTTGGTCAGTCTCTTTTACACAATGTCCATCCAGTGCAGATTGCCTCGAAAGCCACTATATCATAAGCTTGTAGGGAATAGATGGAATGTGCACCTTACATTATTTCTTGTTCATGGTGGAACAAATAAACAAGTAATATCGACGTTGAGCAAAGAATATCGGGTAATAATGTAAGTCGGTTGATGAAATTACCAAAACTTCACCAACCATCGTAGTTGAGATATGTTACACATGTTTAGTGACTACCTCGGGTACATCGTAGGATGGAACAAGACAGAAAATGTTAACTTATATGTTAAGTAGTAATAATCTTTCATCCAATCAGTCATAAGTAACGTAGAACCTGGCTCATGAGTATATCAGTCCAAGTTTCTATACACCATTAGCACAGACAAGGAATTCTAAGGGCAAATTTCAGAGTAGTAGAGGTAGTAACAGTACTAGTGCAAATAGAAAAGAGTAGGCATAGAAGATATGATAAAACAAATTATAAATTAGTAAGATTAGTGATACAGGTCAAGACTAAATATGGGGGATGTAAACTGAAAAGAATGAATTCGTGGAATAATAGTAGGGATAAAATAAATCTAAGATTCAGGATGTAGAGATAGACAGAGAATGAATACATTTGAGTCGTTCCAACTGATTTTGAACCAATTCACCCAACGTCTGCAATCACTGATTACGATAATCACGAGGACTTATCTCTTCCATCTTTTCTGCTTTCACTGCCCACTAATACTCGTGATTATTGTGTAGATTTTTTGCCAGTTTACATTTTAACTGATCTCGAACCTAATCGTGTTAAGAGCCTGACGGGATATGTTTCCAGGTGGTAATTCTTCTTCTTGAACGCTAGATTCGGTTCCTAAGCTCTCCCAGTAACCCCCAGACTAGATCTACACAGCAATTTGTACACGATAGAAAAGGTGCGAAATATGGAAGAAACGATTTACTTCAAAAGTTCGTTTATGTACGGAAAATCTAGGGTTTTTATAGTATCTTTCATGGCCTTGAGTTTCCGGAAAATTCTGGAACGATACAAAATATAGTAGAAGTATAGGTAACCATCCAATCAAAAACTCGATATGTGACTTGTCACTTTCTAGATGTTTCTGGCAAAAATCCTAATGAATGCTGATTGGATAAAATGCTTCTCAGTGTTTTCAGAGCCTTTTTGGGGTTTTTTTCGAGTTTTCTAGATCTTCCCAACATAAAGTATCTATCAATTTGGTAGTTTCTAACACACGATGATCAAACTATCCATCAGTAAACTTTAGCAAAAGAATTCCTTGACTGCTTATTTTTATGATTACTGTCAGGAAGTTTATATATCAACGAGAAGAAGAAAAGAAATAAACTTTTCTTTCACATATAGAACAAAACTATTACAGTTATGACTGAAAACTTGCATACAAACGTTTACGTACACAATTAGTTCATTACAAACGACCAACGAACGAACGAATATACATATGGTTGCAAAAATGTTCGTAACATTATGTAGTAAAAAAAATTGTTTTTCCAGACAAAAATATAAGTTTGAAACTAGAATGAATCTCTCTTGACATTTCCCTACGTATACATTTCTACACTACTGAAACCTCAATGAAGATATGCATGTGTTCATGTATGTGAATAATAAACAATCGTCCCATATTTGTTGTGAAATGGAAATTTTAAAACCAAGTAAGATATACAACCATTTACACTACTATTATTACTATTATTATTATTTCGAATTAACTTACCTATATTTTAAAGGATACAGTATAGAAGTTAATGCATGACATGCTTCCGTTAACCGATTTACACTACGTGAACAAACCAGTACTTTTTGATCACTTAAAATTGCAGTGAATAATAAAATCACATTATGTATGCCTAGAAATGAATAAAATATATGTATAAAATGCAGCAAAAAGGAATGAACAATAGTACAGATACATTTATCAAACACTTAAGCTGATGATCAAACTAATTCATGATAGAACTATTTAGTTTGAAATTCTAGATGACTTAAATTGATGGATTTTCTTGTGTCACATTTTTTATACTACTGTAACCATGGGCGCCTTTTTCTAAACAAACAAAAACCTAAATCGAAGTAGATTTCAAATACACTATTAATTACTTTTTGAAAAGTATCATTTAAGTAATCCAATTATTAATACCAAATAAGATTTAGATTCATTTAATATTGTTTGTTTGAATCTTCCCATTGATGTTTAGGACTGCAATTGATCAATCTCACTTATTGGTATATGTGCATCTTGTACGGATTGCCTCAATATTGCCTTAAGTCACAAGCACTACAAGCAAAGGATGATGGTGGCTAGCAGTGGTATCCAGAACGCATGTTTCGTCCTATTTGCTTATAATGTTTGTGGCTTAAGGCAATAGTGAGGCAATCCGTAGAAGATGCACATATACCAATACGAGACTGATCAATTCCAATCTTAAACATCAATGGAAAGATCCAAACAAGCAACACCAAATGAACTTAAACTTCACCTCATTGCACAAGCAGGTGGCTGTCAGGACTCGTTAGCTGAGTGGATAACGCGATGACGTTTGAAGCGAACGGTATTAAGTTTGAGTCCCAGAGTGAACATCAATTATGGGATGCAGATATATCCAGCTGAGTCTCAAGTAGGACGAAATGCGCGTCCTGAATTCCACTGCTAGCCACCATTCATATTTGCTTATAAATAAGATTTGTACACTGACAATAAAACTGGTGATGTATTTCTCCTAACTATATTCTGCCAATCTGGAAACTCAAACTTTATGTGTCGATGCTAAAAATTAGTAATGTCTTTTACTTTATACTATTTCATATTTGTCGGTTAACAATCACTAGACTATTGTTCTGTTTAATTTTCGAAGTCAGAAGTACATAGCGATTGATGATCACTTAAATAATAATACTTGTGTATTATATCAGTCATTGAACTTAAGTATGACGTGTTAAATTATGAACAAACTTTAGATCGTTGATTAAATCAGATGACATAGGATGAAATATAAAGCATTAATAGTCTTGACAAATTCAGAGTTTACAGCTACTACTCCAAATTTAACACTCATAAGCTTTTTGACTATATTCCGATACGATACGCATTTACACGAGCCGGTTCGAATACAATGACTTCAGGTTATATTTGTGTTGATGAAGAAAATAAAAATACGAGGAATCTCTCATGTCTACAGATGGGATTCACTTTAGCAATAAATTGAACGAACATTAACTCCTCACTAAATCAAAAATATATAACGATTTTCTGACATTTTACTTATCTAACGTCATTTAACGAAATGTCTGCTTTCATTATTCAGAAAACTAAAAGCAAAGTATAATAAATGAAAATCATCATGTATGTATATACACTGATTGATTTTATAAGAAGTAGGTATGATCATAACTTAAATATATGATTGGGTAACGGGAACAAAAAGCAAACAGAAACAAACAAGTAAATAGTCATTATATATACATATTCCTATGTAAAGAAGGATGAATAAAAATCTGGTATTAAATTATACATTTAAAACAACATCTTACCTAAGTGTTTAAATAGTAAAGCTACACAATTCCGTGTCACAGGTATAGTACTACAATGAGCAGGTTGAATTGTCTGTCGATCACCAACCCCTAAACTGAATGTAATTCGTGGACCACCTATTACAAATAAAATATAAAAAATACACTTGAAAAAAAATTTACCAATTGAGGTTAAAATAACAAAACAGAAGAAATTCCATTTGTTTCGACCAATGAAATTACGATGTTGGTTGAAGTTCTGACCATAAAACTACCGCTTAGCCATGAGTTTAAATACAATCTAGTTACCTTAGTATTTTATTTCATATTGTAGTTCATTGGTTAGGTTAAGCGGCTTACATTTCATTGAACTACAGCATAAATGTACATTAATGACCAATGACTCTAAAGAGAGATGACACTGTCGGGTTGACTGTCCCTAGCTACCTTTACACTTATTACTATGCTAGTCAACATGGGATGTTACAGTAGGCGGGATTTAAATTATTATGTAAAGACAGTTAACCACTAATCACAAATTCATTAGCACAAGACCTACTAAGTTTATTATGCTCGAAATTTAACTTTAGTAATCATACAGACTTATGTGATATATAGTTAAACTTAGCTTCTAATGTTTTCAGTTATCTTACATTTTATCTGAACGTGTAACAAACAATTCACATTATGAAAACAGAAAAATTGTAGTATGTTGACAGTGCAGTATCGGTAATCCTCAAGTGATAAGAGAAAAAAACTTAAAAACTAAGTGTGATCATATCGAAAAGAAGATCCATGAAGTCTCTGACCTAAACAATGAACAACAAACAGCAAAATCTCATAATGTAAAATATATTTTAATTCACAATTGATTGATCACTAAGTCATGACTAATTTCATTTATCCCGAGTCCTTCTTATTGTTGACCGAATTCTATCGATCAATTTGCAGTGTGGTCACTAGTCTAAGTGACTCAACATCGCTCACACTACATTGAAATTGTAGGTGGTAATTAAAGATAGTCGAAATAACCTAATCAACCTAGCTTCTGTGTTACTTGGCACTTACCAGAAACGAGTACTTGTAATCTTGAGGGAACAGATAGGATTCGATTATTACTAAGAATGACTTAAGATACATGACATTCATCACAGATTAGTGATAAATCAATTGTACATACATCTGTCTTACAGGAAGTCATTCGTCGCCCAAACAGCTGTGATAACGTCTCAGACTGTGAAGTTGGGCGACACAGGGTCGGATCTGCCAGGGAACCTTGGTTACTTCAAGATTACAGGTACATCTTTTCGACGAGTGCTCAATAGCACGAAACCCATGTCCACAGTTTCCTGTCGACTACCTCCAACCGCCATCTTATGAAATTTAATGCATACCTACTATGATTGACTAATCTAATAGTTCCCTTTCTTCTATAATTCGAACTATTATATCCAAACGAAGACTAAAAGAATGGTAAATTCCAAGACTAATTTATGGACTATTATTAAATATATATTCTTCTACTCATAAGCCTTCCATTAACCCATTAAACACTGTTATACAATTTATTCGCAGTCTCCCCTACTCTCAGCCACTTTTTGGCTTGATAATGCATAATTGTTATTGTCTATTTTATGATATGATGTGGTTTGATCTGCTTGTATATAGACTACGTATGTCTGAAATATAAGAACGATCTTAGACTGGTGATCATTAATCTTGAATTCTTTTTCTTCGTTCGAAGCTAGTTAGTATTGGGTCAACCGTCAAGCACAGAGTAACAGTTTCCTTGTCCTTGTTGCCTATTGGTTGCTGAGGGTTTTCTATGAGCATTGGTCAGTGCTACAACATAACACAAACAGAACAAGAATATTCTTTTTGTCCCGTTGTACTATATAAACTTGGATTAATCTTGATTCGGTTATTTATTCTCTGAAGACGTGGCTTACACTAGTCACGAAACGTCAGCAAATCTAATTTTTCTACTCATTGGGATATTACAAATTCATTATTTATTTATAAAAATCTGTCTAACGCTCAATTTATTCGAAATTATCAAGTCAGACCTTGATAATGATATACTTTACAATTGATTGATTGGTCACTGAGTAGTGATCAATGTCAGATTAGTGGTAACGTCTTACGTTGTGACGTTTGGATGATGCGGGTCCAAATTCCATAGAGACAATACCAAACAACACGAAACTTAGATCGAGCAAAGTATCTTAACAATCATCTTGAACAAATGAACAAGACTAACTTTTCCTTGCAAATCATTATTACCCTTCAGTGTGATAAAAAGTTTTATACACTTGATGAAGATGAGTTCAACCCCTAAACGTATTCTCTTTACAATGTTATTTCTCAACACTTTTTTAAAACTAATAAACTTTTGGTAATGATTCTAACTAAACGAAAATAGATAAACATACTACACAATTGTTATGTCATAAATAATACTGTAAGCGTTACTGGTGTATTAGGCTGTCAATCATATAAACAGTATAATTTTATAAATCCAAAAGGCACTATCTAAATCTATATAACCTGACCTAAAAAATAGACAGGATTGAAAAAACGTTGTATGCAGCACCCACCCACTAGATAAATCCCAAAAAGCTTAGATACGCTTGAAATAGTACGCAGATTCAGTATTGAAAAGAGGCTGTGCTACGAACTGACTAACATGTATACTATTCTCTCAATTCTCGTATTTACTTTTAAATAGGGATTAAAATCAAGTCCGAGATGAACAGATAAAATGACTTTTTCTTTATTAAGAAAAACTACCATCCAAATGATATAAATTTTTAGGGAAAACTACCAATCACCGTGAAAATCCTTGAACTTAAAAAAAGGATAAATAAACTTTTAAACTAAGCCAAATAAGGTAGAAGAGGAATTAAAGTATCTAGTGAATGTAGTTGAAAAAGAAGTTAGCCTTACATTCACATTGAAAATGTTCTGGTAAGCAAATAATATGAAATCAGACAGCACACAATGATAAACTGTTGTATTTAAGGACATAAAATGTAGTGAATCTTCGATAAAATGAATATATATTATCTTCACATCATTTTGTTGAATATCAATATAATGCCTAGTTAACACTTACATCGATTCCTAAAAGGTAAGGTTTAAAATATGATCAAGTGTCTGTCTATATAATTACACTTGCTTTTGAGTTTTTATAATCAAAAATAGACCTATCAAACAACAAACTATAAGTTTCATACAAGTGTTAAATGTATTTTAGTGAAATAAGGCAAAGTTCGCTCTATATTTAAGTATAATACTGAACAAAATGGATATTTCTTGTAATCAATGAACAAACGATCTTCAATTGTCAACACAGTAAGAAAAAATATAAGAATGTAATAGGTCTTTTGTTTTTATCTTAGACTGATTTTATCTGCCTTACCAATTTAGTAAATCATTAGGACACATAAAATTGAAACAGACAGAGTCAGACACTTTAAAAATCTTAGGAATTCACATAAAAATGAATAAAACAAATACGGTTTATTTTCAATAGTTTACACAGCGAACCGATCATAGTTAGATAACAAGTAAGTGATATACAGCCGTTTCGTCCTAAAATGAGACCTATCAACAATGCGTATTTACGACTCTTTCATGCGTCAAACTCAGGACCTTGAAGTCTCGAGACAAACGGTGGATCTCAATCAGTTCACGACATTTCCCAATGCCATTAGAGAGCAACTACCTAACACCCGACGTGATTGAACTCCGATGGTTACAAATTCTTACTACAACTGAGAACTACCTTTCGAAATCAGTTACTAGAGTGTAACTTATGACTATCATCATTAGTATAGGGGAGTTTGTAAGAAGAGTTGAATTTTATAGTTTACATAGTATGTTTTATTGCATTGTCGGCCTACTTATATGCTACTTTTTGAAGATACTGTTGAATTGATTACACTATAAAGTATTCATTTATTTCGGGTAAGAATGAATAAGGAATATATTAAAGAATTCAACTAACCAGTTGGTGGAACTTCTATGCCACCCAATAAAGTTGCGATCATTTGTTCTATTGAATACTGATGTAGTGAATCAGCAAACACTGTATACAATAAGCTGAGATTGTTCTAAATAAAAACATAAATAATAATATACCCAATGAAACAGAAAAGTTTAAACCACTTGTAAATTGCTGAAATCTCTTGTGTTTATATACTTATAACGTGACGGTATAATAAAAATGAATCTGTAAACATTAGTTAATTCGACAAAGATTTGAAAAGAGGTTTGTGAAAGGCAAGAAAAGTATATCTTCACAATAACCTCTTTATTAACCAGTAAGGTTGAAAAAGAACACCTATGTTCAGCTAATATTTACCTCAACTCGATATGTATAGTAGGTCAGAAAAAAGTTAACAGCAGTACGTAAACCAATAAAAACATATCACTTTAAGAAATCACTGATTCCTAGTTTGAAGTATCAAGGTACAATGACCATAATCATTGGCTGTCAATTGAATGATATAGCTCATAGTCAGCTGTAATAGTACATACGTTTATTTGAGCCTGGGACATAAAATATATCTTTCTTTTAGTCTTCACTTAACACTGCATCCTTGTTAACTTCCTGTACTGATATGACAACTTGAGCAGATACATAATTGTGCCATTTCTAGCATTCTCTCATATCATAATGAATAATACTCCGAAATTCGATAATGAAATTTCCTAACTGCATGCCTAGCGTGGAGTTACAGCACCAGCAGCTGAAGTGTTAGATATACATGGAGGCAAAACAAATTAATCTGTCCTACTAAGTGTACCATCGTGTGGGACAACAAAACAGTAGTGAAAAATCTGCATCATGCTACTTTACAACTCACATTCTTATTAACATTCAATTCCACAACAATCAGAGAATAATTAACACTTAAGGGCCACTAACAACGTTTCATACTATTCAACATATACTCATGACCTTTACAGTTGATTTCTTCTCTCCTCATTGTTGAGAACCAAAGAAATGTTTTCGTCATTCTTTGTTTTGCTTGTCTCTGTCTGGTCAGTAGTAATGGACACTATTTCATTTTGATGGAGTTTTGTTCTCTGAGCTGGATGGTTCAGAACGATGAAAGCTCCACGACCAAACCATCCAGCTCAGAGAACAAAGCTCCATCAAAATCACCCATCTGAGCTACAAACCTTCTCCATCATCTCACACTATTTAATTTTTTCTAATAACTTGTTATATTTTGATATTAATCTGGCTTTTCAACCTTTATAACCACAAATACTGTTTGTTAAATTGTTGCGCAATGAGAATTAAGCAACTAGGTGAAATTTGATTGCGCAAATTTAATTTTGGTTTATATGAAAACTAACGCATTCAGATGACATGATGTCATTTGCCTTAAAACTTGAAAACAAGTAAATCAAAAAACCGAACTGTGACCAAAAGTATTGCTAATCGATACGATTAGTTTAAGGCTATCCACAGCAGCTCATTAAACAGTGGCTGATCAGTGCTAAGGATCTTTTTATACTGACCTACATACATTAACATATATATAATATCGGTGAACATTAATAATGTGTATCACAACAAAGCGTGACAATGAATCACTATTTCCATATTCCAATTGGTTCATAGACAGGATTAAGACCAATAACAATAAAGCACCGATGCTGATTTACATAATGAACGACGTATTCTTATCAATATATGGAAAAGAACATATTGATCGGGTTATAATAGTAAATTAGTATAGATATAGTGTTAAACTGACCATGACAGTCAAGAATTTGGACCACTAATTCTTCAACTGTGTAAATGTTGTGATAAAGTGCCATTTTAGATTTATTTTAACTGAACAAGTATATTAACCACATGAACATTAATCGGTTCATGATCTCAATCAAAAACTTAATAATCTCCACAACCCCTATACTAGTAATTAACATGTGCTCACTAGTGACTAGCTTCGTGAGGGAATTCTCGGAGTTCTAGTGAGAAGCCGTGATCAGTGGAGCTAATCCTTGTCGGGTAGAGACAGGTATCTACCTCAGTACAATGGAAGTTGGTCGCGCAATTTCGTGGATTGGTTGATGTTAGAAACTATCACCATTGGATGCCGGCTCAGTGGTCCAGTTGGTTAAGCGTTCGCGCGCGAGACCGAAGGCCCTGGGTTCGAATCCCGCTCGCGGGATCGTGGATGCGCACTGCTGAGGAGTCCCACAATAGGACGAAACGGCCGTCCAGTGCTTCCAGGTTTTCAATTGTGATGGTCTAACATTAATCGGTTCATGATCTCAATCAAAAACTTAATAATCTCCACAACCCCTATACTAGTAATTAACATGTGCTCACTAGTGACTAGCTTCGTGAGGGAATTCTCAGAGTTCTAGTGAGAAGCCGTGATCAGTGGAGCTAATCCTTGTCGGGTAGAGACAGGTATCTACCTCAGTACAATGGAAGTTGGTCGCGCAATTTCGTGGATTGGTTGATGTTAGAAACTATCACCATTGGATGCCGGCTCAGTGGTCCAGTTGGTTAAGCGTTCGCGCGCGAGACCGAAGGCCCTGGGTTCGAATCCCGCTCGCGGGATCGTGGATGCGCACTGCTGAGGAGTCCCACAATAGGACGAAACGGCCGTCCAGTGCTTCCAGGTTTTCAATTGTGATGGTCTAACATTAATCGGTTCATGATCTCAATCAAAAACTTAATAATCTCCACAACCCCTATACTAGTAATTAACATGTGCTCACTAGTGACTAGCTTCGTGAGGGAATTCTCGGAGTTCTAGTGAGAAGCCGTGATCAGTGGAGCTAATCCTTGTCGGGTAGAGACAGGTATCTACCTCAGTACAATGGAAGTTGGTCGCGCAATTTCGTGGATTGGTTGATGTTAGAAACTATCACCATTGGATGCCGGCTCAGTGGTCCAGTTGGTTAAGCGTTCGCGCGCGAGACCGAAGGCCCTGGGTTCGAATCCCGCTCGCGGGATCGTGGATGCGCACTGCTGAGGAGTCCCACAATAGGACGAAACGGCCGTCCAGTGCTTCCAGGTTTTCAATTGTGATGGTCTAACATTAATCGGTTCATGATCTCAATCAAAAACTTAATAATCTCCACAACCCCTATACTAGTAATCAGAGAAATTCAGGTTGCAATATAACAGTTGTTGGTAGATTTCCCTCTGAATCTGTCCTTTGAAAAAACAAGAGACGATAAAATCCATACTTCGAATATATCAAACGACAATAATTAAGACATCAGTGGAGCAAAACTAGTCGCAACCTTTGTGGCTGGAGATGAATGGTAGCTAACTACCGTTGATGGATATTTATTTATACATACAAGATGGGATAATTTAGTGACACTGGATATTTCGTGTTGAGAATCATCAGTGTTTAAGCAACCCTAAAGGTGTTTAAAACTTCTGAACGTTTAAAGACCTACCTTTAGCGACACAAGTATAGTATTTTCGCAACTGAATCTTTAAGTCTATAAACCAATTTACATATTCTTACTCTTCAGTTTGCAATTATCCGGTTTACAGTCTATCTCCACGAAAAGATTCGATTTCACAGACAACCTATTTTATACAGTATATGTTCAAATATATTTATATTTTTCAGTGACTACATCTATGTATAAGAAATTACGCATCGTAATTATTGGCTGAAAATTCTTCACACCAATAGATTAAACAAGGCAAAACGAGTGATGTAATATTTAAACTCATAATCCCACTAGTTTATTCTCAAAGGTATATATATGGTAACAAATCACTAATGTATAAGTCCATGAAGTCTATACCAGTTATGGATTCTGTATAAAATATGAGGGAATTACAGTTAAATAAAACATAATTGTAATTTATTCACTAAGAGGGGATAAAGATATCAATAAAACCTAAAACTACTCCAAAAAATCCACTACTTGTTGAGGGAATGTTCAGAAACCTCGTAACCCCCAATTTTTTGAAAACTCGAAAGATATGACACTGAAAACAATAACTTACTTTCAATACATCAAAATGTTGATGACGAGCTAAGAACACTAAACATTTTGGTGCATAAAATTCCGGTGGACGTACTAAATTTGGATCATCAGTATCATTATAAATTGACTTGAGACCAGAGTAATTCAATACTTGATCTTGGAATCCGGTTGGTGAGTTTGCAGGTGAACTAGCATTGCTATTCATGTTCGTTACATGAACTAAAGGATCAATTTGATACTTTTCATTATTAGAAACAGAATTTGTAGTAGGCAAGAAAGTTTTATTTTTATTTACAACAAATGAACCATTATTAATAGGTCCATTTTGAGGATAACTACTGAATGCATTTCCTGTAGGTCTAACTCTACTGTGAGGAGTGTGATGAGGGATTTTCAAATTTATCAATTGACTAGGAGACACAGTTTCATGAAAAGTTAGACATGCGGCAAAATAAGGATTTCCGTCAACATCTGTCAAATAAGCGACAAAGAATGTTGGTGGTGGTTTACTTCGGCTGAGATACCAACCACATGGCTGACAAAACTAAATTTGAAATTTAATTATCAATATGAAAGGTAGCAAATAACCTACTGTTTCAATTTTGAAATTGTAAGGGTAATCATCCCAACAATTTGTAGGAAATCTCTGTAGGACCTGCCCTTCACTTTCACCGCCAACTAGGGGAATAATTATTGAAAATAAAGAGTTTATAGTCAAGAAAAAATGCTAAGGTAGATGTAACTCGATAAAAAGTATATAACTGTGTATTAGAAAAGTAAACCTAAAGATGGGTGGTACAATGCAACACCAAAACATGCACATAACAAGAAACCATGTTGTGAAAAAAAGAGGATGGAAAATGCGTGAGAATAAAATCTACAGTCAAAGCTGGAACACTTATTCGTTGGAATCCATTATAACAAGCAGCTTGATCGAATAGGGACTATCAAAAGCAGAAAACGTAAGCTCCAAAACCGACTGTACTCAGCTATATAATAGTAAGTTCTCACATGAATAACCAATATATTTAGAGATGTTAACTCCCACAAACAAAAGGATTTAGAAAAATCCACCTTAAAATTCAGTATCAGATCGAATTATATGCTTAGCTATTCAAGGCCTTAGAATCTCTTATCATTAACGTATTTTGTCTACAAGATCTACATACTAGAGTCTAGAATGATTATCCACTTGATATCACCTAGTCAATAAGGAGAACTAGTGCAAACCGGCACTGTCAGATGAGACTACAGTAGGTACTCACTTCTGAGTTTTCCTTTTAAACTGGACAGTAAGAACTCGAAAAAATCAGATTATACTTCGTTGCTTTTTCTCAACGCCTACGCTTCGACATATTGACTAAACCAGATATTAGTTTTGTCAGGAACTTTCTGGCCTACAGAACTCTAAACGCTTAAATCTAATTGTGATGGGTAGTTTCAACACTTAAGCAGATAGATTAAGGACTCTTGAACAGCTCCTTCGGTTTCCGAACTTTTTGTTAGGTGAATGGAATTAATTGGTAGGAAGTACTGGGCCTAGATTTTGTGTTACCCGACACTCATCAGCAAGGTGTATATGTAATCTTGGGGGAACTGACGTCTATGGAATTCAGTCACATCGTTATCTTACACTTCTAGAAAGGATCAGTAAGAGATTGTTGTTGCCATCGGAACACATCTCAGGTGATAGACCACGTCCAGATGACAATATGCGTTTGTCTGTCGCTTGATAAACAGGAACAAGACCTCTTCAATTTTAATTAAAAGAAAGAATATTAAGTGCATGTCTAGCCTAAAACCAATTAAGAACTTGACCGACCAAGAAGAGGATGTTCATACTGAGGTAGCCTAATATGACTCGTAATCGGTTATGAAAATAACAATGAAGTTTGTCAGCAACCTGAACCAAAAGATTAAGAAAACCTAATCAGTATGAGAAGCATCGACTAAAACTCATCACGAACGACAGAAAGGGAATCGGAAAGATAAGCAACTGGTTTAAACTGACGAAAGGAGTCGTAGTTAATATTTTAGCTCTTCCGGGAACTCTGATAACGATGGAACCGATGGAACTACTTTCAAATGTAACGATGGGCGCAACATGTTGAAGGACATATTGACTGCCATTAAGTTACTATTTAGTTATCAGCCACATTTCATAGTGTGAAAAAGAGATCAACATAAGGCCTTTAATTTTTCATAAAAGTTGAAAAGAGCATAACTAATTAAATCAGGGAAATCAGTTGGTTCGGATGAGCTATCTATGAGTGTTTCTAAAGACAATAACCTAGCTTTAAGTTAGATTGGTTGAGATAGCAGATTATACAGAAATCAGATGTGATCCCGTCAGACTGATACTTGTGAATTAGAGGGGGAGAGGAATTCTATAGTGATTACCATAGAGGAATTGGTTCGACCAATGATGTATCTGAAATATTAGCTTCGGTGACCATCTAACGCTTTATCGGAAACCAAGAAAAGTGGGGGTCTGGTTTTAGGAATGGACGTGGGTGTACAGATCAAGTATTTACCAGCCGTCAGGTCTTGGAGCATGCATACCGATGTCCGATTAAAGCTGTATTTCTTAACCTGACGGCTGAACTTGGATGTTAGTCGACAGACTTCATGGCATTGATAAATTACTTTAACCTATTGAAAGCCTTTCACTCAGACATCGCCATTCAAATGAAGCAATGTGGAGTTTATAATGAAATGCCATTTGAACCAATTAGATCAAGATGATTCCCCCTAAGACGGTGATTGGAGGTAGTCAACAGGAAGCCCTGGACTTAGATTTTCTGCTACTCGGCATAAAAACCTAGTCGTGGAAAATGCAGTTCTAAAGAACCGAACACGATCGGAGAATGGAAACTTAGATATAACACTTAACACATAAATTCAAAGAAGATACAGAATGAATGAGACGATGTCACTTAAACCGATCTCGTGCTGTTGACCGTCATCAACCATCGATCACAGGTATTGTACCAGCCTCAGCCAAGAAGACTGCACTAAATCCAAACCCTTACTTTACAGTCGGACGACCTGAATCGTAATCTACTCCATACTTTTGCTTCTTTGATTACTTGCGGTGGGAGTCAGTGCGGCACTTAAAATACAACTTACACTTCTGAATCTGAAGATGGATGTGTGCGACGTGTTGGCTGTTTTTTAATGCACTTAACAGAAGAACATCCTTTCTTAGGTTTTAGTTAATAAGGGGATCTACATACCCTGAAGTAAAAATATGAACCCATGGTAGAATACTGGAGTAAGATACAGAATGAGTGAGATGTCCATTACAGCTCACCTATGATTGTCTTACTGGAAAGCCTCTAAAAAATTTTGTGGTTACTTTATATGTCCAGTTTATGCAAGTGACGTGGGGAAACGAATACTACAAATTTAACTAGAGCTAGGGTCGTGAGTCATGATAGTTAGACTCACTACATAATAATTTGGTTTTGGCTAATCGTAATGACCAAGATTAATGCATTTAACCGACAAAGTGCCCTATAGCTGATACTTGCGAGCTACGAATGTACTAATGAAATCAATATTGGTAAGCGGTTTGAGACGTCGAATAAATATAGGTGATAATACTTTCACTGTGTAGTGCATCATTACAGCAAGTAATTCATGGAAACTCTATATACTAAATGAGATATTGTGCCTCAAGGAACCCATCATCATACAAGTGGGTGGAATTGAAGTACGTTAGCATCATACAGAAATAACTACTCACTAATGTTTCATAAAATATGTAGAAAAGTGTCCACAGTTTAAACCCGAAGACGTTGTCGAGTTCTACATCTTTTTTAAATGTAATACCTCGGTTGGAAACATACCTGACTTTTCGAAATCGTATCCAACAACCACAGCATAATCCACCAGTCGGAGCATAACTTCATAATTGGTGAAACAATAACAAGGACGTCTGTTTGTGCATGTAAACACAATACATGGTTTATGCTGCTCAATAACATTTTAAGACTCCTCCTCTATCTACATTCAAGGAAAGAAATGACTACGATGACTGGTGGAGAGGAGTTATGGGGTTCTTCAATAATTCAGATCAGTATCTAAAGGGGTTATTATATTGAAAGTTGGAGGACAAAGCTTATGAAAATAACGATTTGAATCTACAGGTAGTGGTTCTTACCACAATTCAGTTGTTTTTAATCCGAGAGATTTTATCCCAGAAGGAGTGATGTTCCTTAAAGATGGATCATTTGATAAACTTCCTCATATAGCCGATATATATACGTCAACATACGACGACGAGTCGTGGATACCAATTAATCGTGATTCATCTAGAGTGCTGAAAGTTATAAGCTATATTAGAGGTTCATTTCTTTTGCTAGTAATAGAGACAAAATGAAGTGTATGAACTGTCAGTTTGAGATGTCGTCAGTGAGTTAAGCAAGTTAGTTAAATCCCATGCCGTTCCATCAACACCGGAGTCTAGATTTTTGAAATTATGACAAATAATCCGTGATACTACTTGTTGATATAACATACCCAGAATCTTCAATCTAAATCTATTTTAAACCTATATGAATATTGACTTCTAACTTTCTACTAGATTTGTAGTGACTCACGTTTATCACGAGAACACGACTGGTTTAATAAAAACAATTATTATTATAACCAACTGTACCAGTGTTTGTTTTAACGTGCTTTTGTTTGACTGTGCTAATGACAGCTATTTTGTGCTTCCATTCTTATACACACACTTTGATTGTAACTTCGCGCGAATTCGGTTACCTTTTGTAACCAAGGTTGTATCCTGGCACGATCTCGGTATCCTTTCGATGCCACGAGATCGCCAGCTAATAAACCTCGACTTGGTCCGTTAACTGTCTTCTGATATTTGGCTTCTCGGGGATTTTATGGAGTCATTTGGAACGAGCTTCTTACGCCTTCTGATTCGCTTGGCACGTGTTTCTTGGTAGCGGTGTTCATAGTTAATCTCGACTCGACACCACGCTACAATTGGTAATCCCAATTCGAATACAATTGGTGACCCGTATTTTGGAACACGCCTCATCCTCTGATCAAATCTTCCAAAGAAGCCAATTCGGTGAGTCTATGATTTATCTATCCACGTCTGTCGTATATTTTCATATTTTTAATATATCATATACGCGACATGACGGATAACGATAAGAATAGTATTAATATAATAGACTTACACGTATGTGTACCGAATCCTTGTCACTTTTTATTCGCGTGATGATGAATTCCACGCTTTATTCGAGAAATGTTACCCTATTAACGATTCTCCTCGCTGACCCGGCTGCTTGGTACGGAATGCATACGCATAAGCATATCCGTCTACCACCCAGCACCAAATGGTTAAGTTGAACGGTTTCACTGCCAACTTAAAAGTGTTCTACGAGCACACGAAAACGGCAACTGGCACGAAACCTTACCGCTCGTTCTTTTAGGGGTGAGAACGAGCTTAAAGGCAGATATCCAATGTTCCGCCACTGAACTTGTATACGGCACGACATTGCATCTGCCCGGAGAATTCTTCACACCACGGAGCAGACCTAATTTCGCTAAATCAGACTACGTCCATCGACTGTCTGCATTTATGCGAACGCTGTCTCCGGTGTCAACTCGAATACAACATCGACAGGTCGCTCTCCCTCGAGAGTTATCTACCTGTTCACATGTTTTTGTACGAGTAGATTCGGTACGTAAACCTTGGCAACAACCTTACGAAGGCCCTTTTCACGTGATCGCTCGTCACGAAAAGACCTTCAAGGTTGATCGATATGGACGCGTCGAGATCGTCAGCATTGATCGTCTCAAACCAGCACACGTCGATGACAGTGCCCTATCTGACACCCTGAGATTCAATGCTAGACCTATCAAACCTAGTGGGATCCTTAAATCTTCTTCAGGTCCCACGCTAGATGCATGTGATACCTCATTCTCACGTCCCGGTCAACAGCACGCGTCATCTGCACCGTCTACGGACGAGACGACAGTCTCACGTCCAGATCAGCAGACCACGCCGCCTCTGACCTCGGATGAGATTGCAGACTCACGAAATACGAACGAGACTGCCGTCTCACGTTCCGGTCGCCGAGTACGGTTGCCCGTACGCTTCCGCGAATAGTCGCACAGTCAACAACCGATACGGTGTAGGATTATTCCTATACTACACGTATGCTACACTCTTCTTTTTTTGATTTTCTTTTTGTTTCCTGAGCCCACGCCTTCGACCATCTCCGTTTGGTTCCGTCGACTTCAGTCAACTTTGGCGAAAGCTGGATTGGCCACCCACGCTCTTGTCAACGTACTCAGTCGATATATTGGTTTCGAATGCTCGGCATACGCTTGGTCTCGAACTTGGTTGTTATGGTCGCTTCTGGTCTTTTGGCTCAACGTGGTTTCGTCCTACGTCTGCAGCGTTTCTGGTGCGCACCTCTACGAACGCCCTCTTCAGATTCTGGATACAAACCACTCTGGTGTAGCATGCCAACTCAAGCAATAAATGCAACACATCGCTCCTGGTACTGTTCTCCGAAAACGACCTTCGTTGGCAACTCGACGATCAACGATCGCTCTCCTGTTCGCCAATTCTTCCGTCCTACAATCGCTCGTCAGCCGATCAGTCCCACGATTCAAACCGCTATTTATCGAAAGTGTAAACCCTTTCTTGCGGGGGGCTCCTGTAGTGACTCACGTTTATCACGAGAACACGACTGGTTTAATAAAAACAATTATTATTATAACCAACTGTACCAGTGTTTGTTTTAACGTGCTTTTGTTTGACTGTGCTAATGACAGCTATTTTGTGCTTCCATTCTTATACACACACTTTGATTGTAACTTCGCGCGAATTCGGTTACCTTTTGTAACCAAGGTTGTATCCTGGCACGATCTCGGTATCCTTTCGATGCCACGAGATCGCCAGCTAATAAACCTCGACTTGGTCCGTTAACTGTCTTCTGATATTTGGCTTCTCGGGGATTTTATGGAGTCATTTGGAACGAGCTTCTTACGCCTTCTGATTCGCTTGGCACGTGTTTCTTGGTAGCGGTGTTCATAGTTAATCTCGACTCGACACCACGCTACAATTGGTAATCCCAATTCGAATACAGATTCAGAATATTAGAGGCCTGAGAACTGAGATGAAATGATCATGTTAAAAGACTATGGAAGCTACGGCTGCAGCGCAGTTACTTTATACGGTCTTTAGGCTACACAGTTCGTGATTTCACTTAGTTTTCTCTTTCCAATTATGTGAATTACTGAACATTATGTAGTGTTTTCTTGAAGGTTTAAAGGTAATCCGCCGTTATTAAAAGGGATTTCAGCACTAAGACCTTGTCCTTCTCAAACATGTTGGTGATAGATACAGTGACGAAAAATTTAGTAATTTTCTTATCCAGCATAAAGAGAAAGTTAAAGTCATGAATTACATCATGGTTTATAACAACAGCTGCCCCCAAGTGAGCATTATAGTGTTGGCCAGGCAAATTTAAAATATCATGATGTATTATGCCCACTGCTCATTGCACTATATAGCCTCTATGTCGTATCAGCCACCCTTTACAGCTTGTCACAGTCTAAACAAATGTCAACTACAAACTCGGAAGGTCATCTACTGTGTCCCGGAGTACATGATTAAGTTTGCGACATGGCTATATCTAATTAGTGTCCAAACATTTAAATTGACTTGATGTTCTAATCCTCATTCTTTTATGCTGTGTGTAGGATTTTTTGCGTGTCCTTCTCTATACCTCTGGCACAGACAACTATAAAAAGATTTTAGTAATCAGGGAGAACCAAGCTCTCCGTATGTACTGGTATAAGATCTTTCGGTATGCAATTGTGCATATATGTGTGACAGCGAAAAATACCTACTATGTAACAACGTCAGCATTCTGTTTCTTTTTGATTACAGTGCTTCCAAACTAATAATCTGTTTTTTGTATGACATGTTAAACCTTTGATCTAGGACTGGTTTAAAGCTGGTACCTAGTTATAACTGTGTTTTATTGCAATGTTATTACTGTTTTTTTATCTTATGGTTGAAAGCTACTTTGCATTACTTGGCAATTGATCATAGCGACTGCCATGTTGATTAACCGTTTTCTGACCTCACTTGTTTGAATTACTTGATATGAATTATTTTTGGAGTGAAGTACTTCTTCAGCCTATTGGAACAGCTTTTTAGTCTATTTACTTGTTATCTTCCAGATTTGGTTTTTCACCTTTGCATGGGTTAAAATAGACTAGACTTCACAAGACAATTCATTCTCCGAAAAGTAATAAGTTCCGGAGTTTCTAAGTATATCTGCAATTGATGTTTTACAGTATATTTATATCAAGTTTTGAAAATATAAATTGGCTATACAGCCGTTTTTTGTTAAAACTGTTCAGTTAAACTGTTTATGTTGTACCTTTTTATGTTTTGCATCAAATTAGTACCAAACCTTTTAATGACCTACTGTGTTTAAGCTATGCTAATCGGTGTCCATCAGGAACCATAAAATTAGTTGTGCTGCTTCCTGTTAAGAAAGTCGAGCGTTTGTAGTCATTACAGCTAATATAGATGGTGCACCAATGAGATACACGCTAGCCAAAGCATAGTAGTTAATTCAAGAGTTATGTGATCAAAAATACTGTTTAAATTCCCAATCAAGCATTTGGTTGTGGACATAATAGTAAAATATCAATGGTGACTGGTCTTTGTCATTGTTGTACACATTTATGCTATGACGTTTGTTACTGTATCTATTCAAACAATAAGTCAACTTTCTCCCCTTGATATTTGCCAAGTGGAGCTCAACTTAGTATAGTAATTCAAGTTTAATTTATTTTGCATTTTAAAGGTTGTGATAATACAATGAAGTCTGAGACAACTGATAGACATTTCTCGAATAAAGTATTTACTGTATGGATCTCA